CGGCAAAATTCCAGATATACTGCTGTTATTATATTCTCTGATTTTGCTTTGCTTTCCATTTAACCAGAGAAAGTCACATTGCTGTGCTTCTATATACAGATTTAAACATCATCGAGCTTGGGTGGGTTTTCTGATTGGATTCAATTGGGGGTTTTTCTGCGCTTCCGAGACACAAGGGAGGAGTGATAATTTTCAGGTTCATCGGGTGGAAAAATGCGCTTGATGAGCTTCACCCATTTTGTTATGCATTGCGAATGTCCCACAGACATTTTCACAGGGAAATATTTATGGGTGTTGTTGAGAAAGTTAAGCTAAGCGCGGAAGACACCTCTTTAAATTTCGCACATCAGATGCCACATACAGTTAAAACCACGACAACTTTCTGGCATTTGCAGGCGTTGGTATTTCTCGGAAAATTTCTATGTCCCAACTAATTTTCATGATATCATGCGGAGGATCTTGCAAAACACTCGGGTTAGTGCGAATAACAGGGTCTGTAGTGGGTTTGCCAAAAGAAATTGCTAAACCAAAGGCCACATCTACATATGTGAACCGAGTGGTGATGATGTGAGCTTTGTGGTCTGAATAACTATGTATTTGTGCCCAGAAATACCTGTATTTAAATGCCTGATTTTATGTGTCCACACCTTTTTCCCTTCAGACAAAGTACGTTTATGTTTATCGGACTGCGTACACTTTTAATCACTTTGACTATAAAGATGTGGTTTTCGAAACAAAAATTAAAAATGCACTGGTTTCGGTTGAGAAAAAACTAGAAGAACTAAAAAAAGGAAAAACTTCCATCTAGGTAATGAGAAAATGTGTTTTTTTGAGGAAATTCTCGACTTTGCAACTCCATCCTAATAAATACCCGAGTACAACTGGACTTCAAATTATATGTTAGAAAAAAAATGCAAAGCAAAATGTCTAAGTATACCTGCTCTACATTATGACACGACATAAAATACTGTTATGGATTGGAAAACATCCAGAGAAATCCATCTAGAACACACTTGAGAGACCATTATTCATATGAATTCACAGAAAAAAATTACCCCAAATCTTTATCTGTCAGGTATTCAGGGCAAAAGAAATTGAAAAGACGTTTAAGAAAGATAAAAGTGCCCGCATTTTTAGCAGCAGATTGCAGCTTACCAGCACATCAGAATGGACTGAGATATGATCGCGGAAACCTAGCCTGCAGGCATACTTAACACAAATATAGAAAAGTTACAGAATAGCAATGGTGATGCCGATATTTTGTCACAGGAAAAACACTGTCAATAACAGGACAATGACTGAGATGTCGGCTCGAAAATTATACTAAGAATTCCTTTTCTAATGACAATGCTTTATATGCCTTTTTAGTGTTTCAAAGTTTGTAGCTGCATTGTTATTAGTGAGAGGACAAACTGCGCATACATTGAAAACAGTATTAGATGATTATATTAATAGTAATTTTACAGTACACTTTCTGACAAGAACTTTTTTGGTGTACTCAAATGAACTATTGAAAAAATGCCGAGGAAAATACTTAAAATCTTCATTCAATTAATAACTCTCTCTCTCTATTAAGCACTTCACAAACACTTGAGAAACATTTAGGTCATATGAAGAATGGAAATGTGAAATGAAATGGATTAGCAATAAAAATCAGAAGATATTAATTATTTAATTTGTTTTGCCAACAATTTTCGACGTGTGTGGAAAATTTATTAGAAATAGCATGAAGTTTAAAGGTAAATTAAATTTAAGACGCGATTATTGTCCATTTGTTGATTAAAACTTTTCCTCTCGGGACTTAAAGTGATTTTTTTAAAGAGTATACAAGTTCTCACGACTTCCTGTGAACTAAACTTTCTGGTGAAATTTAATTAAATATTCTCCTTTATAAGGGTGTGTGTATCCTCGCTGTCCGTGAGTAATATAGGGCTTGCAGAATCTCTGAACCTTCACTTGATGACTGGGGAAGTTGAAAGAAATTCCATTGCCAGAAATTCTGCAAGTAACTTTTGTGAGTGATCCATGCAGGAAAATCGCACAGAATATTAATGATAATGATAAGAAGTTGAGAAATTTTGCGCAAGGCAATTTCTCGTACAATTTCCTCACAACTTTCATACATTTTAACTCCACTCACAGTGATTTTGCTCGAGTGTTTACGCATTTTCATGGTTTATTGAAAGTCCAAAAAGTAATTTTTCACAAAGTTCGCTCTCCTCGAGACAATTATTGCTATGTATAGAGCTCTCAGAGACTCCGTCGTGGCGTGTTTGTAAAGTAGCACTTGAATAATAAATTCAATATCAAACTCATGTCCCTCAAGTACGAGGGGTCTTTTTTTTCTATTGACACTCTGCATTGCAAACAAAAATATGTATATATGAAAATTCAGAGCTTTCACGAATTCATCAATCATTTAAACTTTCCAGTTTATAAAGCCAATTTTTATTCATTCATTATTCAATAAAGAAATTTGTCAAATACGTAAATTTTTTTCTTAGAACACATAAGCATTCTTTTTGATTTTGAGGATTTTTCCTCCCCATTCTTCGAGGGGAAAATTAAGGAATGCAAACAAGGAGGGAGAATTGCAAAAGCTTTTCTGCAATGAATAGGTTTCCTTTTTTTCTTCTCGTGTCTAATTTTATACAAGTGTTGAAGCGGATGAAACTCTTTTTAAAAACAACCCACTGATGAGCACATTTTTAGGCAGCTCTCAATTTGAGGGTAATAAAAGCGGGTCAAGATGTTGCCTTTCACTTTATTTGCACATAGACTTAATCGAGGTATTTTCACAGAAAGACTTGAAAATGGTGTCAGTCTCTCCATAAATTTGTTTAACTTGTTTATTAAATACTCTTATTATATTCTTTCATCTCAAGGAGAATTGCGCTTAGCGTCTTTCTCTCTGCAGATAATATTAAAAGAAATTGCATGAGCTCCATCGCTACTCTTTCAACTCAATGCTATGATGTTTACGTAACTTTCATAGAGCACACATTTTCACAAAAAGGCTTGAGAATATTGTGGTAACAAGTCCTGTCTAAGGACTATAATGTTTCACAAAATACTAGCTCTTGCTGAGCATCGGAGAATTTGCTCTAAAATTAATGGAAAATCAATGGTTGTAATGAAAGCTTCTCATACAAGGTGGATTACTCAATTCAACAACGAGACTTAAACAATCGTATCGTTTAACTTAAAGCCTTCCCCAATCCATCCCCAAAGTGAATTCAATAATCTGATGATTATTCCTATTCATCCCATTGAAATGAAAGTGTATCTCAAATAATGCTCAATTAAATATTTAAATACCATTTAGAGAGGATCGTATCTTCTCAGTAACTTCAGATGTATTTACCAAGAAATTGCTCTTTTGACGCAAACGATATTCAAAGATTTCATCCAATTTCACATTCAAAAAGGTATTTAAGCAAAAAATTGTAATGCTTATCAAAATAGCAGCACTTTATTAAACATTTCTGGGCTCTCTGAACATTTATTCACTTGTGAATTATGCATGAAGTAATCTTCTTTATTTGACTTACACAAAATACAGAGGGTCAAATATCAAACATTGAACAGCTCGAGAGCATTTATATATTTCAAAATTTACCACTCTGATTGGTTTATTACGTCGAGCTCGAACTTGAGCTCGAAGCAATTACAAGATATGGTTTGAAATAATAATTATTACGTATACTATAGAATGTAATTAGCATACTTATTCCGAAAATTTATATTATTATGCATAAACAATGAATTATATCTGACTTGAATGCACAAAATTCTGCGCATACGTTGAATGTAGTGGAAGGATTCTAACGAATGAAATGAAATTTCGAAAGTAATTAATCGGATTTAAGTTTAAAGAAATTTCTTTTTAGATTCCAGGGAATTCCTCATGTCAACTATAAAAGTATTGAAGAAATCTGCCATTGGCCCTAGTGTGTGATAAATGTATGAGATAATCCGATATTATCTTGAGATAAGGCCAAAGGACAGAATTGAGTATGCTGGTGAACATCTCTTTCCACTCTTTATCGTCTGTTAAGGCGATAAGAACGCAGTATTGATGAGCTTTTTTATGGAAATCCATATCAAAATGTTTTTATACATATCTAGATGTTTGTAAAATCACATCGAAGCTCAGGAGTTTTTAATGCAAATAACATTCCTCTGGCAATTTTTTTTTTAATAAAAGAGACTCTAAAATGTTGTATTTCTACGCCACTGTCTAAATTTAAATGTGTACCAGTAAATATTTAAGCGGCGTGTGTTTGTGGATTAGTGATTTTGAATGGTGGTGCAACATCCATCGAAAATAATTCGCAATCTAAAAGCTCTCTAAATAAACGAGTAAGTTTCTGTGGTTGTGTGTACATAATGCATCAAACTACGGTTGCTCATGAATGAGTGCTCAGCGTAATTATGAAAAACGAGTACTTCATCAGTGTAATATTCAGTATGAATAATGGATTTGGGCAAATTGATAAACATGCGAATCCTCATGAGTTCTCAGAATTGCACTTGATTGCTCACATAATACACTGCGCTAGGTAGAACTCCGTGGATTCATGAGAATCGCTTCGCACGTCTTCTGCAGGTACATCTACGTCAAAAGTTAATTTATCACAAAAGTCCCGCATCAGTAAGTCTATGCGAACTTCCGTTTGGCACATTTTAAACTTTCTTGTCTTCACCAGAGTGCTTTGAAGGAAAAGTAGAAAATTCTTCTTTTTCCATATTTCAAGGAAAAACTCACGGAGCCAATCACGATACAAAATGCCACGAACGAAATTGACATTTTCTGCTTTCTTGCTCAGAGGCCCACCCGTTCCGCTCCCAAAGTGGATGTTTGACAATCAATTTGATAATATTTGTAAAAGGCGCTCGGTCTCATGCAAGGAGAAATTAATTTTCTTGCCTATTGCCAGGTAGGGGGGGGGGGGGTAAAAAATAAGAAACTCTGTAACATTTTGAGACAAACGACAAACCCAATTAGCACCCACTCTGTCGATTCCGGACACTTTGCAAACAAGGAAGGCGGTTCCTCCCAATTGGACGGTCGTATTGTGGGCAAACATCTGGGAATGAGAGGAAGAAGTCCATTATTAATTGGTGGGTATATAAAGCGATTTTTTTTCATGTCACGGATGCTTTTAGGGCCATGTTGTTTTTTTTACGGCCACCACTGGGGGTGCGTGGTTCCCTTACCTCAGTATCCTCAAATTGAGGTGAATCACTGGAATCTATGGTATTCTCCGACTTGGAGTCATAATTTGTACTTCCCGCCACCATCCAGAGTTTCTTCCAGTCATTGTCTGTTAGAATGGGTCTGTGATGATCTGAAAAGCAAACACACACAGAGGCACAATTCACATGGTGTCTCCAGCTTTTTACCACATCGCATCTCCCCATTCCACCCAGCATGAGGAGGTCGCTCGAAAAATTCGTGGTTAGACTGAAAATCAGCATTCTCTTATCGGATGCTCATGCCAAAGGATCACACTGACATCTTTATACAATTTTCCCATATAAAAATGATTTATTAGTTGTGGATTAAGCAGAATAACCATAGATGCTTATTTAAACAAGAGTGGATAAAAATATAATCGATCATTCATTAAGAATGAACTGCAGACTGACGTTTCAATACGGGTTTTCATTCATACTTCGAAAGTTGAATGATGGCACAGCAAAATCAATAAAAGTCAATTACTTTATTTTTGATACCAACAATACGTTAAGCACCTATAGTTCATCGTTATGCTTAATGTGATTTTTTTCTCCTCAAGTTGACGGCAAAACCCCAGCGAATAATAAATCTTTTATTATGGATTTCATACATGAACAATTATTCGATTTTCAGAGAAATTCCGCTATCAATTTAATTGCAAAATAATAAAACAATTGACATAACATCTTCAACGAGTCACTGCCCATATAATGCTAAAACTATTTAAGCGGAAGATGTTCGTTAATAAGCATTCTGAGCCTGCATATTTCACGTCTCAAAACTCTCTTTGTAGCTTTATTGTTTTTTGCTTCTTTCTTCCGCCCCACAGGAAAACAATCAAGTTGTGTTCCCTGCTGTTTTATTCCCAGAAGTTGACCATCCAGTTTCCATTTCACCAGAAAAGAGCTCCTAAGCGGCATTGTTGTTTGATAACAGCAAAGTATTATTAAGACACTTTTCTTTATGATAGTTTCGAAATTTTACTTATTATTCGGCTTCATCTTTTTCAGAACTTCCTGCGCTACTAAATGTGTGTTTCTTCCATAGGGCTATTTCAACTGTAGTAAAACTATAAGAGACATGGATGATAAGCACACAATTTGCAGTACACCATTTAGCGGCATTCACCATCACCACGACCTTAAGTAACCCCACAAAACCTGGCAATAAAGAGTTTGTGTTCTATCATCCTATAGAATACAAGCATTCTGCCTTCTCATTTGTCTTCCGCACAAATCCTGCAGAACAGTATTTTATGCACAATTTGGGAAAGTATAGGAACACTCCATTAAACGTCCATAGAATTACATCAGATATTTCTCGCTGAAGTCCAATGGAACCTCTCGAGAGTCTCTAGTAGGGCGGATAGTATCTGTCAAGTTATATATAAACAGAAAATTGGCGCAGATAAGATTTTAATTAATATTTGGGGTAAATCGGATGAAAATTGGTGAGAAACAAGGACTCATTCTCTTCTGGTAAAAGAATATTCAATAAAAGTTAGTATGGCCATGAAATATGATGGTCAATTTATTCTAACCATCGAAATATTTTTATTCTTCATAGGATAATCAAGAAAACAAATGACATCGCGGGGACAAAAAAGGATTCACAACGATGTCCAGCTCATAAGAGCAAGAATATTAACTAGATCCCAAACAAGAGAACTAGCGTCTACATTTGCAAAGCAGAAGACAGAGATTAAGACCGATAAGACGAAAGTAGAAATTCACAGTCAGAAATCAATGGGCATAAAAAATTTAGCAGCGACTGATAAGGAGAATCTAAGACTCAATTCGAATTCTAGAGTATCCAGTCAAGTTTCCAACATTATTAAGAAGAAACAACGGAAGATGTCTACACAGAATACCAATCCTTCTACCGTCTTTACTGAGAATTCTCCAGAGGAGTTTCAATTCTCAATAGTGAACTATTTTGTGACCGATACAGAAGAAGATGACTCAGATGAATGAATTTTACGTTTACGAAATTTTTATCGCTATCATTAATCTGTCTGCTTTCGTAAGCTGGAATTCCAGAATGTTTGACCAGGATTTCCCGCTTGAATTGATTTGATATAAACGTCATGTGAAATATTTATTTATCGCCAAGGTTTCTCCCCTAACAAAACAATGCAGAACCTCTTACGACCGTAGCCTATGATATGTGGAGGCACATTAAAAAAGCAAAACCACGAACTTTTCGAACATCTCCCCATATTATTCGCCCCCGAAACTCAAAGGCGCTTCCGCCCATCGTCCCGATCCACATTATGAATCGTTTGTGGGGCAGAGGCGCAGCGATGAATGACGAAGTGCGAGGAAGCGGGAGTGTGGGTGGACATGGAAATAAATATAGAATCACTCCCTCGCGACAAAATAAAATAGAGATTATACCTGGCTCCAGCGTCGTGGCAAATATTATGGATGGCAGAAAAAATATTAGCAGTTGAAATCGATACATTTTTCCTCACTGCTCGCTCTCGTTCTGTGTGACGCTTTCAGTTTCCTCTTACACGCAATTATTTACTAAATAAACCATCACATTTCATTATTATTTGACTTTTCTGTGCCACCTTCACAACCATCACTTCAATTGTTCATGTTCTTCGGCAACGATTTTCTCAGCATTCTACACACAACAGCATTTCTCCGGCGAATGCTGGGGCGAACAGCAATTTCTACAAGAGGTGGCTGCCCCTTCACACTTCCTTCCCGTTCCGCCAGCTTACAAACACTCCTGCCTCGCGTCTCACCGCACTGCTTCCTTTTATGTTTTATTGCTATTTTCTGTTAATTTATTTCCTCACTTTTTTATCCCCGCACCAGCTCGCTTCTTTTTCTCGTGTCACACCCACACCACGGCGCCCCAAAGTGAGCACTGGTGGCAAAATGATGATGCACTCCCAGTGCCGGGAAAATTGTCTGAAATCACCACACTCTTCCAGCCGGGGTTGCTAATTTTCAGGAAATTCACACATACACCCCTCGTGCGGTTAGCTTTTTGTACTTTCAACACACTTCCAACCCCAAACCCAGAGGCCGCCCACTAGAAGGACACTCTCTTTTGCTTATTCTTTCAATTTTCGCTCCAATTTCCCCAACTGTGAACTACAAGAAAAACTAATTATATACTTTTTTTCGCTCAATGCTTTGAACATACATTTTAATATCCAATAAAACTTTTTCACTTGGAATTGTGAAATATTTTTTGCCCCAATTCTCAGAGAGCTTTTCATCGGTGTGAGCCGATGAAAACCTGCACACGCTTTTTCTCGGGTTATTCAGGAGGAAAGTTGCTTAATTTGATCGAGGGCATTTGAGAAGTATTTTATTGTAGTGGAATTAATATAATTGTTAGAGAAAATTGTGCAATTAATTGAAATTTTGTATTACAAAAAAGGGTGAGGCGTAATAATTTTCCAATTTCGGCTCAAATCCCCATTGAATCTCATGGAGAATATTCAATACCTAGTAATTAGAAACAATTAAAATTTTACATCATATGTCATAATTTTGAAGATTTTTTGCGCTTGTGATATCGATTTTTTGTAGTTTATTTAACATGAAAAACGACAACAAATGTATTGAAAAGAGCAAAAGATTCTGCGAAAAACTTTTATACCCCCTAAACACTGAAATGCAAATACGAAAAATATACTCTTAAATAGTGCACCGCAAATCCACTATACAAATATTTCCGCATAATTTTAATTATGCTAAACAGTTGTAACACTTCTAAGTATTGTGTAATGCTAATGAAATAAGTGCATATAATTGGAATTCTCATTACCATTGACAATGAGATCAGGAAACTCCCCGAATTATTGTGACCAAGAGTGGTTAAACGGTCCAGATCATGGGCATCAAAAGGCCATATGCTATGCACTTTCATTCAATCAATAGCAATGAATATTTCAAGATGAGATTTAATTTTGCCACAACACCTGTCGTCATCGTGATATCAATTAAAATTGCACGAACATCAACAATGGGCACGTAATAGCATGAAAATAATTTGTGTTGTAACTCTCCCAAAACATGAAAGTGGCCAAAAAAAACAAGAGTTCATTTTTCAAAAGTTCCTCGCGACCATTTCTCAAGAGACCCTCCGCTAATGACTGCCCAGAGGACGCAGTTGGTGAAGCGCAAATGAAACCAATTACTTTACACAGAACACCGCCCTTAATTGCAATTCGCATATTCTGCTCAAAATATTCTGCCTGGAAGGCTTCATTTCTGCGATCCAAAACATATTTTCTAGCGCATGTAAAACTACAAATAAAAATCATAAGTGAAAAGGAAAATTTCATTGCATAAGAATGTGAATGAAGAGCTCCATGACGACTCTCGAGAGGGGAGTAGAATGCCTTAGTAAAGTTTTCCAATTAATTGTAATGAGTGTGACTTCCTCAAGTACATTAATTAATTGCAAAATATTGTTCTTCAACAAACTATGTGCCAGAAGTTTTCATGTATTCAATGTTAACAATCCACTTTTTACCAATATCTTTCAAGTGTTTCCCTCAGTTTGACGAGGCAACTTCAATTCCGCAAACGACGTGCTCTGAAGTGCCAATTCAATTCGATATCATTCACATAAAATGTGATTCTTTATTCCGATGGTATTAATTTCACACTGAAGTTGTTAGCCTAAATTTAAGTTTTCAGAATTACAATAAACAAGCAAAGTGTGTTAATTTATGTTATTCCCAAGTTTCAGTAAAGCCAACCCCAGCGTGACATTTTGCAATTGGATTTGGAGTGATTAAAAAAAGTTTTCTCATTTAGACTCGCCGCGAGACAATGACAAACTTTCTGAAATCGATGAGTAAATTTTTTAAGAGCTTTAAATGCATTTGCGCTAATAATAAATGAACGCAATTTTAAGTGAAAGAACTCCTATTCTGTATCGTTATCACTTTTAAGAACCCCAATCAAAAGAGAAACTATACTTTCCAAGGAGCACGAGAAGAATATATACTGCTACAGCAGTTCGTTAATTGAAGTGTATAGTGAAAATCTTTGTCGTAGAGAGAAACTTCGTGCTCCAAAGTCATTTTAATAAGTCACTTCCGACAACACCGTGAAACTAATTGTTAATGCACATTCAGTGTTGGGTGCGACAAGTGAAACCCTCAAAATTTCATCTATCACTGAAATGGGATATAAATTGATGTGACGTGTACAATTTCTATTCACGCTTTTTTATATTTTGAACACAGACCATTTTGACGGGGGAAAAAACGAGCATTTTCCGGTGAATTCGCTCTGTATTAATAGATTTCTCACTGATTAGATATCCACGGAAGGGTAATTGTACAGAATTGGAAATTAAATTGAAAAAAGCGTCGCCGAGAGGATATTCTATCGATTGTGAGTCGTCCTCCTCTTTTGAATAATTGATACTTTTATGCTAAATTAATGAATTGGGTGGCGCGCGTAAAACTTTTTCTCCAGCCCTCGAATTCAATCCAATGGCTGAAAAATGGGAAGAATGTCACAGTGACGTAGTCTCAGTTAAAATTACAGGTAGTATTTAAGATAAATAGACTTTATCTTCAAGTGTGATTCTGGATTAACGGATTCTTTGTGTCGTTACCTGAAAGACAGCATGCTTAAGAACCCAATGTTCCTCATATATTCGTAAATACAGTTTGTAAGCAAGACGTTATCGTGGAATGAAGGTACTGTCTAGAGAAAAAAACCAACAATCAGCTAAATAAGTTTCTAATCATTTGAAAAAATGAACAATTTTGTGGCATTATTTGGAAAATTTGCTCAAAATCCAATGAAGTGCTCAATACTAGTTAGGGTGATTTTTACCAATAGCATTTTATGGGGTGTTAATGTAAGTAAATCAATTCTTACTACGCCACTGCGAGAGTCCTCGATAGAAATTTCTTACGTTTCGCATCAACTTTTATTCTGGGCGCTCTCGAAAGGGAAAAATGGGGGCGCGCGTGTGAATTGGCGCGATGGTGAATGGGCGTTGAAGGCAAAAGCCAGAAGGAGCAAATCAGTTTGTGAAGGAGATAGAGAAACATGAGTGAGTTCTCCATGTGTGGTTGGGAGGAATGTTATTAAGAGGAATTCACTCGGAGCGCCAAAGAAGAATATGTTGGGAAAAATTAAGAAAATTGCCCATATATTGGGGGGGTGGCTTGCGGTATGGAAACTTGCACGCTCCCACTGTGTGTGTGTGTGGCACGAGAGCGCCTGGCCTGGGGGCGCAACGGTTTATCGGGGGCACCGGGAGGTGGGGAGGGCGGGTGCTGAAAAATTATTCTCAGGCAAGCAGAGAGACGCTTTTCGGTGGGCCCACAACACCCGAGCCTATGCTTGTGTGTTGCCTGGGTGGAAATGAGAAATGATACGAAAGTGAGGCCGGGCGTGGGGGGGAAAATGGTAATTTAATTTTTCTTACGAAAATATTTTCATACACCTGTAATTACACCACGAGAAAGGGGGTTCGTGGAGAATTGGTAATAGCACAATTAAAATTAAATGAATCTAATTTATTTCAGCACAGCACATCCCTTATATGTTTTTTCGCCCCGGTGATGGGTGTACTAATAAGGGATGAGAAGCTAACACTCCCTGATTGCGGAGCGGGAGGGTGAAGACGCAGCACAATGCTCCATTGAGGCCTTCTTGAGGCTAAAGACGCGCGACTTCCCATCAAGAAGAAAGCCCTTCGTGCACACTTCTTGTGTGCGTCTCTCCGCCCCGCTAAATTTGCATTTTCATAATCTCTCGACATCACATATTCTTTTTCTCTTTGATTCCCTCTCTTTTTCTGTTGAAATTAAATTCACCACCAATCCAATTTGCTCAAAATTAAACGATCAAATATTCATAGTTCATGGCAACGGGCCAAATTTACACGGGAATTACACTCTTTTTGTGCCCTCTTTCACTTTTGTCAACTTTCCTCCCATCTAAACTCTCTCTCGTGGCGAAAATTTCCGCCGATGGAGTCCTCGCACCCACCCTTTTTCCAGCACTATAGTCAGGGTGCAAATCAAACACTCCTCCACTGTGGATTCCTTCACCAATTTTCCACACAATCGACTCTTCGCGGTTTCACCGCCCAATGCACAACACCGTGAACACGACAGACCGACTCTCCCGATAATCTTCACCTCAAACTTATTAAAATTTCATTGAGCGAAGGGCTCACACTCTTTTTGGTATATTTCACACGGATTATTGTGAGGAAGGCTACACTCCTTTGAGAACTTTTGGTATACGCCCGTGTTTCTACGTTTATTCTTATCAGGCATGCGCTGTGATAACAACGGAAGAAATGCACGACATCGCACAAATATTTTATTTCATGTTCTTTCTCGTCACTCCCTTACACTAGAATTTTATGTAATATCTAAAAAACACCTTTCATCATTCCTAAAATCCTAAAATACATGTCATAGTGGGGGAAATTCTTTCCAGAACCACATGAAAATCCAATCATAATTTCAGTTTCATTTGAAAGAGCCAGACATCGAAACTGGTCGATTCATCGCAACATGGCGTTCATACTACTTTTCTTATCACTTCATTTCATCCCCCCTAAAGTCCGACATAAATATTTGATGCGCCTCCAGTGGCACTTGAATTGATACCAAATCTCATCTCGCAACAAAAGTCTCTCTCTCGCTCATGCCATCAACAATGGAAAAAATAATTTCATGTGACATTGAATTCGAAACACGTCTTACATTATCCCAACAATTCATCCAACGAATTGTCCTTTGAAGAGAGAGGAGAACACAGAAAGGGCGATTTTGCGAGTATTCCGGGAAAAAGATAAATGTAGGTCATGCCAACCCCAAAAATAGTCTCCTCTCATTCACACACTCTCTCTCGCTCTATACATTTCTTTTAGTTTCACTGTGTGGAATATAAAATATAGTTTGGCTTTATGCGCAGCCTCATAATTGAAATCAGTTTCATGTATCGCACCCCTATTTTAGCATATTCATAACATAACTGAAAGTTTAGCTGTGGCATAACCGGGTAAAATGCCATATAGCCTCACTTCGACGCTATTCTCATTTATGGTAATACAATTAAAACTAAATTACAGTCCGTGCTCACTACTTATAGCGCGATGGGCCCTCCCCTTGAGGCACCTGAAGCGTCCGCACCCTTATTCATCACTGCAGCATGTCATCGTCATCGTCGTCAATGAGAATCCTCTCTAAATCATCCACTGGCATCGGATCGTCACTGCTGAAAGTCTTGTATGTTTTGAACAAACTAAAGACGCACAGCCAGAAGTAGATGAGAATTCCTAGACAGGGGAGGAAACACAGAATTTGAAGCACTCGCATTAGCAATTTGACACAGTTGCATGCAATTGGATGTTCACTTGCTCAATGAATGACCACTCCTATATTTACTTTATCCAAGAGTTTGCTTCCAACAATGCTGAGTGAAATACATTAAACATTTACACACTATCATCCCCAATTTGGTCAGTAATCATTATGTACTCTTTGACCTTTCAACTCCAATTATCTAATTTGAATTCTCATAGTTCTATAATAGCATTAAAAGCTTAGATCTGTAAATTAGCAGCATACTATCTGTGGTCGGTCAAAATAGTGAAAGCAATAAAACCCAAAAGCAAGCACGAGGGATTTTTTTCTATCTTTAGTAGGTCATAAAATTAGCTTGCGCCATTTTTCCTACCACTTTTAATCTGATCTTTGTGACAGATTTTTTCGAAAGACAGTTTTAGTTTTCATTTGCCTTTACTTGAGAAACTGAATAGAATTGAAGGAAACTGAAGTCTAAATCGCATTCTACATTCATTACAATGGAAATCGCAGCGTGATAACAAGCCAAAGTGCTGTTTTAAACGTGAAAATGTGAACTAAGCCTCGTTCGCGGTGTTTTTGGAACTATATGTGGCTATGAACTGGCTAAATTTCCTCTCGAATTATCCCAGGTTTTTAAAGCGCCCGCTTATCGCGATGTTTATCATTCTCTGAAGATAAAACAATCACTTTCCCTCTATTCGCTGATGAAAAACATTGCAATAATTTCTCGCGAATATCAGTTAATAATTTCTCAAGAATTCTTCATATTTATTTTCCGGCGCCTTGCAAAAACAGAAATGGACAACATAGTATTTCTCACCTGCTGTAAACGCCATGATAATGTAGATACCAAGGGGAAGTTGCGAACCAATCTGCATTCCAATCATGATGATCGTGGCGACAAGGAGGGCCAGCGTAACCTTATTAATCACCAACCAGGGCAGCATATCCCTGTGGCTTTTCTGGAATTATTTTTAAACTTTAATCTCCCAATTATCTCGGTTGTTCCCAGAAAAGATAATAAACCCCTTATCAATATGAGAATTTGGGTCTATTGTATTCGTCTTAATCTCACCTTTACTACGCCATATATGAGGAAGATATTTGTGAAGATCTGGATGAAAGCACCTCCCGTTTCGACGATGCAAACTGGAATGAGGGCATTTTCCAATTTTGGGTGATCCACGAAAATTTTATTCCGCTGTGCGATGATGATGAACATCAGAATAATGAGTGGGATGTTGAGGAGCTACAAAATAAAGTCACAGCAAAGCTATAAGTCAGCGAATAAGGCGCTGATGACCATGACAATTGAAAAGGAATTTTGCTGATTCTCTGAAATCAAGCTTGAAATACGATATGCAATATGTGTGATCATTATTGCATCTCACCATCATGAACCACGCCAACCACACGATGCCCTTCCGGAGATCGATGCAAAAACAGAACTTCTGCGGTAGGATATTCATTGCTTTCCACTACAAACACTGCGTCACTTGACCAGACACTGGATTAATAACTTCGTGAGACGCACGTGAGATTAGATGATAAAAATCTGAAAATAAAAACACTTTTTGGCGAAGCGACCCTTGAAGCGACCAGAAACCGATGAATGATTGCCAGAACTGAGTGAAGTTGGCTGCAAAAATTTTCTACACGCGTAATAAAATACCACTTCTCCGGTTTGTTGTCACGCTTTTCCTCGGCGGCATGTGAGTTGTTTGTTTACATACGGAAAAACAGCCTTTTCACTGTCTCTTTGGTGCATTTTCTGCCTCTTCTCCAGCTCGGCTCTAGGAAAATGTATCCGCAGAGTTCCCAGAAGAAGTACTGGAAGTTCAGCAATGAGCAGCAGCTGGCAACAATGCGCGCCCGGCACAACCAGGATTTCATTGCCAAACACCAGGCAAAGTGGGACTCCAGCGGAAAAGCCGACTTTTTCCTGACCGTAGATGAGGAGCGACAACTCCTGCAGCACTACTGTGTCAACATGAAGGAGTTCTGCAAGAGATTCGAGCCAGTGATGCCGAAATCTGTGATTGGATCAGCATTTCACTACTTCAAGCGCTTCTACCTTTACAACTCACCCATGGATTATCACCCAAAGGAGATTCTGGCCACTTGCGTCTACCTGGCGTGCAAAGTGGAGGAGTTCAATGTATCCATAGGTCAGTTCATTGGCAACATCAAAGGAGACCGCTCAAAGGCGATGGACATCATCCTCGCAAATGAACTGCTGCTCATGCAGCAACTCAACTACTACCTCACCATTCACAATCCCTTCCGGCCCATCGAGGGGTTCCTCATTGACATTAAGACGCGCTGCTCCCTGGTCAATCCGGATCGTCTGAGGACGGGCATTGACGAGTTCATTGAGAAGACTTACCTCACGGACATCTGTCTGCTCTATGCGCCATCGCAAATCGCCCTCGCGGCGGTGCTTCATGCCGCCAGCAAAGAGCAGGAGAATCTCGATCATTACGTCACAGAGTCACTCTTCCAGAACTCCAAAGAGAAGCTGCCTGTCCTGATCGAGGCCGTGCGGAAGATCCGATCGATGGTGAAGGCGATAGACATTCCTCCCAAGGATGTGATCAGGCAAGTTGAGAAGAAATTGGAGGCGTGCAGGAACCAGGAAACAAATATGGATCGTCTGTAAATCATTCTTTTATAAAACTACTTGTTTCTTTTGGCCATAATTTTATATTCTCAATAAAATTCCCTGCAAGCTCGGGGATTCCCATATCTGCGCTAACTTCAGAGTTCACTGGATTTTGGTCAATTTCATCCTGAAAGTGAGGTTAGAAAGCAAGGAAAAACGTCAACAAAGTACACAGAATGGAGAGAAAAATTGTTGTGAAACAAGAAAAACATTGTCCTGATTACTACAGTGGGACATATGAACATGAGAAGCAATCTTTCGACTGCGAGATGGCGAAGGAAGAGTACGAAATGGAAGAATTGACGACGCCAGACTCCAAAACGTATGATGTCCCAGTATCACTGTTATTTCCTGTTAAAGTCTATTGTTTTTCAGGACATCAGCATCGAAGCACTCGAATCCTTTGATTGAAGATGATGATATTGCTAGCTTCAAGATTATTAGGCCTGAGCAACACAAATGTGAGAATTGTAATAAGACATTTTCCACAAAGACCTGCTTAGACAACCACATGAAGCCGCAGGATTGTTTCCAATATCAAAAAAATGACGAGGGTATGCAAAATGTGCAAAATGATGAGACTTATGAGACAGCTGAGTGCGAGAGCTGCAATCTTACATTCAAGAACAAAACTGCTCTCGAAATGCATTTGAAAATTCGGTGTTCAGCGAGCTGTTTAAGCAAATATGCTTCCTGCGATATTTGCAAAAAAATATTCAAATGCAAATACTCTCTGGATACGCATAGAAAGAGTCATTTTTACGTACATTCAGTATATTCATCCAAAGGCTGCCCTAATTGCAATAAGATAAGGATGATTAGGGGGGTCGTCAAACAGAATTGCACTGAAAAGTGCGTTAAGGGGTACTTAGGTAAGTTTTCTTTACTTTACTACGAACTGTTTCTGCGACGATTGGAATCTTTGTTCTTGATCCTTTCATTTCAGGTTCTATTCGTACGTGCAGAGTTTGCAAGGTTTTCTTCCGGAGTCGTGAAAGAAAGTCGCAAGCAGAGACAAACACACTTGATAAGTGCTTCAAATGTATTTCTGAAGCGTAGATTTACGAAGAAAACATTGTTTGCAATTTCGTATTGTAAGAATTTGCTGTGGCCGTTTTGTGGCTCAAATTAGATCCACATTTCCTTATTGACGAATTTAATGCATTCAGCAAACATTTTGTATTAATAAATACTTATTTGTGTGAATAAATATTTATCAAATAATATATCAGGATATCATTTTGTACCCAACAAATTCATTTTCAAGAGCGTACAATAAAATTACAAAAGAATTTTTAGTTACCTTTAGTTCAATTCTTCATACGACGAAGGGATAATCGCGTCTCGTGACAAACTTCATATTCTTTACTCACTGACAGACACCGTGGGAATAGGAAGGAAAATACTCACCACGCGTGGTGAAGAAAGAGATAACAGCTATCAATTTTGGCCAGACAAATGCTGAGTTTCACCATTAGCAAACGTCAAATAGTAAGCCAAGATAAACAAGCCGCTGAAAGAAGTGTGCAGGAAAAACATGGATATAAAGGAGGAAAACGAGTATTCTGATTCTTCGTCTGACTCATATAATGTCGAAAATCATATAATTGACTCCGATATTGTGAAAAAAGAGACTGAAATCGAAGACGTGCCGATGCCTCCTGCCGAAAGGTATGAGTTTCAAAATCCACTCCTTATTTCTCAGTAAAATGTTCTTATTCTAGGAATTGTGTCGTGGAAAAAGTAAGGAGCGAAGGAGGGGAAGAGAACGCAACTTTTGAGATTCAAGAAGTAACGGTGAGCAACGCTATATTTGACTTAAGTAGAATATTTGAGAAAAATAATCTCATGGCAGTACATCTTCTGCATCTTCTGAATTTGAATTAAACAACACTGTATTATTTCCTCTCTTTTTTGGGGTACACAAAATAGTCGTGGAATAACGAAATGCGCAAAAAATTAATTCAGTTAGTCTACAACGAACCCTCACTATGGAGAAGAAGTTCTGGTTTTGATCAAAAATCTTTGCGCCACTACAACGCACTCAAGTGGCGAGAAATATCCAGGGTATTTGGAACAACTGGTAAAATTTTTAATGATCTCATAGCACATCATGGATATATACAAAGATTTATCTTTTTTAGACACTTCAGCTCAGATAGAATGGGTGAAAATGAAAAGATCATTCTATAACAGAAACAAGATGATACTTATCAATGGCAAATTCGGAAAGGCTGATAGCAAATACAGTTGTTTCTTCGAGAGCTTGTCATTTCTCGAAGAAAACCGACAGTAAGCAGAATATGAGCATATTTGCATAATGTAGTAATGAATGCTATTTTTTATAGGACGACGAGCAAATGTTATATTCTTCGTCAATACGAAAAATCAGGCGAAAGTACTCTGTGTGTTAATAAGCAAGTACAAACAGATGATTTTCTTGAGGGCGGGTCGCGTGATGCACTCTTGAAGGCAGGAAAAAAGAGACATCAAAGGACTGCTGAACCAAATTCCATCAGAGAGGTTGATGCTTCCGGAGAGAACAAGATAAACAGTGACCCCTGTTCATCGAGATCAATTACCTCTATGAAGAATACTGCAACTGCCAATGATATTCACGATTGCCAATCTTCCCATTCAACTGATGAAGAGGAAGAAACTCCCACAGACCACAGAGAAGACATTTACGACTGTTTAAACATCCTAAGTTCAGTTGTAAAGTATAATTCTCTCCAATTGCTGCAAGTGAAAAAATCTCGTTGTGTGACTCTGCCTGAGGCTTTTTCGAATTACTTAAGATCATTAATGATAAACATGCCGCCTGAAAAATTTAATAAGTTTCATTGCAAAATTTTGGAAATTGTTGCTGAATATTTAAGAGAAGAGAAACAATCCACATAAGAACTATTTGTATCGTTTTCATAAGCATTCGATGCAATAAAGGAAAAGAAAATATAACAATGTAAAGTTGCTGCATGGGAAAAGCGGGGAAAACGAATCACAAATCATTTACAAGAGAAGCACGATGAAGTGTTAACCGGTATGTCAAGAACATATGTTTTTGACGTTTTTTTCGCTTAACTTCACAACGTAAAGTGTCTAAAAAGTAAACAAAATACTGAGTGTTTTATTATGTTTCGTATTCTTACTGAGAAGCGTGAAAAACAATGGATATAAAAGAGGAAATTGAGGATATTCCGCATTATGATGAAACTGTGGAATTTATAGATTGCGCTGTTTTCGTGAAAGTAGAGGATAAAAGTCAAGAAAATGAAGTTCCTACTCTTGAAAGGTAATGACAATGAAGTTTCACACTTTCACCTACTAAATCAAAATCCTTCGCGTTTAGGATTCCTGCTTCCAGTTTCAGCGGTCGGGATTCAATGCAGAAGGAGCTCAAGTTGTGTCCAATTTGTGGGAAGACTTTCAATACAGGAAATGGCTTTGCACTGCATAAATATTACGTTCATGATAATAAGAGGTCATACATTTGTCACATCTGCAATAAGCAAAGCACAACTGCGTATAGTCTGAAGAGACACATAAATACCCACGTTAAGGAGAAGAATATCGAGTGTGCTTATTGTGCAAAGAAATTCAGGGACAAGTCGATTCTTCGTAAACACTTAAAGAAGCACATTGAAAAACCTCGGCCGTGTCCTGTTTGCAATATTATGCTAAGGAACTCAGAATCACAGAACACACATTTGAGGGAATCTCACAATGTAAGCTTAAAAACCTCACAACCAAAGTCCTGCCACATCTGCGGAAGGATTGTAAGAACTCAATATCATCTTGATCGACACCTTACGATCCATAATAAGAAGGAGGATGAGAAGAATGGTCAATGCTTTGAATGCAGAATATGCCATCGAAAGTTCCGTCGGAATTATATGTTACAAAATCACATGACGAAACACAGCTCAGGCAAATGCAAATCCTTTACATGCGAGATTTGTAATCAAACTTTCACTTCACAAAAGCTTTTAGTTAAACATAAATGGATTCATTTTCTTTGATTTCGAAAGGCCGCCAAGTTCCTATCTGGAAGAGCATTTTGATGAATTATGAAGAAATCTGCCATTATTTATCACGAATTATTATTACGTTTTTGTATAGCAAATAATCCAAATAATTAATAAATGAGTAAAAGCAAAAAAAAAAATTTTATTCCATCAAGGGTTAACATTTTATTCACAAATGTTGCCTAACTTCACTATGAAAAGAAACGCGACTGTCAGAATCATACGGAGAAAAGTTGTAGGAGAAAAAAAATACTCGTAATGTAGTGAAAATGGATATAAAAGAAGAAAAGGAAGATCCTGAATACTGTTATAAGTCTGAAAATCAGTTTATTGAGAGCATTATTGTGAAGGAAGAATATGAAATTCAAGAAAAGACACCGGTTTATCATCAAAAGTATGATGTTAAATTGTGACTATTACCTCTGCTAAAGTTTGTCGTTTTTCCAGGAAATCTGATGATGATATTAAGAAAAAGCTGCACAAATGTCCAATTTGCGCGAAGGAATTCAGTTGCCTACGACAGCACATGAACACGCATTCTGATGAGAGAAATTTCGAGTGTGCATATTGTTCCTCAAGATTCAAGACCAAGAAGTATCTTCGCACGCACATAACAATTCACATTGAAAAGCCACGACCATGTCTAATCTGCAAAAAGATGGTGAAGGATTCGAAGAGGTGCAGAATACACATGTGGCAGAAGCATAAAGACAGTAGGAAGGAGTTCTTTTGCGGAATTTGCGCAATTATGTTCACGAATCAGTTTCATTATGATCAACATGTGGCGAAGCACGACAGTCAATGCAAAATATGCAATCGCACCTTTACGAAAAAGGCTCAATATTTGAAGCACATGGCGATAATGCACAGCTCTGAGAAACCCTTTTCATGTGATATTTGTCAGAAGTCTTTTAAAGTCAAGCAGTGGCTGAGAACACACCAAAAGATTCATTTATCCCCAAATGATACGCCTGTGAAGTGTCCTTATTGCAGCAAATCATTTAGAACTTCAATTCGATTGCACTCTCACAAAAGCTATGCTCATAGAGGTCTTCCTCTCACGATAACCGGTGAGATTGTCTGAATTGTCGTTATCTCTAAGCGCAGTGGCACTAATCTTGGTACTCTGTTTACTCAGATCCTCCCTTCAGCTGCAGTGTCTGCAAGGAAGACTTCGCACTCCTGGATGACCTGAAGAAACACGTTCCAATCCACAAGCCAAGAAGAATAGTAAAGCCTGCAACCTGCGCAATTTGCAAAAAGACCTTCTGTGGAACATTCAATCTCAAGATACACGTTGGAAGATTTCATAAAGAATCGGATCTTCCAAAGAATTTTAGAAAGAACCGTTTCGAATGTTCTACGTGCACAAAGAAATTTCAATGTTCAGCGAGTTTAGAGAAACACTCAATTTCTTGCGCAAAGATTTCAATCAAGCTACGCAAATCACGCAAATAACAAATTGTACAAAAATGTTCTTATGAGCGAAAAAGACACAATGCAATAAAAATTTGTTTTTTAATTCACACCATTTATTTACTGAATTTCTTCTCCTCAAGATTGCCCCATAAATCCAAACAAAGTACAAGACGAAAACTTTATATAATATATATATTTCAAAAATAAAATTGTACGAGATTGACGAGATTATACTTTCCTAAATAAAAAAAATCATTTGATTTTTAATAATTGACAAAAAGCTGAAGAAAAGATATGGCAAATATCTTTGGAATGATTTCTAAGTACATTTTATCGTTCTCATCCTAATTTAATGGAATTATTAATTTACAATCTCACTTCTCTGTCTTCTAAGTCTATACATGCAGAGCTAAAAGCCTCATATTCATAGTTTTATAGTGTTTTTTTTTCACCTATTTTCTCCAAAATCTTTGGCACATCACAAAAAAAGAACAGTTCTGTGAACTTTTGCTCAAATAAACACCTAAATTGCCTACATTTTCAACCACAACCGGACGTCCTAGCGAAGCCAGCTGAGATCTACTGCTCAAGACTATTTCTCTAGACAGTTATATTTTCGTGGGTTTTCAACAATTTTGTGTGTGAATGTGTGTGATTTTCTGCTCCAGGAAGCGACTGGCGACTGAAGGTTCGTGTTGAAGACAAAGATTGAAATAAATCTCCCTAAAACTGTCCCTCCAATACAAAAATATACAGCATTTTCATCACTTCTCCCATAAAATGTCTCTTAAGTAATAGAAAAAACGTCTTGATGTGTCTTTTGAATTTTCCCAAACGGCTGGAAATATCATTCCTGTGAAGATGTGTGTCTTTACGTGTTTGCTTCCTCTTTAGAAAATATCCGGGTCCAGGAGAGAGTCGTAGTTCCGATCCCAGTATCCGCCGCTGTACAGCCAATCCTCCACTTTGTTGTGCGGATTGAGTCCGCTGGTGAACCACCTGCAAAACAATACAGTTCAGTATTTGGCAAATATTGGAAAAAGTCAAGCATTTAACTTACTTGGGCATCCATTCCTCCGCCTTCTTTCCTTTCCTCGCCTTCCTGGCGTCTCGTTGCTTCTCCTCAAGGCGCGTCTTCTCCGCCGCCGCTCCGTCAATATCTCCCTCCTCCAGTTTCCTGATATCCGGCCTGAGACGCGAATCCGTGGGACAAAGCGTCACTGGAGGCTTCATGCCCGGCTCCAACTCGTTGAGTCCCATCGCAAAGAGAGTGAATTGATAGTACTCAGCGGCATTCTCAGGCCTCGCATCAGCTTCCCAGAGGGTCAGAGAGTTGGGAATGTCTATTGAGTAAGTGGAGTCACACTTCGGAATCTCTCCATCAGGAGGCTCAGGAATGTCATCAGACTGCAACGGAATATGGGCATTTAATAAAAAAAATCAAAGACATTTTGATCAGTCAAAGATCTGTCGTACTTCTTGAACTGAGAGACTCTTGAAAGACGACATCTTGAGACTGTTGAGCTTCGACAGAACCTTCCTAGGCGTATGGGCGGGAGATTCATTGGGGCTGCGACTCCTCTCGTCGCCCCTCTTGAACTTATGGGCATTCTCCTTGAAGTACTCCTCATACGACGCCTGATCCGTACACTTGAGAAACTCTGTCCACTTACCGTAGATGAAGAAGAGCTTCTTTTTGCTGCAAAGCAACGATGTTGATAAGATGTTGTTGAAAGTGTAGTCTTAGAAACACTCACTTCTTGTCAATGATGTAGCCTTCAACACGATGGAGATCCTTGGAAGCCCATCCGGCAGGTTTGAGTGTCACCACAGCCCTGTGTCCTGTTCGATGACTCGTGATCTCCATCGTGCCGTAGTGCTCCATCCAGAGCTTCCCCACAATGATGTTGTGCACGCAGCAATTCACTCCGGACCACGTGAAAGCGTCTCCAGATCTGCACAAGGAATGTTTCAACATCATTTGTACACTGACATGGCATCTTACATCTCAACTCACTTCGGAAACTCAACGGTGACACAACCCTTGGGTTGAATCTCCACGCTCTTTCCCCAGAACTTGAGCTTCGGATGAACTGATCCGTGCACGATAAAGTCTCCGGACTCAGCGTGAAAAGCCGTGACTGGTGGATGATGGGACACCTGCTCACACACCACGCGATACTCCGGACGCTGAAGTTCGTAGGTTTCGCCCAGAAGGGGATTGAAGGGCTTCCCCAGACGATCCCAGTTAGACGCCAGGGCGGAAATGGCGAAAGCCGCCACGTACTTGAGTCTGTCCACAGTGTCCTCCTGCCTGGCGGCCACGTGAAGCAGTCTAGCGTACTCCATGTGCTCCGTGATTCGTTGTAGGAAGCTCAGCGGCTCGTTGAAGATCACCGGCATGGTGATCTTGCTCAACTCCTTCCCGATGCAGTTCTTCAGCACAGACCAGATGCTGAAGTCGTTGCGCGAAAACATGGGCACTGGCAGGAATTGCCTAGTCGATAATGTTAGAGTTAAATCTAGGCTTGTTACTAAGAGGAAAAGCTACGCTCCATGATTCATCAAAGCTCAAACACCGGAAATCAGACCACTTGCGTATACTTCCATTACCTTTGAAAGGTCTCTCTCGTTTCTCCCGGTTCAACTTAAATTGAATTGCAAAGTCCTCTTCGCCCATTTGTTGCACCCACCCCAACAAGTTGGCAAACCCGACCCGTAATTCAATTCAAACCCCTCCCAAATCCACGTTCAACAACTCCACATGAACTTCCCATGCATACTGCAGAGTTTCGTGCCAAATTAAGAATCGAGGGTCCTTTTTCTGTTCCATCCCAAAGCTCGAGGGTTATTGGAAAACATCTTCGCAAGAGCCCGTACCTGTGCTGAGAGGACTTCTCCTCCCCGCCGTCATCCTGTTGCTGACTGCCTTCGGCCATCGTGCGCAGAACAATTTTTTCCACTAGATTCCCTGCTTATTTATCTTCCTAAACTCCCACCCAAACAACCACATTGAGTGCCTCAGTTTATCCTTCATGAGAAGAGAAAAGCCGCGGAGACAATTGGAATTATGTCTTATTTCTCACATTTTTCACTCTCACTCAAAATATTTCTGGGAGTGGGAGAAGTGTTATCCTAAATTTTTAATTTGACCCAATTCGGCGCATGACTACACAAAGTAAAGTGCATGCTATGGACGCAATTTCGGGGGCTTTTCATTTTTTATGAAAACTTCCACGATGGCATGAAAAATTTAAACATAAAAACTATCAACAGAGTTGGGACAAATACGTTGTTGAGCATAAATGATCATATTTCACAGCTAATCTAAGTAATAAAAAGTGCGTGAAAATGTTTTAAAATCATCAAAAAGGGAATATAAAATTCGTCATATCTTCAATCTACCTTCTCAACTCTGATAAGAGTTCGCAATTGCAATATGAGTGTAAATATGGATGCCCATGAGAGCAAATTATTCCTATGCCAAATAACGAGCTGCGTCCCATCAATTATGCAATCATCCCATCGACGTCATCAGTCATTAATCTTGCGCCCTTCTTGTCACGCAAAAACAACACACGCTTTAAGCTTTTCCCCCTTAAAACTGATTTTCTTTTGCTGCGAAAACAATTTCCTCTCCATTTAATTACACATCAAGATGGAAACATGCGGATAAATTACTTTCAAATGGAAACTGAAGAGTGAGAAGAGCTTCTATAAGCTCTCATTACAATCGGATTTGCACGCGGGCGTGGGCAAAAGTTTCAGTCGAAAGTTTCACGAGGTAAATTAGAGAAACATGAGCCGTACGGAATTCCTAAAATAACACCTACAAAAGCAACAAATTCATTCTCATTACATTTTCACATCAGGGATTTTCATTAGAGAAAAAAGTTTTGCTCCCTTGAATTGGAATATCTTCTTTGTTTTGCCAAATTCACAGTCCATTAGCGCATTATTTTCTCTCTCTCTCTCTCTCTCAAAAAAGTCTAGATATCAGTTTAATAGAGAGCATCTTTGATGTAATGTAGCTTCTATATGAAAAAGAAAGTCTAATGATGAGGAAGAAATATGGCAAAAGGTTCGCTTTTTAGACGTTAAATGGAATGAGAGGAAAAAAGTCGTTTTGTAATGGATTTTTCTGGGTCAAGGTTCAGCGATTGACTTCTCGTGCGAGCGAATTCCAATGAAATCCAGGCAGAATTTTCTTTGATTCTCACCACATTTTGCTCCACATTTCTTTTTCACTCCCCCAGAAGAATGTTACAGGAAATTGAATTAGTCGGTCGCTCCTCAGAGAGAGAGCATATAAAGTGTGTTCCAGATCGGATGTTTCACAAATGCACACTTTGACTGTGAAGACATCTTGTGCAACACACTCTGTGACGTAGTTTTCTCGTCTGTTCCCCCCCCCCCCCCGGAAAAAAGGGGAAACCTCAAGCAATTTTCCTTCCTTTCTCTGTGCAAACAAAGTGAGAAAGAAAACACAATTTCGGGTGTAATTCAATAAATCCCTGAGAGAATCACATTTTTGTGGAGAAAACTCAGATGAGATTTCATCTGGTCTACAAAACAAACCGTCACCCAATTCTCTTTAACCCGCGCGATTAATATTTTATCAGCTGAACAAGTTCAAATGCCATTCCATGCTTTTTCACTGACCATAGCGAAAGTTGCTCAACTCTTTCACTCTAATTGCATTATTTCGCTATTGATTTTGCTGTTGATTTTCGTGTGTTTAGCGAAAAATATACACGACAATCATCAGACGGCACGCCACATTTTCCTCCCTCTAAGCCTTTAAATAGAATATCTTGGACAATACCATCATCAGTTTTAGGAGTGAGAGTGAATATTTGTGGAATAAATCAATAGAATAAGGCGAGTTTTCTCTGAAGGAATCACAAAGGAGAAAAAATGCTACCAAGAAGAAATAACTCAAATATTGTTTATATTTTTTGTGAGATAAACACGTTTTACTGCTGTTTCTACCACAAAATCAGCTTTTGCAGTCGATGAAAAAGGGTGGAAAACACCCTAAATCAGCCCAGAAAAGCTCACAAGAACCTCTCCAATGAAGAACTTCACCACTTGAAGGCCCGCGATGGACTGAAAGAACAGTCACAGATAACGATTTCCTTCAGACAGCCACGCAGACGCAGCTTTTCGCCCACCCACCCGACGAACAGGGTGTTTCTGTGCCCAAAATCCCTCCCCTACGAACCATTGTCCTCGTGATGAAGTGTCTCGGAAATGAGACAAAGTTCGCCATTCATCACTAAAGACGCTCGTCTCTCTTGTTGCTCTCCTCCCGCCAAAAAGGAAAGAGCCAAAGCAGACCATAAAGGATTATCGCTGCTGTTCTCTTTTGCGCATAAATTTTCTGTGTCTGACGCGAGGCATTGATTGGAGTGGCAAAAGCATGAATGAAGTCGACTCACCTCTGTCTAAAGCCACTGCTTCTCATCTCCTCGTCACTCTTTCTCCGCTTCACCGCCTTCCTCTCACTAGAAGTCGGTCTCTCGTAGATAAACTCATCCCTGGCACATCGATAAGCATCTCCGCCTTGACTGAAGAGCGTCCCGCACGAGGAAGCAATCGAGACTCCGTCCACGAGCGTATCGCTGCTCCCGGACGAAGAGTTGCTCTCATTAGAGCCACGCCGGCGTCTCTCTGACGACAACAAATGCCTCCCGGAGCGCGTGTACGAAGTCCTGGAGTGTGTCACAGCCAAGTCCTGAATAGAGCCACTCGGTGAATTGAAGAGAGACTCCGCTGTGACGAGTGTGTCTGTGTCAGAGTCCGCTTCGAAGGCATCAAAGAACTCATCGTCATCCGTGTCGTAAATCCGGGGGCTCTTGTGGCTCAGACTACGCGGAAACGTCCCAGTTTCTGAGATGTGACTCGCCACAGATTGCTCAAGTTCGTGATGCTCCTTTGCCAACACATTGAGCGCCTCTTCGAGAACGCGGCACTTCTCCTGCTCCTGCTTCAGCTGAATCACACGGATGTCCTCTTGCTGGTGAAAGAGCGTCAAGCAGTGTTGCAGGGAAGACAACATATTAGCCGCCGTCTCGGAGACCAACTGAAAGCGCTGGAAAAACACCAAAAATCAGCCAATGGAAGAGTCATTCTCCTGGGCAAAAATGTAACTAAAACAAACCAAAAACTAACCAAAAAGCACAGAGCTTGATTTACCATCATCGCCGACATGGGCAGCGATGCTGAGGAATCTGTGGTCTCCAGGCTCTTCTGTAGCGCCTCGACTAGCATTGCACATTCTCCCAGTTGTCGCTGAAGCACTTCAAAACTGGCTGTGGCCGATGCCAAAGCGTCTGCCATGCATCCCAGCGGCTTCCCTCCTATGCTGCTGAACTCCTCGTCGCTATCAGACTTCCTCCGGTTGTTCCCCCAAAGATAGTGCGAGCTGTAGGCTGAGTGCTCATTGAAAGCGTTCATCCATTTCTGTCTGGCTACTTGAGGCGGATCGCCATTGTTTATCACGCTCAACCGATGAACAGCACCATCATTGAAGTGCACAACAAAGGAGGAGAGATCAGCGGTGAGTGGAGTCACTCTAGCACTGTCCAGATACTTGTAATCCCGCCTTTTGTTAGCACTCACTGTAGAGTCCGCCCTGGAGGCGTAGTAATTCAACACACCTCGCTCGAGAACAGCCTGAACGACAGGAAGAATTGAGATAGGCGCATCTTATCGCTGCAATTTCCTACTCACCCATACGGGCTTCCACCCTAGGAAGCGAGATCTCTTCAGCAATGGCCCCTCGTATCGATTGGCCGTCTTCTGCACCTTTCTCACTGCCTTCACACTTAGCACCTGCAACGTCTGAGCGTCTCTGGCCAGATCCAGCGCCAATTGGCCTCTATTATTTCGAATGCTGGTGTCAATTCCATTCTGCAAGAGCAGCACTGCTGTCTCCTTGTGACCTCTGTATGCAGCGCAATGCAAACAGGAGTTTCCCTGGGCGTCAACACAGTTGATGTTGGGTGGATTTTCGTCCTTCAACTGCCCGTGGAGACAACATTACTATGGAAACATTCCAGAATACAGTAGAAATACATACCAAACCGCTAAGAAGCTCAATGTTTCCCTCCCGAGAGGCTGTCAGAAGCTTTCCTTCCTTTCTCAGTTGTTCCGTAGCCTCAGCAGCGCGCAGGAGCTTTGCAATCTCCTGGCCAGCCTCATTGGAGGGTGTCATGTCTCTGGGAAGCCTTCCCTCGCCATTGATTATGTTCACATTCGCATTGAACTGCAGCAGGAGCATCACGAGATCCTCCCGCCCTATGAAGGCCGCCTTGTGCAGAGGCGTGTCCCCGGCATCATTCACAGCATTTATATCAGCATTCCTGGCCAGCAGGATCTCCATCACCTCGCGGTGGCCAAAGTATGTGGCCAAGTGCAGAGGAGTCCAGCCCAGGTTGCTCTTCGACTGCCCTTTGCAGCTAATGTCAAAGCAGTACTGCCCGGCGTCCCTCTTCTCCAGCATGTTCCGCACCATGCTCAGGTCCCCATTCCGGCAGGAGCGCAGGAAGCACTCCTCAGCTTCGGATCCGGTGCTGCTTGAACTGGAACTGTCAGAACTGCCCTCCCCGGACTCGTTCATGGCCAAGAGCGCCACTGTGGCTGGAAGAATAGCGGAAAATGCAGAAGAAGTGTGCGGATGAACACTTGGATTTCTTATCACAGTTTTCCGGGAAGACTTGAGAATCCCCCGAGCTGAGAAGTGAGGAAAATACGCGAAAACTCGCGCAAGAGGAAACTTGTTTACAAAAGAAACACAATTTACTACACTGACGAAATGATTGAAAAATGACAACTTGACTTTTGAAATTTGCCGTTAGAATTCTATGTTTCAATTTTGAAGAAAAAGTAACAGGAAAATTATTTATATGGAAATTTGATTACAAACGTAAGCATTTCCTTCAATTTCGTAATGTTGTTCAAAAACTTCAATAACTAAATCCATGACACTGAAAGAAGAGATAAGAATGCGCAAATTCAGTGTCATGGAAATCGTTTGATAAGACGACCAAAAAAGTTTTTCCCTTCCTGAAAACTTTTCTTGTTTTATCTGTCCTTTCGGGGGGATTTATTCATATTTCTGGGCGGCATCGGGAGAGATTAGGCGGGCACGTGGAACATCTTCTAGCCATACATTTTTATCCAAATAAAACTTACCAGAAAATGCTTAGAAAATAATTTTATTATAACGGAAATGTACATATTTTTCAAAGAATGAGAGAAAATGGGAAAATAAGACAAGAAGGAAATCCCCAAACCAGCCAACATTGGAGATTTTCCCCTCTTATATTCCTCCACTGTCGGGACAAGTGAAAGAGATTCACTTGTCCGAGTCCTTGGCGATTAGATAATTTGGCGGAATAACTATGAGGTCATCTTCGTCGGCCAGCGAAGGCAGAACGTCCAGGAGTGGCTTCAGATTCTCTGCAATATCCTCAGAGCTCTCAGATTCAGCTTCTATCGCGGCACTATCACTGCGACCGAAGCGCATGAAGGGATCAGAACGGCCAAATCTCAGAATATTCCTGTTCTGAGGATTCGTCTGGGCGCCACTTTTGTCCTCAGCACGTCCTAGACGAAGGAAATTGGTCTTCTGGTTGCGTCCGAATCGCATGAAATTATCTGGTTTTGCATCATTCCAATCCATCTCATTGGCCTTCTTCCTTCTCAGCGATGGTTCTAAAGAAAGTATTAGCGAATATTTTTATAATAAAACACACAAAATCATAATCAGAAGCCTTACCATAATTCCTCCCGAATCGTATGAAATTGCTGTTATCTGGTCGACCAAGTCGCGTGAGACTTTTATCGTCACTTCTGCCAAATCGCATGAAATTATCGCCACTCCTTCCGAATCTCAGGATATTTTGCGGATTCGATCGCCCAAAGCGCAGAATATTCTTGTCCGCTCGACCGAATCTCATAAAGTTCTTGTCTACAGAACTCCGACGGCGCGCCTCAATGTCCATCCTGTCGCTCCTCGCGTAGCGATGCAGAGGCTCTTCCGAGTCCTTGGACGCCTCGTAATCCTGACCATCGACGACTTCCATCTCGGCCACGGCGCGAGTGGCGAGGATGATAGTGCAAAATAGCAGGATTAGTTTCATTGTCTCAGCCGGCATCTGCAAGTGCGGTGGAATTAGGGGAATAAGCTTAAATGTCCATTTATCGTGTGGGCATTTCACAGTGAATGGATAGGATGTAACCGACGTACATAACGCTAATTGATTACATCAACTGGCCATAACAAAAAACGTAAAGAATCTCGTAAAAACGCAAAAAGTGTCGACAATCATGCCATGAATGGGTTCTACTGAGCTTTTCAATTGAATTGAGAGAGCTTAAGCTGGTTTAACATTTAAAAGGCGCTGCATTCATGGTTGGATTAGAGGTTTGAATGCGTGTTTCTCAATATGTTTGCTAGTTTCCTGAATAAGGCCAATCCAAGGGGCGAGAAATTGTGAGAAAAAACAGGCTCCCAATGAATTCCTGGCACGTTAATCTCACAATCTAGCATCAAAGGTCTAATTAAACTACTGAAAAATTGTGAACACGTTCTATTTTGGGAAGCATCACAGGAAAAACAAATCCAGTGAAAGAACAAGTCATAAACATGCTAATTTTTTGGACACGAGCTCTCAACCTGTTGCCACCCCCTCAATTTTTTAACTACTCCCGCAGGCTAAACTCAGGAAAAAATTCTCATCCTCGAACATAATCTGGATTTGACTGATGCCTGAATTGTTTGTTATGGAATTTAAGTAAACAGAAATTGTGCTTCGAGCAAGAATTTTTCGCAAAAATACGTATCATTTCTTTGCGAATACACAATTTTTGAATTATTGCATTAAACAGAAGCCCATCATGAACACTCACGTGATAATTTATCATTATTTGCGATGGTGTATTTTTAATAATTAAAAACCACTCGAGAGTATCTTTCGGGGGAAATATTTTTATCAAGGTAAATTAATTAAGTCTCCTTTCGTGGTTTTTTGCTCTCTCACCCAATATTTCCTCTGGGCGACGAGGAAGAGATTCAGTCAAGGCGGAGATGACAAATGACGGCATCATCCGAACAAATAATTAATAATTATGACCTGATAATGTTATTTACATCTCAAATATGCCTCCGTATCCCGGAGAATATCTTCCCCGACTCGTTGGGCAGAGAAAGGGTTGTTCAAGGGTTGGATTCCACTTTTGTGTAATAAATAGTATCAAATTTCCCCATTCTAACGCTCCAACAAGCTCCTATTATAACTGCTAATCGCACTTATAATGTGACACTTTTCCAGCCATAATTATCAACTTCTCAATTCGCATGGGGCCAATTTTCCAGTGTGTGCAATTTTATTCATGACATCATAAAATTATGACGTATTTCGGGTGGTAAAATGGATATAAATTAACGTGGGAATTCTATAAAATTTTATCACATGAAATTAATACAGCGAAAATGAACTCTTGAGAGAGTTTTTCTTTCTTTCTTCAAAAGGGAAAGGGAAGAGTGTAAAAAGCGTTAAAAAGTATCGTATTCTCGCATGAAGTGCTTAAATTATATACTTAGTCGTTATTCTGAAGTCATTTCGCGACTTATTAAAACCTGTTGAGTCTCAGAGAATATTTAATAATTTGGATTTTGTTTAGTTATACTTTTTTGCCAGCAAATTCACGCAATTCTATGTAATATATTTTCACTTCATTCCACAATTTCTAACTCAATTTCCGCTTCATTTGATTGGGTATTTTGTTATCAAATTTTTCTCTTTTGATATTTCAGAGTTTTTCTGAAGAAAAATACACTTTTTTTCTCTAAAGGTTGTGGTCAAGAGAAAAAACCTCCTCATCTTGTCTGATAATTAGGAAGAGAATAAAATCACGTTACGACCTTATGGCATGAATTTCTAATGACCACTGGAAATTCTCAGAAGGGTTTCGCAGTGGGAATGACGATATCCAAGTCAATCAACTTGTTGCGCTTGTTTGGGCGTGAAACTTTATACATCGAGCCTTTGAAAGCTTTGAAATATAGAGAGTATTAGAAATTCTCTGGAGCAAATTTGTGAGTCTTTTGATACTGTACTTGGGATGGGAAACAGTACATTTTCCGCCTGTTGCTCGCGTGAGTGAGGGAAGCAGAAGAAAAAACCCACCCACTATGAAGATGTTGGCAGTACAGAGTACAAAGGAAAACCGCCGCTTTTTCCAAAGAATGATTGATGATGCGATAAAGACACATTTTATATTGCATGACAATTTTGGATAGAGGCAATTTGATGATAAAAGCACACAATAGATTAGTAGAGAATGGAATTATCATGGTGGATTGGGGAGGATATTTGATGCCATAGACTCACCACTAGAGAAGCTCCTTAACAAATCATTATCGAATTCACTATCGCGAGAAAAAGAAACTGAGGTAAAATCGGAAATTCACTGAGGAACTGCCCGTGAATTTCACTTTCAACACAATCAAGCTGAAGAGTTCTGCGACGAGAAGCAGGAAGATTCTGTCTGGTGGCGGCGTGAGAACGTCTGTCCTTTTATACTCATCGAATTCAGTGCACAGAAGCATCCCAACGAGCAGGCTCGAGAACACAATTGCCTCTCCTCAGTCGCTTTGCCATTGTATGTCGCCTCGTGCATTAACACCGCCGCGCTGACCATAAGAGGATCTCCTCTTCATCCTTCGTGCTACTCCTTGCGACGGGTGAGATGTGATTTCCGTTGGTGGAGCATAAATCACAGGCATCAGCATATCTACCCACGCACTTCATAAGCATGAAAATGGGCCAAATTGTCGTGCTGCTCGGACTTGTTCAACAACGTTGCCCAACTTGAGCTCTTGAATTGAGGGGCAGAAATGAGAAGACCATATTGCAGGCAAATTCGCTATAGAAAAACAATCCTAAATGTTACATAGGAAAAGTTTTTAAAAATTCTCAGAATTGATACAATTTTGTTAAATGCCGATTTGAGTATCTGAAACATACTAATCTTTTTATTTAGTATCTTTCAGAATTTCCTAAAATCCCACTTCTTTATTATACGCTGCGGCAACTGAAGTTCGGCATTCTTCTCGTGTGTATCGAAGACTTTAAAAAGTGATTTGATAAAATGTGACTTCGAAGGAAATTTTCTGATGTCCTTTCGCAGCCAAAGACATCACACGAGAAGATTTTATTGTAGAATTGTTTGAACTTTCAGTTCATTACTTCGTGTATGGCAAGAAAAGCTTACTAATCTGTTGTGCTAATCTTCCATTCAATCTGCTCTATGAATGATTTTCTCTCTGAAACCCCTTTGCGATTTTGTTCTGGTGAATATCTTATTCAACTGTGGGTGGTGTGATAACTAGTTGTCTTTCAGCGCATATCAATTAATTTGAAATATTGGTGAGTTGACCCTATTTGATATATCAATAATACCACTTGTCCTTTGCATGAAGATATTTCCTTACGCCCGAGGCATGCAAATTAGCATGCCTGAAAGATTCAATTAGGGCAAATCAAATTGAGTATTTTCTTACCACAATTTACAGCACGGATTGCCCTGCGGATTGCATAGTAATTCAATCCGATACTGCTGAGATGCTGACAAAAGTAAACCATTTTCAGACTGAAAGATATAATCTAGATAAGCGAAGGAAAACCAGAAAATGTTAGTTTTTAAGTCTCTTTAGTGTTGAAATCTTGGCAAACATTTAGTTTTTTAAGAGTTTTAACAAAATAATACGCAATCTTTCGAGTTGTGTGGCGTTGTATCACATTGTGGGCGCATTCACGCACCAGCACCGAGTCCGGGAGCCTCTTCAGCACCCTCCTACAGCACCATCCTGGGCTGTCTATCGCGGTTCGCATCGAACAGTGTCTGCTCATCCTGACTGTCTTCGTCCTCCTCCTCCGCCATAGGCAGGGGTGTCAGCTCCTGTGCACTGCGGTCCCCCAACACTCCGTAGCGGCGCTCCGCCCTCGACGTGCGTAGCCGGAATGAGCGAAAGAGTATGAAGAAGAGCAGCAAAATGCCAATTGCAGCGAATGCTAGAAAGGCAGTTTGCAGGGAACTATCATCTGACATGCGGGGCTTCACGGGTGCCCCAGTTGTATTGTTTCCAGAAGTCTCGGGCGTGGGAGAGTCTTTCTTCACGCTGTGCGACTCTTCGGCTGTGATTCTCATGATGATTCCCAGGAAGAGCGTTATACTAGCTTCAATGACGATTGATGACGGTCTGCCCAAGATATGGGGCACCATTTTCGCAGACAAGTGTGCGTAGTTACTGGGAAAACTTAGTTTTTGGGAGTTTCTGCACCTTTGTAAACACGGGAAAAAGTCAAAACAAGGTGTTAGGCTGCGTATATGCTGATGATATGTCAACGAGTCACCCGCATCGGATATACGCAGCCATTGCATACATAAACTGATGTCAGCTTGCAACTAACTTTAGTATTGTTGTGAAATTGTGCTTGTACATTTTGAGGGTGGAAAATCCTCAATTTCTAGCGTTCTCTCTGCAAAAATGGCATCATCAAGTCGTGATCATGCATCGCAGGCCAGCGCAATGACACAACCTATGCAGAGCCTCGCGGCGAAACAGAAATATATCGAGGAATACGATTTTCCTTACTGTGACGAGTCCGGGAAGTATGAGAAGGTGTCTAAAATTGGCCAGGGGACTTTTGGGTGAGTATTCTCGTCTGGATTTCTAACTTTTGGAAGCTATTCTATCTGCCAAGAGTGTAAGAGGAAAAAATTTCTTGTAAAATTGTCCGTGAGAGCCTGTAAAAATGAGAAGGACTTTTTCTTGCGAGATCTGGAAAGTTTTGGGACACCTTTTAAGGACAATGTTAAAATTGGCTGAGAAGATTCCCTTTTAACTATGGAAATGGAAATTTTCATGAAAATTAGTAGATTTAAGGCAAGAAATCGATGGAAAAAGAAGCAAACATAACCTCACTTTTTAATCTATTTCAGGGAAGTCTTCAAGGCACGAGAAAAGAAGTCCAATAACAAGTTCGTAGCCATGAAAAAGGTTCTGATGGACAACGAGAAGGAGGGCTTCCCCATCACAGCTCTGAGAGAGATTCGAATCCTGCAGCTGCTGAAACATGAAAATGTGGTGAATCTGATTGAGATTTGTCGAACGAAGGCTACCCAGCATAATAGATACCGATCCACATTCTATCTGGTGTTCGACTTCTGTGACCACGATCTCGCCGGCCTGCTGTCCAACATGAACGTGAAGTTCAGCCTTGGGGAGATCAAGAAGGTGATGCAGCAGCTCCTCAACGGACTCTACTACATCCACAGCAACAAGATCCTGCACAGAGACATGAAGGCCGCTAACGTGCTGATCACGAAGAACGGCGTGCTGAAGCTGGCCGACTTCGGTCTGGCCAGGGCCTTCTCCATAACGAAGGGCGGCCAGCCCAATAGGTACACGAATCGCGTGGTGACGCTGTGGTACCGGCCACCGGAGCTTCTGCTGGGCGACAGGAACTACGGACCGCCGGTGGACATGTGGGGTGCTGGCTGCATTATGGCCGAGATGTGGACGCGGTCACCTATTATGCAGGGCAATTCGGAGCAGCAGCAACTCGTGTTCATCTCGCAGCTGTGCGGCTCTTTCACCAAGGAAGTGTGGCCGGACGTGGAGAATCTGGAGTTGTACTCCAAGATGGAATTGCCCATGAATTACACACGGAAGGTGAAGGAACGCCTGCGGCACTACGTGAAGGATCCCCAAGGCTGTGATTTGCTAGACAAGCTGCTTCAGCTCGACCCCAAGTCGCGTATCGATGCCGACACAGCGCTCAATCACGACTTCTTCTGGACTGACCCCATGCCGACTGATCTCAGCAAAATGCTCTCGCAGCACACAACCAGCATGTTCGAGTACCTCGCGCCGTCGCGTCGCTCCGGGCAGATGATGCGCCAGCACCAGCAGCAAATCGCCGTTAATCAGGTGCAGTCTAAGCAGCAGGAGAATAGCTACCAAGATCGCGTATACTGATTCCCATACTCATCTTTTGTACAATAAATCACCCATCAAAAGTCCAAAATCTTGTCCTTTAGCGCTTTATTCCGGACTTACTTCCTGGACGCCGAGGCGAGAGCAGCTGCGGCTTCATCCTCCTTGGCGTGCAACGCCATGAGTTCCTGCTTCTTGGTGGCGATGCGCTCCTCGCGGCGCTTCCTGGCCTCACGAACGCGCTGACGTCTCGCCTCCGCCTGATCGTTCAGCATCTTCGTGCGCTGCTTCTCGGCCTTCTTCTTGTGGATGTACTCCATGAGGACGCGCTTGTTCTTGAACACGTTACCCTTGCTCTTCATGTACAGATCGTGATACAGGTGACGGTCGATCTTCTTGGCATCGCGGTACTTCTTCAGCAGACGCCTCAGCACACGCATACGCTGCATCCAGAGATACTTCACGGGCATCCTGGCGTTGGCAGTACCTTTCCTCTTTCCTGTGCCACAGTGGCGACCCTTGCGACGCGCCTCCGTGTTCTTGCGGACGCGGTAGCGGGAGTGCACCACCACAGGCTTCTTGATGATCAAACCATCCTTCACCAGCTTCCGGATGTTTTGGCCTGCAACAGAAAAAACGAGTCAAAATCCTCAAAAATCTCTAAACTCTACTTCTCCACTCACGGGAATTGGTGTTGGCAATCTCATTCACTTCATTAGGATCCAGCCACACCTTCTTCTTGCCACATCCCATCACGGAGGCGGCAAGCCTCTTCTGTAACTTGAGCGAACTGTGTCCGGAAAGAGAAACAACAAGATTAGTGAGGTTATGCTACAGAACCATAAGAAAAATCACAGTTCCGGGAGGATTTGACCAAGAATTTACCCCTGTGATCTCTCTATGGGGCACCATTATGAAATTATCGAAGGCTTTTCTCTGGAATCCCCGGAAAAACCAAGGAAATGTCAACAAATGAACCATGTGGAGTGCCTCAACAAATATCACTCTATTTCGCCTGTATTTTCTGTATATTGTACGTAATTTTCCCGTCAACTTTGCAGCACGGCACTGATTCATGAATTTTATATGGTTCTTGAGAGTCATTTCCTGAGTTTTCCAGAGATTTTCGGGAAAAATATGAAGAAAGACACGCACCTCATCTTGATTTCACCACAAACGATAGAGAAAGGAAGTGCCGGTGGTGAGTTCTGGGCCGTCAAATGTGTGTCATTTTTCGTGAAACACGATTGCAACGTAGCTGAAACACGCCAGTCGAGCGTTAGCGTCAGCGTCTGGCGATTCAGAAATTCTTAATTACTCAATAAAAGAACCATTTTCTAAATGTAACATTGAAACATATATATTTAGAGCGTTTAAAACTAGGTTTTAAAGAGTATTTAACCAGACATGATTTCTCTTTAATTGCAGGTCGATAAGGTCAACTGAAGTCTTAAAGGTAAGCAATTATTCTCCCATTTAGAAAAAAGGCATTGCAAGGATGGCAAAGATACGAAGAAGCGTGAGTTATACAGAGATGTGTGCGGTATGTATTTAAAATATTATTGGTTCCATTTATTTGTTTGCCATTGTGAGAATTATTGCTGAATACGAAACAGACAATTTGAGGATCTGTAACAAGAAAATATTATTTTCATATAAATTATTTAACACGAACTAAAAAATACTTTACTTGAATGACAGCCATAAGAGAAACATCGTACATTCCAGCGGCTTTAAGTCCAATCGGTTCACAAGAGTTCGTCATCATCGTAAGAAGAATTTTTTGATCGGTTAAGTTCATCTCGTACCAATTTGTGAGGTAAAGATTTTGGAAAATCTGCTCTGTTTGGAATCGAATTAATTCGCCAAAGAGGCACAAGAGCGCAAGCTGAATAACGAGTGTGAATAGAATCACATGCATAACAACCACATCTTTAAAAATTTGAATAGAGAAAATGATCACGAGGAAAATTGATGTGCTCATGAACAATTGAATGAACGACATGAACTTCACGAGATCATTGAAGGTGCCCAGAGTTCTGATCATTCCAATGTGCTTCTCAAGGATGCGAATTAAAAGATTCGGACATTTCTCCATTGCATCCTTGTCGTCCAGACACTTTATCATTCTGTTGATAATCTTGATGGACTTTATGACATAAATTCCAATAATGATAATTCCAGTGTCTGATAAAGCATTCCATGTTGTTCCCATTAATGTTGAAAATGCTTGAATCATCATATACGTTAAATGATAATCGAGAGTTAAATATGGGATTTTTAGAAAGATTATATCTTTGGTCACGAAAGTTAACACATATCCAATTCCACATATCACAAACAATGGTATGTAGAACCTGAAATAACAATACATGTAAATTGTCTTTAAAAATTCCGTATTTCGTGAACTGACTTAGAAAAAGTAATTGAAAATTCCTTTGCTTCCTTAATTTCTTCATTAACGATATCTCGTATAATTACATTATCTTCCTTCTCATCATGCAGAGCTTTTATCCAATCCACCAGAAGTTGGCACTCTTGCAAGAAAGGAATTCCTCCGAGATTTTTAAAGTTGAACTGAAGATATCCGAGAAGAATGAGTCCGCCACAGGTCATTCTCAGAATATCCACTTCTGTCTCGTCAGAGATCATCTCAAAAATATTCATGGTGTCAGTAATGCAAAAGAAGAGCGAATAGATTGTGCACCAAATAAATATGTAATCATATCTCGGTTCGTTTCGAAAGGGCCGAAGAATTCTTGCGCTGACACAGAATTTGAGAAACTTGTGAAAATCGAACAATATGGCAGTCATTTCTGAACACCTCTTATCACACTGTATTGAATAGTGAAGTGAGGAAGTCTTTTATATTAGCAAGATTTGCAGTCACAAAATCAATATTTTATGTAATACAGATGGCAATTTCCCCCGGGAAAAGTGCAAGACAACATTTCTCAACTAGGAAAGTAACTGACAACGTGTCAGAATAAAATTTTTCACGCTACATTGAATAATGTGTTAATTTATTTATATTTATGGGAAATAACACATTTGTTTTAACCCCACTTGAATGAATTTCAATTAAGCTGGGTTTCTGTAACTTGAGTGCTTGTAGTTTTCTTCGGTTTCGTTTTATTGAAATGTGTATAGATAGTTCTTGCTTAATTTCAATCCTAATTTTGATGTAGTTTTGGTGAAATTGATGAAGCTTGAATCTTCAAATCTGCTCTGTTTGGAATTAAAGCATCTCACCGAAAAGACACATAAACATTAACATACTGTAACGAATCCTAAATCGCCGATGTCCTTTTTATTACAAAGAATTTGGAAAGTCAGAAGATTAATATTTCTCAACTTTAGAAGCCGTTTTCATCAAAGAAGACTCGTGAGGATTTGACAACAAGGGTAAATTGTAAATTTCTACTGATATCTCGGATAGAGGCAGAATTATTTCTTTCACACTCTCAACATAACAATGTGCTGAAAGAGTGTCATTTATTGACACCGCGTGAGAGAACTCACACTCGTGGTTATCTGGCTAAAGAAACTCTATTTAACATGTCACCACTGACCAAACAGCTAATTTTCCTTCTCACACTGTGTGAGTTGTGAAAAGTGGGATTTCCGCAAGGATAACATTTGTCACATTTGTAATTTGTAGTCTGTTATGCAAGGCACAAGACATGCTAATGATGATTGAATAATAGATTGAAGGATTTGACTAGGTATATGTTCCTGTAAAATGAGACTTCGCAATCAAATTACAAAGGGATATTATTAAAGAAAACTACTGAGTAATGGAATGCAGACACAAAATAATAATTATGATTTGTTATTGTTGATGCCAATTTCCTTCAGGAACATCGCGATATTCAGGTTAAGCAATGAATTGTAAACTTTTATCGCAAATTTATTTTGAAGCACCAACTGTATTATTTGAATTGTTCATTTGCTTCCTTTTGATTCTGCATATGTGTATACATTATTGATATGAGAATCCACACAATTGTTTCCAGTCAAGCGAGGAGAGTTCAATTTCATTTCATTCATACCCAAGTACTCGTTTGCACGAGGTGAATTAAACCTATTTTCTCACTGTCTTTCATTTGATACTGTATTGGCCAAGATATTGACATTATACTCATTTTCTTTTACAACTCTCATCAGTTAGACATGGATGAACTTTTGGAAATTGCCAGTATTAAATTAAATTAATTTGAGCAAAGTAACGGGCTTAGTAAAAATCGAATATTCTTATACAGACATTCAACATTTATTTAGAATCTTCAACTTGAACAAGTGTGATAACAATTGCTGGTTTTGTTTATTTGCTTGTCATTGTGAGGATTATAGCTGAATACGATGCAGACAATTTAAGAATCTATAATAGAGGAAGAGTCATGTTTATTTGTAATTAGTTGGATGTTAAATATAACTTATACCTGAATAACAGACATGAGAGAAACATCGTACATTCCAGCGGCTTTAAGTCCAATCGGTTCACAAGAGTTCATCATCATTGTAAGAAAAATCTTTTGATCAGTTAAGTTCATCTCGTACCAATTTGTGAGGTAAAGATTCTGAAAAATCTGCTCCGTTTGGAATCGAATTAATTCGCCAAAGAGGCACAAGAGCACCAATTGAATGATGAGTGTGAATAGAATCGCATACATTATGATGATGTCCTTGTAAATTTGAATAGAGAAAATGATCACGAGGAAAATTGATGTGCTCATGATCAAATGAATAAATGACATAAATTTCACTGCAATATTGAAAGTACTCAGAATTCTGATCATTTCGACGTGCTTTTTCAGAATGCATATCAGAAGATTTGGGCATTTCTCCATTGCATCCTTATCGTCCAGACACTTTATCATCCTGTTGATGACTTTGATGAACTTTATGGCATGAATTCCGATTATGATAATTCCGGTGTCTGATAATGCAGTCCATGTTGTTCCCAATAAGACAGAAAATCCCTGTATTATCATACTTATAAAGATATGATAGTCAGGAAATAAATTTGGGATTTTCAAAAAGATTATTCCTTTACGAACAGTCGTTATTACATATCCCAGTGAACTTATATCAAATAAAAATAGATAAACTCTGCAATGATAGAAAGTGTTTGTGTAAAATCTTTCAGATAATCTTCAAAATTAATGAAACTTACTTGAAAAATTTAACAGAAAATTCCACTGCTTCAGTTATCTCCTCATCAACGATATCTCGTATAAGTTCATTATCTTCCTTCTCTTCGTGTAATCTTCTGATCCATTCTACAAGAATCTGAAACTCTCGTAGAAAAGGAGTTCCTCCGAAATTGGTTAATGTAAACTGAAAGTATCCGAGAAGAACGAGTGCACCACAAATCATCCTGAAGATATCCACGTCTTTATCGTCAGAGACCATCTCAATGATGTTCATGGAATTAGTAGTGCAGAAGAAGACGGAATAAAGAGAGCATCCAATGAAGATTATATCATATCTTGGTTCATTTGGGAATGGCCGAAGAATTCGCGAAGTGACACAGAACTTGAGAAACTTGTGAAAGTTCGACGTAATGTCCAACATCTTGAGATCACTTGATACACTGTAGAGAGTTCTGAAGTGAGGATTCCCTTTATATTCGCAGGATTCGGAATGTGATTGGGCTAATAAAATATTTCACAGGTTCAGATGTCAATTTCCCTAGGGAAAACCTCGGTATGTTTGTGCCAAGTTAATCAAAGGAAATTTATATATATTTAATGTATTTAATTGCGAATCTCTTTTGATGTTCTTCGTACATTTATTCCCACTCTGCGACTTTCAATATGTCGCTTTCTCTTTGAGAATAAGTGAATATTCAATTAATTTTTAATATCAAAGTGATTTTTTTCCTCTCAAATTATCGTGCAAAACATTTTCTACATTTTATCTTTTAAATGCAAAATTTGCGCATATTAATGTCGTGAATTCTGCACACCTGAACTTTCATCCTTAATACTTTATATCTTGAGTTCCTTTCTTGATTACTTCTCGCGATTTTGTTAAATCCATTTGGCTCTTTTAATAATACACATTTAATACAATCATGGAAGTTTGCCAGTGTTAGTCACAGAGAAGGGTTGATGCAATGCCGCTCTGTCCAGCACTTCTAATCGATTTCTGCCCTCAAAACTATCATAGTTGCTTCTCCCACCCGGGATTTCTAAAGGACTTACGGCAAAAGTGTCCGACGTGAGGGAGACTGAAGTGTCTGACCTGAGAAATATAATACATATAATGAGGCGAAATTCCTTTAGAACCGCTAGATACAAACCTCGACCCATCGCTCGTGATACTCGTGATCGATGTGCACATTTTTGCACCACTTTCACTGACTTTAGGTGTCTGTAGAGCAATAAAAATCCTTATTTAATTCGTCATAGTCAACTTTGATACATTTCCATACCTCCTTGGTTAAATCCTGTGGCTCCTGATCTCTGCCGATGGAGATTCTAGTGAGCTTCTCATTTAGATGGTCGTTTTCTTCGCTTAAGAATTGCGCTCTACTGCGAAATCCCTCCAATTCCACTGAAATTCTATCGTAATCATTCTGCAGAGTGACAATCTTCTCCACCAGTTCAGATTTGGAGTGCAGAAGCGCGATCACGCTGGACTTGGCCTCATCCAGACTGGCTTGGAGTGTGTCATTCTTGCTCTGCAGATCATGAAATTTGTCACTCTTGGTGGATGTCTCCTTGAGAAGCATGGAAAAGCGCTCCTGCTGCGTCTTCAGCGATTGTTTCTCAGACTCCGCCTCGGTGAGCTGCTCTCTCAACTCCTCAACTAATCTCTTGGATTGCTCAAGTTCCTTGATTTGCCTCGCGAAACGATCACTCTTTTCACTCTGCTCCGTTAATTTCCTCTGCAGATCTCCTGTGGATGAAAATAAATTATTCACTTCTTGTTCATTCCCAGACATCTTAAAAATTACCATTTTTCCTCTTTTCCTCATTGAGCGCTGAGGCACTTTGTTTTATCATCTCATCCATTTTTTCAGACTTACTCTTGAACTCCCGCTTCAATTCATCCATTTTCTCCCTAATGTGGATTAGTTGGACATTCTCAGCAATGTGCTTCCTCAGGCGCAGTTCCGAAACTTGATTGAAGAGCTCCTTATTCTTTCTGTGTTCGCCCTTCAGCTCTTCTTTGAGATCCTCAAGCTCTCGTGTGAGCTCCTCAATCCTGTTCCTGTACTCCTTCAGCAATTCCTCCTGCTTGGGCGATTCTGAGATTTTCACCTCTTCTTGTGGAGATGGTACAGGCTCATCAAATGTTAGTTGACTTCCTGTGCGATCTCTCAACTCTGAATAAGGCCTTGCCGAGGGCAAAGGCAATCCGTATTTCTTACAGATGCCTGTTAATTTCTCTCTGAGTTGCGAATTCTGCATCTCCAGATCGAATATTCTGAGCTGAACTCTTTCCTCTACTGATAGAGTTTCCCGACTGCGATTGGATGTGCTCTTGATGTCAAAGGAAGTGATTCTCAAGAGTTTTGTGATTAGTCTCTTGATTTTCTCCTGATTAGCATGATTCTCTCGCTTGAGGGTGAAGTGTTCGTCACAGAGAGAGATGTAACTATCCTCCAGATCTCTCCTGGACATCTTAGCCACACGCTGGTGCTCAAAAATGAGATCTCTCTGGTCAGATTTAATGCACCCTCGGTAGTTTTTATCATACGGCGATAGTTCACACTTGTAACTGGAAAGAAAAGAAGGGTTTTTGAACGGGAAGAATTCAGGGGCTTTTTTCTGGACTCACGGTCTGCTTGAGCAGGGCCTTCCGGCTGAAAGTTGGCGCCTCATCCTGGAAATTCCTGACCACAGTTGTTTGTAAACGAATTTGCATCACCATGGAGATGAGAAAAGTGGGCTTTCGGAGTTGGATTTTGGGCACTTTTTTCGAGTAATTTGACTGATGAAAGCAATTATTGTAATTTAAGTTGTTATATCTGATGATAAACACATTAAGAATGCTTCCTTTTGCCAGTGAATTCATGAACGCAGCAGAGCAATGCGAATTCCAAGAGCCCGCCAACTCCCGGAGTGGTGAATAACTGTGGGGCTTCCGGATGGTGGTGAGTGCGCTTGACAGCGTCAGCGGTGGTCATGTCAGAGAAAAATGGAGTAATCGGAAATTCATCAAGCCGTGTAGTGCCGTGTTAAATTTCAATTTTGTCAATGTTTAGTGGTAAGGAAGCACCTGAAATATCACTTAATATCTTTATCAGACACCAATGGTCCGTGTGATGTGTGGTAATTGTGAAAATTGATGGAAATTCATGTGCTAATTCGATGAACAACTTCCACCATTGCCTCTTGGAATTAGGAGGATAGTGTGCAAAACATTGACGCCTTCTTTTTTTCTTCTTCTCTCCACTTCTCTGGTCTCCACATTGTGGCGAGAAGTATCACTATATCACCCATCCCATCCTCTTGAGCGTGTATGTTGTGAGTGGCGAAATGGCTAGCTGTAGTTCAGTGCGAGCCAGTAACTGATAAATGACGACATTGATAAGTTTCAGCCTCGGGCGCCCTTCCGGAATGTCGGGGGCACCTCATGCTAATCCTCCCATTGACCCGGGGGTTTTCCCTGACGTCGACGATGACATAATTCCGCAGTGACGGTCGCGTGAAGTGACAATCTCGTGAGTTCCCATGAGACATTCCTGGCCTGGACTTGTTATTCCGTGGACAAGAACCCGTTTCATGAGTCATCGTGAATGCCAAAGGAATGCCTCCTCACTCTCTCTCACTCTCTGGCCTCTCTTGACTGGCAGGCATCAACAAGTGATCTCAGCTCCTCTTCCACACATCTTCCCGCGTCTGTCCAGTGCCACTGAGGCAGAGAAGCGAAGAAGCACACAAGAGATTCCACAAGAGGAAATTATGTGTGTAGACTTGAGCGAATTCCCCGTTAGATTGAATGAAAGTAACATAAGAAGAGGCCCCAGAGTTGATATTCTACACACCAATATTCAATAGAGAAGGGAAAAACTATATGCATCTATGGAGTGTGTGGGAGAGGAAGGAATTTTTGCGATAGAGAGCAAACAGTCGTGCGGATGCTTTTCTGCTGATAAGAAACAATTTTCTTACCAGTTCACCAACGGAAATTTCTCCCTGAAATGTCACAAAATGAGCCTGAAATGGGAAACAGTAATTGCTGAGAATATTAATTTGATACGCCAGTGAGAGATTTGCCCATTTAATTTACTTGTTGTCTTAAGAGCTTTTCTCAGGAAAATGTACACTCAGGCAAAATGGAATGTCAAGGATTTGCGCTAGCGCGTAATTTTTATTGTATACTTTATATATTATACCTGATTTAAAGGGTGTTCGAAATATTTAAAATTCAAAGAGCCTCTTTTTCTGTAAATAGAAAGAAAATTGAGCAGTTTTGGGGCATTTTTTAAAGTTTTTTTTTCTTCGTATCACGTTCTGACTTTTTCCTCCCATATCGGTTTTTCCGAGATAAGACCATTGCTTTACTTTTTCTTAGAATACGCGTAATAGTAATTTCTGACAAATCTTACATTGTTTTTTCGATTACGAATAAAACGAACGAGAAAAAAATCGCTAGTCATTTAAGATTGATTTTTCAGTGAATCGATTTTTAGCTGTTAGAAGCATAAAACTCCTCCTATTTAAAGGCTCCGCCCACTCAATTGTGTTATCCTTACATTGAGCCTTACTGGTTATCGCCACTGCCTTTGTATTAGACACTTGTATTATTATTTTGCGGGATTTGTCCTTCTCCTCTTCTGTTATTAAAAATTTGTCGAAATAAGTCATGAGCAATAGTGAAAGAGAGTCAAGGATTCCAGTTTTGTCATGAAATTTGACGAGCTGAAAATAGACACATAATATATTCTCCGCCCAATTTTCTTTCCCGAAAAAAAAACCTCTTCTTCCCTGAGAGCGAGAAGTATGCACACGTGTTCCTTTCCCTGACTTTGGCTACGATGGAAAATTTTCCCAATTACTATTCGTCACTAATGATGCTTGGAGTATTTATATTATCAGTTGCATACTGGACTTATGGTGTATTTTGTTGACCTTCTTTCGTCACTTTTGCCAACAAGTGCGGCTGTGTAAAGTGTTTTACATAATCCCATGCCCTTCGCCGCCGCAGAAGAAGTATGAGAGAGCATGTTTCCTGATAAAGCACAAATGCGATAAAGCCGCGATACGCGACAGAGATAGTCGTTTGAAAGAGTTGTTTGCGGTTTTTTGCATGTCCCAAACTGGCAAAAGACGATGTGGAGCAACAAATAAAAATATAACCGTGAAATAATTAAATGAGAGCTCTCGTGGGGTGGTTTCGGGAGATATTTTCAAACATATCTCTCCTTCTCTCTCTTTATTTATTTACCTTCACGTTTCCATAGTCACACGATGTGTGGGTGGCAATTGCGCGGGGTGGCGATGGGGTGTGATGATCATGACTTTAGTGGGTGGATGAAAATTTAAATAAAAGCCAGGTGAAGAGGGTGAAACAGGCTCTCGTGTAATTACCTTGACGAAGTGCACTCGAGGTTCCATCCCTGGTGGTCAATGCTGGAGCTACTTGGCTGCCTTTTGGCACTTGACCGTCAATATGGGGAATAAGAGTGAGCTCAAATTACCATTGGATTGCTGTAGGTCATCATCATGCGCTCTGAAACGGCTGGAATTAATAGCCGAGCAGGAATATTTCCTTTAAATATTTTCATCTCATAAGCAATTTGATTCTGGAATAATTTCTCTGGTAGAGTTTTCTGGGAATGTATTTGCATTTCAAATTTTGCAAATTAAGTAGCAAGAAATTACTTCGCTTTAATATCCAAGATGAGGTTTTTCTTAGTTTTCTACTCTTGAGATTCGACTTATTCATTCCCAAGTCTAATCTTTCAGTATATTCCAGGTTTAACGCACGTTGAGCTGAATTCTTCAAAGTTCTATTCAGAAGAACTTTCCTTTCACATATTCTTCTCTTTCCTTGATGCATAAGAGAAAGAGGGAGAAAGAGAGAGAGAGAGAGAGCGAGAATGGGAAGCGCAACGCATGAAAGATGAATTACTTGCGAGTATTTTTCACGTACTTTTTCATTCAGTTTGTCGGAGAAGAATCTTTACTATTCTTCTCTTTGCCATCTTTGGAGTGCGATTGAGAAGAATAAGCATAGAAATTCACTGGCATCTGCAATGTGCAATAAATTCTATTGTGTCTCTTGATCTACAAAGGCATTATCCGTTCGTCATTCATCCACCTTGGAATTGTGATGTGTATGCGTGGGTGGGAAGTTAAGGGAGAGACTATGGTTAAGTGCATGTATTAATTGTTACGGTGATTTTTATCCCTCTCGTCTTCTGGGCGCCTTCTATCAAGTTCAATCAACGGCATTTCCTCTATTCGTGCCGACCTTCATCTCCCATTATCACGTATTAGGGAAATTGTTTCACCAGAGGGAAAAGCGATGGCTCAGGTTACGCAAGAATCCACTGTCAAACGCCTCAGGTGGAGTGTCTGGAAGACTGACTTGTAGTGTAAATCACACTGTACGGAAGTGAAGAAGAGGCAACCTTGGCCAAGAAGGAAGGAATATCTAATCCTCCGATAGTGAGTGTTGCGTGGATGGCGAGAAACTGCTATAGTTAAGCTTGATAAGAGTGCCAGGTGCGTGAATGATTGTGATTCATACGTGTGTAGGGCATAATTTTGGTGTCCATTAAAATTCCATCCATATAAATTTAACTTTTGCAATGAGTATCAATTTAAAATGTCAAAATATTTCTTATCACGCCACCCACAGAAATGCTTCTCCCCCTCTCTCTCTGTCTCTCTCTCTCTCTCTCGCCATCTGTGGTGTTCACAGCTCAACAAGACAATATTTCTCAATGTGTGTGCAATTTCATGAATTAATTTCTATTGAAGCGTGTCTGTACTTGTGGATGAGGAGAGAGAATTTGCCTGATTTCTTGCACATCTCAATGAAATCTCCCGTGAGAATGGTAATTAATTATGAAACAAATAACAGATGAATTTCAATGGTTGGTTTTTTCTTCAGTTCACCTTTTAATTGTATTTTCTCCCCGTTTTGGTATTATCACATTACAGATGAAAAAGAGTTTTTAATAGCATAGAGATTTAATGTTAATTTTCCATGTACATGTTTTCTTATTCAAGTCTGTAAAAAGTTGAGGAGTGGGAGTTGAAAAGAGCGCAAATTGCATTTTATTATTGAAGTGAAGAAATCAAGATGTGAAATGATTCTAGATGATTTATAATTATATCCTCAAATTGTCACACAACATCAGCAGAATGTGTGAAAAAGATCACGGCATTGTGCTAATATTTTGTCGCTGTGCGCTTTATAGCACAATGTGATGTGTGATGGGTTTAGTTATGTTGAAAAGAGCTGTGCAAGGCACGTATGCAGACCACGATGAAATTGTTGTGAAGTGAATTTCCACCATGCAGCGGCAGGTGATTGATTGGAATTGTGTGAACGATGCAAAATTACATTCAACACGTAATACAAAATACCACTGCACTTGATTCACTCCATTCCCTCTATCTCGTCGTCTCGTTGACTGTATGTTGGTGAAGAAGTTACAATGCCTCCCACACAGGACTGTACGTTGCTCCCTGACCCATCTCAATGGTTGCCCCATGCGCCGAGGGAGTCGTAAATTCTGTCTTCCAGCACAGGGATGTTGTTGCGGGTGGGTTTTGTTTGTACAATTGTTGAGACGCACTGTTGAATCCACTTATTTTCCTCTTGAATGAATAAATGGTGGGTAAATGCTCTTGGTTGTCCCAGTTGAAATAGGGGCGCGCCCTTTAGGCCCGTGAATGGTTTGTGATCAGTGTGCATAGTTTACTAACAAAAAAAAACGTGTGTTTTCCTCTTCTCTTTCAGTTGCCCCGTCTGGGGTGTCAATAAATCCAGAATGGGGAAGTTGCTATCGAAAATTTTCGGCAATAAAGAGATGAGGATACTGATGCTCGGCCTGGATGCAGCTGGTAAAACGAGTGAGTATAAATAAAGACAAATCTTTCTAAGTATAGTAATGCATCACTTGTGTCTTGTCTTTACAGCAATTTTATATAAATTGAAGTTGGGTCAATCTGTGACAACAATACCAACTGTGGGATTCAACGTTGAAACTGTAACATACAAAAATGTCAAATTTAACGTGTGGGATGTGGGTGGACAGGACAAGATTCGTCCACTATGGAGACACTACTACACAGGTGAGTTGAATTTATGGCATAAAAGTTTATCAGAAGTACAAATACTACCCAAGTGTGATTAGCTTCAGTGGGGAATTATATTCTTCACAATTATTGGCATTGAAGTGTTTAATTTTTGAGTGTTCTTCGAGTATATGAAGTACAGTCAGACATTCAGTTGTGCCATGAATGACTAGATAACCGAGACAGGATTTTACGATTCCTGCTCTTGGGGAAATGCTCGTATTATTTATGTTATGTTGCAATACAAACTGCGAAAGCCTCATCATCTCCGGGAAATTAAGAACAAATTGTGATACCCTTTATGGCATGAAATCTAACACATTTCTATTGCTCTTATTTCAACAGGAACGCAAGGATTAATTTTTGTGGTCGACTGTGCCGATCGCGATCGAATAGATGAAGCACGACAAGAATTGCATAGAATAATAAATGATAGAGAGATGAGAGATGCAATTATATTAATATTTGCCAATAAGCAGGACCTTCCAGATGGTAACGAGCAAAAGTTCGCTTTTAAATAATTCCCAGACTAAAGTGTGTTTTTTTCTGTGTTTAGCTATGAAACCACATGAGATTCAGGAGAAGTTGGGCCTGACACGTATCAGAGACAGAAATTGGTATGTCCAGCCGTCCTGTGCAACATCCGGCGATGGACTCTACGAGGGACTCACGTGGTTGACATCCAATCACAAGTTATGAGAGTAAGCCAGCTGTCCCTTTATTCTCCATCGTAAGAAATCCACCCCCGAGGGAGAGAAAGAGTGCTGAGGAGGAGAGAGTTAATGTAAACAGAACCGCCACACTGACGGCGGTTATAAAATAATCCTTTAATCAATCTGAATAATGTCTAAAGAGGAGAGAATTCATGAGGGAGTGTGTATAGTTTTCCGTTCTTTCCTTTTGTCATACAAAAAAACACATCGCGCGCGCGGCTTAATGTCTTTTTTCTATAGATAAATTTTCACTAAATCTCTAAGAATCCCAACGAAATCAAGTGAAGTTATAGTGATACTCTAAAAGGTGGAGTAATGCTTCACGCGGGGGGCAATCAGAGAAGACACGAGTTTCAAATGGCACCAAAATTCATTTGGAAGATAAAGTTTACAAATAATGAAAATTGGGAAACAAGTTAAAGCTTGTATAATTTTATGTAGATAAATACAAGATGATAAACACGTGAGACAAGCGCAAACCAAACACAATAAAGAAAATCATTTTAGACGATATTCTTATTCTTAAATAGAGGAGTTTTAAAAAGATATTCAGTAGCAAAAGAGAAAAAAGGAGAAACGCACCGATTCGAAGTATATTAAAAAATATCTCTGTAGTTATTTGTAGATTGAGGAAAAAGAGGGATGATAGAAAATGAATGGGAGATTAAAATGTGTATAAATATTATATATTTTTGAATCAAAATTCAAAATAATAATTTTCATTTTCTATTTGATATAGAGAATATATAACAATGAGGAATCAATGAGAATATTGAGGTATTTTCTATAGACACAGAGAATGAAAGAGGAAAAGGAAAATGTGTTGTAATTTGCCTTGCCTAATAAGTAAAAAAAATAAAGAGAAAACAAGATGATAAAACCAACATATTAAATGAGGAAAGAGTTAAAAAAAATTGTATAGAAAAGGAACAATTAAATATTGATTGGTGATAAAACTATAAAGAAAGAAACAAGGAAAGTAATATCAAGTTTTGAGAATTTTTTTTTATATTGAGAGTCACACATTCAAGAATGATTTCTTTTTTCGATTCTTGCACAATCAGCCTCTATGTTGCCAGTCGACGAAAGAGCTAAATGAATGTAGGAAATGATTAAGGTTTATCAGTGAGTCAATTCGAACTAATTAAATGGTGAATAAAACTAAATGTATAATGCCCGCAAAGAGTAGAATTTCGAAAATTGTCCCCCTTTCAACTTATTCTCTTGCACACTATCCGATTTTTCAGTTCTGGGTGGTAGGAAAAGCTCCCCTTAGAATTGTTTTTCATCTCAATTTCTTCATTTTTCAAACTTGTACATAAATTATAAATATGGTTCATTTATAAATACAATCATTGATTTATTAAGTTGTTTATGTCATTTTAACCAGGAGACAAGCGAATAGAATCAGGGTTTGGGATGGATTTTGTGGAGAGATTAAAGAGAAGAAATAATGCGAAAGTCTAACAAAGCAAGAAATAACCCAGGATTCTTGCGATGGTAAAGGAGAAACAACTTCGAGGAATAACCAGTTTAATAGTAAAAGTAAATACAAGTAATTAACAAGGAAGAATAGAATTTAACAAAACGATTCGCGATAATGCTTTTCCTTTTTGAGATGCTTTAGAGATGAGAATGAGAAACACACTGTATAGATGTTAAGGAGAGAAATAATAAGTGAAGAAAAAAACCCTCGTAATATCTTCTTTTTGTATGGAAATTTAAAGAAAAAAAACATTGTCCCTTGCGAGAATTTTATGTGGCCAAAAGACACTCTCAATTGGAATATCATTCTCAGTTTTTTTTTGTATTTGTTTTTGGGAAATCTGCAATACACATTCCATGAAAAGAACAAATCTAAAGAGGAAAACTATGAAAATTTATCTCTTTCAATCGAACATTTAAATTTATGGGGTCTAAAATGGGAACTTGTATCGATTCATGATGCAGGTTCAATTATGGGAGTAAGTGGAGTAAATATTAAAACCCCAGTTATGAAGAAAATTACTCACTAAAAGAACGCGCATCCTCTCACAGAAGAAGATGGAAAATTTATAGAAAAATCTAAAAGCAAGTTCATTTATAATTTTTATTTAAAATGAAAAATTGAAAGCGAAAAAAGAAATACATATACAAATAATTAGTTATTGTAATGAAGATTATTATACATAAAAATGAGAGATAGGAGAGTAAAGATGAGAAATAAAGAAGAGAAAAATGTATAAATTATATGAGAAAATTGGGTTTTCTTCGCTATTTCTTCCTTGTTTACAGTATTTGGTATGAGTGGATTTTAACATAAATGCGATCACAGGCAAAATATTTTGTGATCGACTCTTCACAATGAATGCAAATTGATTAATAATGGAAACCAGTCAAGGTGCTATTGATTTCAGTGGAAATATTCTCCTCAGCTTTGACCGAATTTCTTTTCATGTGCTTGATCTTCATCTGTATGAGATAGTGTGATCTCAGCAAAATCTGAAGATGCAGAAGGGAGTCTTGTTTGTTTTCGATGTTTTGATTAATGGTTTCAAACAGTGATCGGTAGCTCAATGTCTGTGATGAAATAAAAACGGGATCACCCACAGTTTCTTTAGAAAAAAGGTGAGTTAAACAGTGAGGAACACTCAAAGGCGGTTGCAGTTTAAACTGCAGAGCTTGTGAGAGAGTTGCATTTGAGGTGTTTCTCATTGGGGCTCTGCGTGACAGCTGGCATGCCAGTGAGTTAGCATGAACTATTTCTGTCGGAAAGGGAAGCTAAAGTTTGTGTCGGAAAATGTCTTATTAATCAATTGTAGAGAGTGTTTAAGTTTTCAAAACATGTATGTTGTCCACCCATGACGTCCCTTCTGTTGTATCATGTGAAGAAATCGCGGTGCTTGCAGTTGTGAAAGTGGCAAAAGTGGCATTTGATATTTTTGTTATCATTCGACAAGAGAGACACACTCGCAGTCTCTCTCACGACTCTTATTATTTTTCCCATACGCGATTGCAGGCAAAAAATACGATATACAATTGAATGGATGAAGAGGAGATCTCATGCTGGTTTTTGCGAAAAAATCTATTTTTGCCTTATTGTACTGGGCGCACACACACGAACGCGCGGGGGCTCAGGGCAAAAAAAGCATATCCAACTCATTCCCACTTTCCTGGGCGCGCTATCAGCCACCCAAAATTGTACTCCACTGAGCGATAGAGGAGAGGCTGTGGCATTGGCGAGGGGGTGGTGGAAGTGTGGCCTCACATGCCTCAAAGGCACGGGGTGGTGGGCCGCTCGGGAGATGCGTAGATTGAATTGATCAAAGTCTATAATTAACAGCGATTATCCGCCTCTATCTGGGCAGATAATTGCCCCACGAGAGAGTGTGTCAACCCGTGAGAGCCCCGGAAGAGGTGGCAGATTTGGGAGAGCGCGAGAGAGCGTGCCAAGAAGCTTCCGGATGCCACAAAGTTGCGAGAGAGAACCACTGCATTCGACCACCCCCCGAAAACTCACTGCCCGCCCCTCCCGGTTGTCCTGAGCGCCCCGAGAGCCGCCCCCAAAAGAAGAGCAACACACAAACTATTAATAATAACTTGGGGCTAATGAAGATGATTGTACGTGTTGAAACTGTTGAGAATGTACTTTGCCTATAGAGAGTCTCTTATGAGAGCAATTACACCTATTAAGATTTATTGTAAATGCCCACCTTGTCTTATGAATTGTAATTCTATCATTATAAGTTATGTATTAAGCGTGGCAGCGTCGCCGCTCAGCAGTTCCTTGACCAAAGTCACAACAATCTCACCTGGAGGTAAGTTCTCATTGCATTCCTTTCTGCGCTGCATGTGGTGTTCAATCAGTCTGTCATAGACAGAGAGCACTGAAAGCACTGGAAATTGATTTCTGGGATTGCTAATCGACAGGACGTGAACTGTACAGAGAGACATTTTGCCAATACATAATTTCTGTATGTATATTTTTAAAGATTTCCGGTTTTGCAACAGTTCAGTAGAGTTAAGTAATAGGGGAAGACGGCGTGGTTTCAAACTCTATTTCAGATTGTTTAGAATGTCATAAGTTGTTCCTAAGAATAGGTCATAAGAACTCTTATACTACATTAAATTGAACTTGAATTGCACTCATAAAAACACAATTTTTACTTCCCATATGGATTTTTAAGCCACTTCGATATCAAACCCAACTTCCCCTATTTTGCATTAAAATTTTCCACCGTCAGTCGCTCTTATTGTTCACTCCTCTTCACGCGTTTTCAGCCCTGTTTGAGGGTATAATGTGTGCAGAATATGAATGTAAACAATTATTACATATTAGTGTTGACACAGGAAAGTTACTTTTCACCCTCTTTAGCTCATCTTCACCCACTTTTGGTCAGGAACGGATAAAAATACACACATACGCAACAGTGGAAGGCAACACGCTTCCGGGGAAGTTTACCATTGTTGAAATTTTAAAGGATGGGAAGATTTTTTTGATGGTTGCATGCATATTTTATTGAATATTTTCGATACATTATAGAGCAGATCCATTGATTTGATTTGCAGTTTTAATTGATAGTATGTTCTGTCGGTGTCGCTTTGCAATGGTTTTCGCTGAATAGCGAGAAGCAACAGTAAAAATCCATTTCATCTCAATCATAGTGTATTCGTGTCCTATTGATGTACTTTTCCTCTCTTTTTCCATTTTCAGGTGGATGCTTTTACATGGTCGTAATTAAACTCAATCAGGATGTATGCAGACGACCAGCGAAATGGAGGGAAAAATTGAGAAAATATCTCTGCAAAGTGGCTGTGATGCTTGCAGGATGTGAATCCTCTAGAAAAATATTGGCCAGAGAGTGCACGAGGGAAATGTTTCATCATTACGGAAGTTGCACAAGCGTTCTCCTTCCTTTTATGCTGGCGGTGCCTTTCTCCACATCGATGGATTCAAAATTTGCTGCTGATCTGGCTGCTAAGGAGTCGGAGGTAACATTTTTCCATCTCGTGTACTTTACCGATATGTGGATGAAAGGCGTATAGAGAGAAGAAAAAGAAGGAGAGGAGAAAGCATGCAAAAGGGCAAACAGTAACGAGGAAAAATTATTCCTCAATTGATCTTTCTCCTCTCCTCTTTGCCGTACAATCGGATAAATCCTTTTCTCTGGAATTTCAGCTTTCCCACATTTTATTTGCCTTCAACAACATTTGATGTTCCTCCCATTTTCAGTTGGGGAGTAAGAGGAAATTGTACATGAGTGAAACTTGAAAGTGATTAGAGACGCTTTTCATCCATGCCTCTCATGGCACCTTTATAAATTATTTTCTCTCATCAATATTTCATTATTACCTTTTATATTTTGCCTTCTTGACTGCTTTATGATTAGTTGAAATTTTTATATGGTGAAACGAACAAGAGAAGGTCATGATTTCATTATGCAACTCAATTGACGATATGATGTGTCTCGTGTGATTTAATTTGCACGTGAAAAATTCACTTCTCTTTCTATGTATAGAGAAGATAAAGTGACGCAGAAGCTGCGATGCAGTCTCACGGGAAAGACTTGAGCAATGCTGAATAAGTTTTCTCAAGTAATTCTTGGCACTCGCCAAATAAAGTGTGGAAATATGCAGGGTATTTTCCACCCTCCGACTTATGCAAGCACAGTGAAAATTTTAGGCTCAGCAATTGAGTTGAAACTCGGAGGAGTGTTGCAGTACCTTCAGAGTTCTTTTGCCCATAACAGCGAACAGAGACAGAAGAAAATTCTCTCGCCCGCATTTTGCCTTGGCTCGCGTCGTGTGTATTTTTTGAGAGGGCTGAATGCCACCTCTTTTGTCCCATATATTTTATCCATTTTGCTGCGCTGCTGCTCACATTACGATCCTCCTCTTGGAGTGCTGCCAAACTAGAGAGTAAAGACTGGGGGATGAAAGGGGTACGTCAATTTTTCAATCATGTCCCAGCCAATTATGGATTTTCCATCAATCACACTCACAATGCCTTGTGCTAAAGAGGAGAAATGCGTTGCAGAATTGTAATGCGTATTGCGTGTATGGAAGAATTGCAAGCCATTTGACGAGTCGTCTTATTTAGGAATTCAATTTTCGGTATCTAATTTTAAAGTCTCTTGGAAATCGGAGACCTTGAAAATTCGAACTTTTACTTTCTCCTTTCAATTTATCTTCTAATGTCATTTATATCACAGGCGAAAAACACATTCAGCAATATTCAAACTTCAAGCATATCTTTGTCTTATATGCATATGTTACGATCAAGATACAATATCATTAGTACTTCCTCTGCTTTTGCGTCTCCACATTTTTCATCTCGTGACTCATATTTCAAGAGTATAAAAAATGGGTTGTGAAAGTGTATCGCACACCTCTTAATCACTGGCTTTGTTAATTACAGCCCCAAAGCGAGAATGTGAGGGTGTATGTTACACTGAAAAGTGGGAAAGTGATTTCACATTGTGGAAATATAATTTAATATGATGTGATATTAATATTAAATGTGGGGAAAATACAGTTAATTAATCTGCCCCACAAAATCAAGTGTTCTGTATAATATTGGTAAAAACATGTCACAGAAATTAAATTATATTTCACCAAAAAATATTTTTTATTAAGTAAAGGAGAGATGTCACGATGTTGGAATTGAATGATAGTTTTTGGAGCACATCCAGCGAATGTCACATAGGATATTTCGAAATCAGATTGGGAGAGAAGTGGAATTGGCAAGCAATTTATTTTACCTTCATAAACATTTTAATTCAAATCTTGCAAAACATCTCAATATAATTTCGCCACTGGGGATTTTGAGGGAAAGATAGGAGAGCTGTGTAGAATTTATAAATATTCTAGCATCATCTCTGAGTTTGTGTGTGTGGGCAAAATTTATTAGGATAGAGGAGCATTTTAATAAGAGAAATGGTATGGTTTAGAGCATTATATTTTCAAATTTAATACCCTTATTCGTGTACTCGCGCACTCGGCGATGTTTACACCATGTGAAAGGAGAGTAAATTAAACAATGAGGCGGGAAAAATGAAATATTACGTCTATTTTTAAACGTCGCCGTACAATATGAATAACTTGCAAAATCTGTATGCTTTTCACACTCTTTACATCCCTTTCCCAATGTGAGAACTCAATCCTTTCGCCGCCATGTCCTTAATTTGTGTGCGCCTCTCCAGCGTAGAGACTAAAGAGAGTGAAATGTGCGATCAATGCGAAAAAGAGCTAAATTGTACGGTGTGTGCCAGGAAAAACAACATATAACGAGGAGTGAAGACTGGAATTGATTGGTTGGCTGGTGCATGCAAGGAAAAATTGCCTTTGCATTTCACTTAATTCCACCTCTAACATTAGAAACCAACCACTTTTTGTGGGGCTGTGAAAATTTTCTCTTTCGGATTTCCTCCCACCCAACATTTTCTCCCTTTCGTGTAACACATAATTCGAATTTTTCTTCGGCACTTTTTCGACTCCACAGTGAACTAATTTGGAAGCGTTCGCAGTTAGACAGGAAAGGGAAAAGCTTATGAGGCTATTGGATTTTCTGACGGCATACGGAATATGATAGAAAGTACTTAATCGAGAATTCCCTTCATTTCAACTTTTCTCAATCGTCTCATAAGTTCTGATTGCCTTTTGATTGGTTTTTCTCTTGATGAAAAGGGGTTTAAATTTCTCAGAATCGAAGACATAGTAAGCATGTTTTCTCGAATTTTTGTCAATGGCCATTATCATGATCAGCGCTCACTAAAGACTATTTTCTTCTGACGCTAATGATGTTGATGACTACAGCAGTGGACTGAATATAACCTCCTTAAAACCACCCCAACTTCATTATTTTTCGCCCTTTTCTTCTGGGAATAAATAAAAGCTCAGCAAAATGTGTTCCCGACTTTCCTACTTTGGACTTTTTGGGGCACCGTTTCAATGGGGTGGCGACATGAAATGAATTAAAATAAGCAAGAGGCGTAAATAGTCGATGGTTGGCTTCATTAATTCGCCGATATGGGAGGGTCACTTCTAGGAAATGTATAAATTAGGCATAAAAATGCGAAATTATGCTTTAGACGCATGTAATTTCTTTTGTGGAAAATCCTCAAGTGTGTGCCCCAAATGGCTGGGTTAAGAAAAGTTGCCCGGTGGGACATCTATCGATCCAACATCAGTCTTGTGTTTTTCACTCATTTGGGGGGTGCCTTTTGGCCGTCGTAATGGTTAGAGGAGTTGAGATGTCGAAGTCTTTGAGCCATTTTCTCATTCCACCATTGGAAAAACTTTCCACAACAATCACGGTCTCGACTTTTGACCCCTACAATGTCATATTCATCTCTATATTGTTCTCTCATGGGTTTTCTGCCAACAAAGAGGAGAAAGAGAGGGAGAGAAGAGCATTTTCTTTTTGCGCTTCCCAAGCCGCAACCCTTGTGATAAAAGGAAAAGCGAAAAAGGGGAAATGTATTTTGATTCCATGGCATTTGACTCTCTTCTCTTTTGCAAAAATTTAACGTTTTCTTCCTGATTTTGAACCTCTTGCGATGTCTAGTGCATGACATTACTTTTTCATCTCACTGAGTTTCGTCTGAGATTACGATGAAAATGGTTGTGATAAGAACTCTGAGCTCATTTGCATATTTTCCTCATTGTACGGCGCTTTTTCTGCCTATACTCGGGATTTTCCACGAAAAGTTGTAGACAAAAATGTTAATGGATGGTGTTTGTGTGCCGAGAAGAAATAAAATGAGGGAGAGAGATTGTGTTTTGGCGTAACACTTTTTCGGTCACCATACAGAACAATGAGCATTACTATACACATATCGCAAGGCTGAGACTTTAGCATGATCATAAAACTCAAGTTATGGTTGATTCCTAAACAATTCACACCCACGCATCCCGAAGCCATGGCACTATAGCCTCTGCTACTGTGGGGATTATTTTGCAGTTTTACAATTTTCACCGTGTATCCATAAATCATTTGAAGGGAGTAGAAAGTCCTGGGCTTTTTTGTTCGCACGTGCACAATGAATCCTGACCATGCGGGGTTTGAAGTGTATAAAAGCTCTGCAGTGAAAATTAACCAGCACACACAGCAATTCATTTAACCCTTCTTTCCATGGTCGACACCCCCCCAATTTCTGGTTATGCCCTGAAATTGCTTCACAGCAACGCATCCGCACCACAAAATACACTTCCATTTGGGGAGTTTGAGGGTATTTGTGTTAAAAGTTCATAATTTGTTAAATTAGTTAAAAGCTTTTTTATGCCTCACATTGTTTAATATGTTCCTGAGAATTCTACTTTTATCATAAGCAGTAATACTCATGCCACCATCGTTAATGTCTCTTTTTTATCATTGTACGGTACCATTCACTTGCTGAAGTTCGAAAAACTCTTCTATGCTATTTTAAAGTCCCACCCATTTGTAAGCTCCGCCCTCTTCAATCTTAGTAGCACGCTTCTTGGCACTCAGTGAAATATGCACAGCGTAAGCATTCATTTACAGCTCTTAGAACGCTTTAAGTTCTGAAATATTAAACTTTGTAATCTTGTGGTTGTTGGTTCACAATTTGCCGTGTAAGGCTGATAAATTATTACGCCTCAAATATGTGTCTCGTATTAACAATGACATAGCTGATTGCCGCTGAATTCCAAATATTGCTACGCGTGATCTGTGAACGAAATTTGGAATAATACATAGTATTTATTAGCACACATAATAAGTAGTATTTATAATGATTCCTCTGATAGAATATGACCGCAGTAGTACTTTTTGCCCAATTTTCAGCTCTGTGTTCTCCTGTCTTTTGCATGTGTGCAAAATAAATTTATTATATTTGTTTCTTTGTTGAGTGCTCAAAAACTCACGTAATAACAGAAAAAACACACAGCATTGTAATTTGAGGGTGTGAGAAAGTGTATCCCTTAATTAAACTTGGCAATTTTTGCTTGCTCAAGAAGGCAGAGAAAAAAAACATAACCCTCCCTGTGACTGGAAATTTTACACACCACAAATTACATTAGAATTTTTGGGGGAATAAAACGAACCTCTTGTGCGATATAAAAGTAGAATTTCGCGGGAAAAAAGAGCGTGCAAAAAGTTGATTAAACTCTTGCTATTAATTATTCATGAGAGAATCAATTTCGCAAGCAATTTTCCCGTGTTGGATGGCAAAAATGCCAATTTCCAGAGCAATGTCGCAATCACATTAAGTAATAATTGAGCAATTTATGTGAGATTGAAAAGGAGAATTATTGTCTTGACATTAATGAATGACACATTACGAGGGGAACATGGCGCTTGGTGAATTGTGCTGCAGTCAAATGAAGTGTCCTAGGTTCGGGATATGACAAGGGAAAGTGGGAGACGGAGTGGGATGATGATAGAGTTCAATATTTAATTGATTGGGTGCTGCTGATGAAGATAGACAAGCACTGAGAGGACAATAAATCTTTCCCGTTTCCCATTTTGGCCAAAGTCACATTGAGATGAAAAATGAATTTGGAAAAATTCTTACATTTTCCAAGCATGACTGGTGGGAAAAGCGTGAAAAACTCACTCACTCACTCACTTTCAACAACAGAGCGCGGAATTTCAAGAGAAGATTGGAAAAGCTCTCCATGCGAGAAGAATAAATAAACTTTAATGAGTATCAACACGACGGCGATATTTTGATATTTGGGCAAACTCTGGCGCAGGGCGATATTCGGGGAGAGAATTAGCGTAAGGATACCAACTCATGGGAAATAACAATAACAGTAAAGGGCTCATTTGCCTCGACATCTACGCAATATTTGGCGTTTCGTTGTACGACACTTCATTAACTATGGGTTTGGAATGAAATGACAAGTGTGTACGAGAAAAGCGTATTTTTCTCATCCCCTCAGAGGGAAATTGAACTACTATTTGTCTCTCAAGTTTGCCTTGCTCGATACTGTGGGGTTCTCCCCCAATGCCATGGATTAAATTGAGAATTGGGGTGGGTGGATTGGTGATATCTCAGTTGCAATATTTTGCCAAGAGGAAAGTGAAGAATATCGCCTAAAACTTTCCCACTCATATTCTTCCACTTGCTCGAATGCCCTGCTTCAAATTTGATGACTTCTGACTCTGGGTACTTTCGTTCATGATGATAAACAGTTGCTGAGAGAAGGGAACAGACAACTTGCTACCACGAGAGAAATAAAAGTTCGTAAAATTGGAATGTTCATATTTTGTTGACAAATTTTCAAAAATAATTTAAAAAGTAATTTAAACATTTCAATATGTACATATATCAATTTTATTTAGTTGTGTATCTAGTTTTGTTCACACAAAAAACGTAATTTCCATTTCGAATTCCAAACCTGTCTAGGGAAAAGCAAATAATTTCGGTATTTTTTTTTAATAAAAATTTACCTTAATAATTTTTTGTGGTTGGGTGTAAACTTGTATTGAACGTTCTTCTCTTATAGCTGTAGTTGTCTGACAATATCTTTAGTAGAGAGAGAGAGAAAGAGGCAGAACTTTTTTTATATTTCCCTGTAAAAAAATTATTCTAATAGAAATATGTTGTTTTCCTTTTCTGTTCATTTTCTTCTTGTTCTACATCCATTTTTTCTCCTCCATCTGCTGCCATTTATGTCCACTTATACTGGGTAAATATGTAGATGGAAGACCAAGAGCACCACCGAATTTATCTATCTTTTGTACAACAATTGAAGCCAATTGCAAATGATTAATTCAGTTACTCTCGCATGATGATAATCAAATTAAAATATCCCGAGATATGTTGATCTTCTTTCAACTACATTGCCGTGATGGCGAAATTGTTGTGTATATTTGTACAAATTATTTGTCAGTGAAAATTGATTAAATATATTAAACATGGTATTTTGGTACTGTGTATATCTCTGAGAATAGAAAATTTACGCATACAATCGCGAATACATAATTTAATGTGCAAACAGTGATTGTGATTTAGTGTGCGTGCGTGTGTATGTGTGTGACTTTGTTACTGACTTTTGGGGGATGGTTTGGTGAAAAGTTCATGGGGTAGTGAGCTAGGAAAAGCTTGCGTGGAAAATGCCATCTTGTGAAAATATTTCCACACCAACTGTTGTGATTTTCCCAAATGTGTGCTGGTGTGGAAAAGCGATTGAGCTTTTCCACATATATCCAATAGATGGCTTCAGCTTTCCCTCCTACTCGTGGGGTTTTCGATTGAAAAATGACTGTTGAAGTCAGTTTCTTGCATTCATTTTTCGTTCTATTCACTAGCTGTCAATACATTTTGAAATGTGTATTCAATGTGACTGCGAATTTGCTTCTTCACCCTTTTTTGTGGCTGATAGACATCGTCTTTTTTGATATCTTTTGCGTTTTTTCATACGGATAATATCTCAATACATTACTCTCCTTACTGGATTTTCCCGGATGTACGGGCATAAAACGGAGGGAGAGGACGTTGAGTGAGTGAGATAACGTTAAATTGCCATACAAATCTATGAACATGCGCATAATGGGTGAAGCTTTCAGGATGATTCCTTTCTCTCGCAGTGGATGATAAGGGAAAGTTGGACATGTTTGCTGGACAGGGACTTTAGGAATGTTATTTCACACAATGCCAGTCGAGGGTTGCTCTCCTTTCTTCATATTAACCGTTCTACACTCCACCATCAACGCTCGGTCATTATCATTACACCTTCTTTGTGTAATTGCGTACGTGAACATCTCTTTCACACTCACAAGCTGAGAGCTTTCGCTATTTCGCTCACACTCCGGACAATCGGTCGTCACTCAAAACACTCTGTGAACTTCCTTCAGTTATCGAGTGGCTTTCTGTTGATACGGAACTTCTGTATGCTCATAGAGTGAGTGTTGCGACTGGAGAGACTCTCACAATTGTATATTGGCTTAGAGATCATCCCAATTGATGGATAAATCCACTGGAAAATGTGTGTGTTGCGTGCATAATTGAAACCTAATTGAGCGGTTGTGGAAGTTCACCGAAAAGTAAAATAGAAATTGCACACAGTCAACCCAAAAGCTTCGAGCTTTTTGCTAATATTCTTATCATGTTACTCACCAATTCGGTGTATGAAATGGAGATTATATGCCGTGGAGCGTGCAATTGAGTGGAAATTTCACATCTCAGTTGGTGGTTTTCCACATTTTCGATAAGCCAGCAGAGCAGCAAAACAGGTTGTTGAGGAACATCAATTGCGCTTCGGGAAAATTCACTCACATATAATATTTCGGTGTAATTTCTGTGCGTGTTGGTGCTATTAAATTTTCAAATAAACAAGAATATAAGGAGGAAAATAACACCATATACACTTTTATCATAGAAGTGGAAAATATTTCCAGTGTCGTGTGTGTTAAACATTTCTCCTCACAATTGGTGAAAGAGACAGTGTGAGAGGGAAGGAAAAGTTACCCTCAATTGCTTAACAATTGTTTGAAGGCGGCAGCAAGATTAAATTTCTCGTGTGACGTGGATAAGAAGAAAATTGCATAGAGATAAAGAGAGTGTAAGGACTCTATCTTGTGTGAATGTTCAACAGTGTGAGGGGTGTTCGCGAAATCAGCGTGTGAAGGGTAGCAACACAATGATTTTATAGAGAGAGAGAGAGAGCTTGTGAGGAGAAATTCGTAGACAAAAAGGAAAGGTTCAACTCGCAGTTGAAAACAGGGAGAGGAAGCGTAGAATTTGGTAAATATCATGGAAGGGTGAATGTTTCAAATTAACCACTCGATATGTTTTTTAATTGAATTTTCCACCCCGCATTTAACCAGAGCATTTCAATACACAAACCCCCGTGAAAGCGCTATAATCATTATGGGGCCACCCACAGAATGTTTCTCAATGGAACACATTTTCTCTGTTTCTCCTTTTCTCAATGTAAATTTTGTGGTTTATTGTTGTATGATATAATAAAATCGCTAGCAAGTTGCAATAGCAAATTACCATGGGACCTTGATTATTACTATACTTTTTCCACTCGTTCACTCACTGTTTCTCTCTTTTGGCTCGTCCACAAATATGCCACTTGTGCGTGTTCATCATGCTTTTCATATACTTTTTCCTCGTCATATATTCACAATCTATCGAACAGTCTCGCTGAACATAATTTAGTTGTGATGGAGGGCTAAGGCAAAAAGACTCACTCAGGCAAATCATCACATGGCAGAAAGAATATGATATGGAATGGCTGATGGTATTGAGGCTATTGAGGCGATCTACATTTGGCGGAAGAGCAACTCATAATATTGACATTAGAATTTTAAATAGATCACTTGCTGAGTCCTCACACTCGCAGTATAACATAATATTCAGCAGAGAGTGTTTTGCAATTGATTCTCATTACAGTTACTTGCAAAATGTTTAAATATATGTATAAATTCTCGGCAGCAGAAATTGCGACTCGTCAATCGGTTGTTGTTCTATCCGAGAACACATTTTCCTTATATTATCCTTATGGAAATTGTCGTCCGATCTATTTTATGAAGTTTGATTAATGTTACAAATTATTAAATAAATCAGGATTAACAATATAAGATTGCGAGGCTTTAGGATGCTAAAAATATATTTGTGGATACCAAAAAGTTACACAGAAGGAATAAAAACGTGATTTAAATTCCTCTTGAATGCAGAGTTTCTGGAAATGATGAAAGCTATGCAAATGTGTTCTATTGAATGAAAACCCCGAGATCCAGTATGAAAGCGTAGAAAAAGCATTTTGATACAACTACTTACACTTAATTGAAGAGGTATTATATGTACTGCAAAACGTACAATATCCTTTTTAATGGGATTCTTTAGAAATTACATTTCCAGAGATATTCTGTTCATCACTGTTATACTGGAGATTTTCATTTTACAAGCACATTTACTTTGGATGCCATTTGAGAAATTAATTTCAATGCAAATATAAATTCAGGGTGATTTTCTATATTCTTAGACGCACACAGGCTTTAGAGGTGAAGGTGCTTTTCGTTCTTGAAAATGGAAAAGAGGGAGTGAAGGCAGAACAGCAAACCTGTGCTACAAAATATATTATCGGATGAAAAGACAAGGCGAAGGAGAGAACAAACCGGAATGAATAATTATGATAATAAGTGGGAAATGTGGAAGACTATAGAATGCGTAAAATTGGAATATATTGCCTGGTGAGAGCGGGAAAGAGAGAGAGAGAGAGAGAGAAAATTGGAAAAAATTGCAACTGTGTGTTCTCTATAATAATATTAGAATACAAATGGAAAATCGTTATGGATAAAAGTCTGACAAATTCATGCGTTTAAGCGCATTTGTTGTATGTAAATTTGTTTCGCATGAGAAAATAGATAAATGTTCAATTAAGTAATTACACTATTTATGCTAATTTGTCCGTAGACATGAGTACGTTGACGAGTGTTTGTTTAGTTGGATTGATAAATTTGCAATGACTAAATTTTGATGGTTATTTAGATGAGAATTGCAACAATTACAACTCATCTGTGGAATCTCTGGTTGCGACCTCACTTTCCTCAACATGTGGCACAATAAATCACTATCTCTTATCTCGGCAACATATCGCATAAACACACTATATTAATTCAATTGCGGCAAATTCTAATACGCGCTGCTAACATCCAACGACACACACACAGTGTTTGGAATTTTGCAACAACTTATCCGTGTGTATTTTACCTCTGACGTCATTCGTATTAAATTTCTCGTCTTACCTCATATTTTGGAGTGTGTTCTTGACTCTTGAATTTCCTCTGCCGCTGTACTTAAGTTTCCCGCCCCACTGAACCTCAGGTCCCCATTTTCTTTTTTTGCTGTCTCACAATCTCCACATTCATGGCATAAAATTTTCAGTGAGGGATAATATGTCCGAAAACATGTGTATTTTCTTCCGTGATGGGCGTTGGGAAATTGTCGCTTCTTCGCACACACAATGAGATCAATTTTGTTGTTCACCGAGATCTGAAAAGAAAATTCACCTGTGAAAAATCTTTTCCTTAAATAAAGTGAGAAACAGTCCATGAGTCAATTTTCCCAGGGCGACGGTGTGAGAGGAATTATTAAATGGCATGCGCCACCATTTTTTTCACGTTCACTGTAAACATAGCAAGGAAAACAAAGTACAAAATAGGGCGACATTCATCCACTTAATGATTAACGGTCTAAGAAAATAGAATATTAACGAGAATGGAGGCAAAAAGTCCCGCAGAATCTCAATTAGTATGATTTGGGGGTGACATTGTTCTGTGTCTCAAGTGCAAGTCACGTAAATTGAGGATGTGATGGGCTGTCTTTAGGGCCCTACGTCCTCATGGCATGTAATATTTTCTTCAAGATACTGCTCAGAATAGTCCAAATAAATCGTGACATTGTAACACTGAAAATTTCATTTATACTGCAAAAAGCAAACTGTTTACATACCTCTCTTAACTAAAATGACGAACTGTTGTGGGTGAACTGAAAGAGGAGATTCTTTCTTCCTCTTCGGAGAAAAGGCATGTTGATAGGAAACATAGTGTTGAACACGAGAACACAACAAAGGCCTGAGCTCAGAGCACTCACTCCTGCTGCCTAATTAGAGAAGTAATTGGTTTTTCTCAAGTGAATTTCTGTATTCTCTGTAAAATATTGGCATTCAATTGAAGGTACAACAGTATTTCAATTCCCAGCAATGATATTAATTAAAAATATCCAATGCTACAGTTTCTGATTGCTTTGGATTTTGTCAATAGAGAATTCAATATCAATGTCGATTAATATTTTTTTTAAGACTATTGTTTTATTGTGTGCGTGGCGACTGGGGGAAAATATGCCATTGAAAGTGTCTATCCGCGGATATTCTGAACACTTTCCCAGGCGGAAAAATATTGAAATTCCATTTTGTAAATCCACACGCGGGTTGTGAGATGATTGGAGCTTATGCACTCAGTGATGAAAATTTCATATTTCAGTGGTGAATAAAGGAGCGCTGAAAAAAGTCACGTCAAGAAAATTCCAGAAATTTTTTCTACCATTTTGACTCCACATATGAGATTTTCCTTTTATACCCCACAAAAGCAACAACATAATCTGACAGAGTGACAGTTTTGGAGACAGATTACGAGGAAATTTCTCCATTTAGACATGTTGTCTGGCGAGGACGGATCAATGGAACATTTTTCGTAAAGTAAAAATATATGTATTGCATAAAGTGTGGAAAATATGGCGAGAGAGCTTACAGGAAAGCATGAGTGAATTGAGGCGTGTGTAAATAATTTGTGCACCACACCATTGAAATTAAGATAGAGGAGAGATGAGACATGGCAAAATAGTATTTTGGGGTTCTTTGAAATAGGATTAATTTTCAAGTTGTGTAGAAATAATAAATAATCCTCTCATTGTGGATGAAATACAAATTGTGGGCGTACAAATTTCACATTTACTCACCATGACAATTCCTCCCATTCTATTTGTCATCACTGAGAGAGGATCGTTCCATGGGGATGTTAATAGACAAGTTGGAATTTCTTAGCCGGTTGACTACTGTGGTCGACCGTAAAAGTCAAAAACTTCAAACTGGGGGAACAAATGCGAAGAGCGTGATTCACAGAATATCTCTTGATTTCATATTTCATGTACTCAACTGTTAAAAAACTCGTGAAAGATTTCGCAAGTAAGACAAAAGTCGGGATGCGAGATATCAAAATTTTAAAGCAAAACTTAAATCAACTCCATCTTGACGTATACACGAATGGATTGGTTTCTGGCAGGATGAAGACTGTCGGTTTGGCTGACAAGCTTTTCTGTTGAATTCTTTCTGTCGAAAAGATCACAATTTAGACAGATACATAAATATCCTTTCAAGTCCGAAGAAATAAGTCTATGTATAAGTCTTCAGTAACAGCCTTTGGAAGTGAGATTTTTGAGGGCACCCAGGCAATTTGTCTTCCTTCTTATGCAAAATCTATATATTTCTTTTATAAAATATCCTATGAAATTGTCACAATTCGTGCTATTTGTTGGCCCATCTTTTTCCATGCTAAATAAAGTGGGTGCTTATCAATGTCCTTTTGACTTTGTCTGCAGAACACACAAGACGATGATGAGGAGTGAAAATCATCAACTTAATGTTTTTAAGGGATGAATAAATGACACTCCATTTGGGGAAATTTCAGCCCACATAGACGCATACTTGAGCAATATAATGCTTTAAAATTCGAGTTATTTCACTCGGCAAAGTGTACACGAAGGCATTTTGTCACATTCACCATATAAATTCTGTCCCATTAGTTTCTTCTGCGTGTGAAAATGCTCGAAAAACACCCACGTTTCGTCTGGAATCTCTTGGGACAGCCTGTGTTTCACTGCGGTTTTTTGTGTGTTGTTAAACTGGGATGAATGGCCACTGGCTGTGGAGGGGTAAAAAATGAGCTGTCCAATGTTGAAAAAAAATCTGTGATGAAATTAATATGTCGCTACATAGTGGAAAATTCATTAAATGCTAAATTGAATTCCATTCTTGCCCTTTTGCAGACACAAACAAGAAGAAAGAGGCGGAAAAAGCAGAGCCAAAATGGGTTGCTTGGGCAGCAAAGATCGTCTCACGAAAGAAGATATGGAGTTCCTTAAATCACACACGCGATACGATGAGGCCACCATTAAGGAATGGTACAAGGGTTTTAAGGTAGAGTATTACAGTGCCAATGTATCACACAATACGTGGCACATTTTCATTTAATCGAATTTTCATTTGACTCCCACCCACTCGCCCACATCCTTTCAACATTTTGCCGTTCTCAACAAAATACAAAACATAAAGGTTCATTCACATCTATCATCCAATGGAATCGATAAATTCACATAACAATTGGAAAATAGGGGGCGAGAAAAGGGAGAAGGCGAAGGATGCATTGTGTTGTCCTCTGCAGAAAATAGACAATTTAAATGCACTCTCAATAGCACGATGGCGTTTTTCATTTGCATTTGCTCTACCTGTGTTGACGATGGAAAATTTCATAATTTTAATTAAACAGTCACGTGCAAGTTTATTTGACGAGACACAATGTTTTACCTGAATTGGAATGCACATGGAAATTGAATTCATTCCAACTCGTTTTGGATGCATTTAAAACGCATTTGCAATTCAGCGAGAGTTTAAATTTTGTCAATTATAAAGTACACTCAGAATTACGTTACCTGACTACTGATTTCTGTAAAAGTTGAAACTTTCTAGAGTAGGAGCAAATTTAATTTTCAATTGAAATTCTTATGTTGAAATTGGTCTGCAATATTTGTGTTGTGACCTTTCGAGGTGTTTGTTCAGATGAACACTGATGTTTGTTAGGGGTGGCAAAATAAACTGTAAATCAGGGATAGAAGACAAGATATGTAATTTTGTGGCTCATTGGATGAAAAATGATTTCATTAACTCGGATGAATTTCACCAACGAGCAATATTTAGTGGATGTAATTAATACTGAGCAAGACTGATTGATGGATCAAGGAGGATCTGTAAGTGATTGTTAGTGTGCGGCTGGGATGAGGAAAAAGAGCGATTAGGGAGATTTACTCCACATATTCGATTTTTCGTCACATTCCAAAGCGTACAATGTTGGCGAGAGGGTGTTGCTTGTCTCCACCCTCACGACACATATTCACATTTGTCTTGTGGTGGTGATTTTAACGAGAAAACATATGAAGTTTGGTGAGAAAATAGATACATCACCGCTAACAAATTGCTCAAGACGCCCATCCAAGAATGTTGGATAGAAAAAAAACGAAGAGTTGCAAGAAATTGTCTTCATCATTTACCTTCTCTCCCTATTTTCTCCAAAAACACGGGGCGCTCAGAAATATTATTGATTTCTCATTTTTTCTATACATTTTTTTCCATCGTACATCATTTGGGGGCCGTTTAGCGATGAAGAGCGGAGGCAAAGAAGTGGGTTTATTTACTTGAAATATTGGAAATATTTCTCGCTCAGTCTGTTCAGTATGACTTTTCATTCCTTCTCTCTTCACCATTTTGTCCTCGGGCATTCATCTTTTCTACTTGTAAATGAAATTTACTGATGGCAAAATGCTTCGAAGCAGTTTTCACCATGAGCTTCGCTGATGGTTTTTCTTAACACAATCAGCAGAGTCTTGTGTGAAGAGTACAGAATCGAGGGTGTACGAGTATAGTGTATGCGCGCGCGAGAGAGAGTGAAATTGGTAGAATGAAAATTGTCGTATCCATGACATCGAGTTACGTCACCGGAACTTGCCTTTTGGGCCCCAAAAGACGGTTGGGGGCCGCCACCCTATTTGATGCCATGCGGCACGAGTATGAATTATTAATTGTGAAAACAGAAATAATAAATTTCTTTCTCGTGAAGCAAAAGAAAAGAAATCTCTCCGGGCCTCTTGAGAAAACCCAGTTGAAATGGAATTAATTGGGCTTTGCGTATAGTTTCTCTTTTCACCAGGGTCTTTTTCGCCCAACAAATTGATCATTATTTCTGTTTTTAATTGAATTTCTTCCTGTGAGCGAGCATTTTTATGGTGGTTTAGTTCTATAGAGGAATTATGAATTATTAAGGATGGGAAGAGAGACAAGCAACAGTTTATTCTGTGAATGAATTCATAATTTTTTCCCTGTGGTCATGAGCTTTTCCATATGTACATTTTTACAGCATAAGTAGAGGAGGTCGAGAAATTTCGAATATAGTGATTTCGGTGCTTTTTCGTTGCTGTGTAGAAACAATATTTTTGTATCTGAACTGGAAAATATATCAAGAAGACAGCCGGAGTGAAGAAAAACGATTATGAAAGACGATAGCTCATATTTTGTAATGAGATAGAAAGTTACTGCGAACAATTTAAAAAAAAATCAATGTTTATTCGTGTGTTCAGAACTTCTCCGTTCTCCCCTATAAGCAATTTCTTCCTCATCATTTTATTATTATTCATGCTTCGTCTCTTCAGTGTGTGATGGAGATAAATTATTAATTTGCATATATTTAGAGACGATAAAGACTCGCCAGGAAGATAAGGAAATTGAGTGAAAGTGTGAAATTCACTTTAAGACTTTTCTCACGAAGATTTGTCAGTGAGTGTGTTTGAGGGTAATTTTTGTCAAATGGCGAGGAGAGAGGAGAAAAAAAGTCCATTATTGGAGGCGGGAGGGAAAAAAGGGCACATGGCGGAAGAATATTGCTTTTGCGGTTGTGGAGAGACAGAGTGTGCAATAAATGACAAACTAGGGGGCAATTGGGATGGGGGGACGTCTAACGTTGGGAGTGTATAAAACAATAAAAGTTTGTTGACTGCTTTCAGGGCTATAGTAATTGGCAATGTCATGAAAATAAATCGATTTTCTCTCCTTTTTATCCGCCACGACTCCTTTCTAAAGCCCTCAAATACACACATCCGCATATATAAATTTCTTTGACACTTCTGCCTTCTCCTCCAATGAACATATTCAAATATTTACAGTACACAACTTTCTGTGAGGGAGGCTCTTTCACACTTGACGATTGTCAGCAGCTCGAGGGATAATGGATACATACATACATGTGCGCGCGTGTGACATTAAAAATCAGCATAACTTTCACGAAATCCATTCGATTTACAAACAATAAAATTTCATACCAACTTTTCTCACCTGGCATACGCAAAAGTTTTCCCTCCAAGTGGTTCCTCTGCTGAGGGAGTGAAAAAGATGTGTCGAGGGAGAATGAAAATGTATTAGACTTTAATGGGATGTCCCAAAAAAGGAATCTTTTTCACCTTTTAGCATTTTCCATGGTTGAAAATACACACACATATGCTCAGTTCAGGTGTAACGGAAGATATGAAAGAAAGAGGAAAAGTGTGTTGGCGTGAATGACGGTGAAATGTTGGAAAAAAGGTGCAAAGGACTCTTAAGTTTCACTACTTTCACCTCCGACATATTCGCAAATTCCAGGGTGGAAAAATGGACTTCAATTACGTGTTTCTCTTTCCTTCAGACCGCACATCCTTGACATGTAATATTTTTCTTGGGTTACACGATGCAGAAGATGATCTCATGCAGCCACTCAATGCGTCCTCAAAAGCTTTTCCCTAACATTGCATAGGGAAGATAAAGTTTGTGTGTGTGTGTGTGTATGCCAGGTTGGCTAAGGATTTTACCGGAGATGAAAGAAAAGCATCTTACCTGTCCTTTTACCCCTGCCAGCGTTTGTTGGGGAAAAGAGGTGGAAAAAGGGTAATTAGACTTTCTTACTTGAGAAACTTCTCACTTTCTCTCCACCACCCGGATGTCCATGAATATTTCAGAGTCACCCCGTCGCCCTCAATGGCGAATATCATTCAACATGGACATCATGCTTTCCCTTTGACGCACCACCTATAATTGGAATTTCGAGGTGGAAATCGGCAGAAGGGGAGAATTTGTACACACAGAAAGAAGAATGTGGGATTATTTTGGGCTACAATTTTCTCAAATATTTATTTCAATTTATACTCCAGAAATAATTGCACCATACTCGCGTTAGCTAGAGAGCAAGTATCCGTCCAGTGATGTAGTATTAATCTGTATTCCGCTTGGTATTTAGCCGGAGTCCATAGAAATGTTAGTTCGAAATTTTAACAACTGAGCTATAATTATTAGAGCATATTTATTCGTAAAAATCTATACATAAAGAAATTTTTACTGGAAGCATCGCAATATTCTTCTCAGTATAATCTTTTCATTGTCTGTTTAAATTTTTTTGTAAAAGCTAGACTACGTATATTCGTTATTGTGGATACGCCACTGCTTTTGCGCTTAGTATCCTTCGTTCTTGTGTGCTAAAAAGCACGATGGGGGGATGGGAGAGTGCAGGAGTATTGCGAATGTTCCAGGGAAAATTGTGTGAGAAGCGCTGTTGTGGCGTGTGAGGGAGGGAAAAATCACGGAAATATTCACTCACGATATCGATTTTCAAAGAATATGATGAATAAAATATGCCTTGGTGTTTCAGATAAGATTTCAATTTGCAAAAGGCAGAAGCTTGATGCCAAAAGAGTGTGTGACTAATGTTTGAAATATGTTGACAGAGAGTGAGAGAGAGCGAGTAAATTAGTTGATAAAATATGTAGTTCTTTGAAGATGAGTCTATTCACATTGTGATAAGATTTTTTTGATACAACGAAATACACCCTGAAAAAAAGAGAAAACACAGTTTAATGTACGAGAAGACGAGAAGTGAATCATTTTAACGAGGGGGAGGTATATAGGGCCAAATTGATGATGTTGAGAACAGAGAGGAAAATTGAAGGCGGACTCCGTTATTACTTCCTTTTCACTGGTCTTTATTTACTCCTCATCACATCATACGCAATGTCTTGTTCTCCTCTCTAAATAAACGTCTCAACTTTTCTAATTTTCTCCTCTCTTTTTTTGCATTTTACAGCAAGACTGTCCGAATGGTCGACTAACTCCAGCCAAATTCGTCGACATGTACAAAATGTTCTTCCCATCTGGGAATGCTGAAGAATTTTGTGATCATGTTTTCCGGACGTTTGATATGGATAAAAATGGTTATATTGATTTTAAGGTAAGTCTCACGTTCTGCTGCTCAGGTTTTTTTTATATATGTATATTGCAATGGTGTGAGGGTGGAAAGAGAGGTAGGTTCTCTCAGTAGTCTGAAAATGTCTCACATAAATTCAGAAAATTTATGTAAGTCGAACCCCCGGTATTTCTCTGCATATCAAAACAATCAATGATTGATTTCGTGAGCATATTAAATGGGAATAGGATGATTTGATTGAATGAATGGAGGAAATTGCCAATTTATTGAATGTTCTCCAACATATCATCTCTGACCTGCTCCGCCCTCATTATTTTTTGAGTCATAAAAGGGAGACGTGCAAGATATATCATACAATATTGCGTCTCCTTTTTTGCTTCTCGTGATCAGAGGTGAAGAAACTTTCTCAACTTATGATTATTATTATAGTTGGGTAGAATAGTTGAATTCAGGAACATAAAGTCAAACTTGCAAGTAATAATAGCATTAGGGAAAAGTTATGAAAATGGTGCAAATATGCCACACTTCCAACTTCTTTACTCACAGTAGGCAAAATTTACAGTTTTCTTCTCATCTGTTCGCGCGCATGATACATAAAATAAGAAAACACAGGAAGAAGTGGGGGCATTTATTGCTCTGATGGTTATAATTCTGAAAGCATATCCAATTGGGATGTGCGATGTCTGTGTCGGAAGAAGAAAATAGGAAAAGAGGGCATTTATTGGGGATTAATCAAGTGGAAGTAAGATTAAAAAAATGGAATGTGATGAAAATAGTTGCGATGGGAAGTTAATATTATTTCTGGTGTGTTGCATTAAAAATAGAAAATGGAATAATTCATGTGGAAATTCACGAGATTGATCGCTTTCCTATTATTTCATTGGCACGACAGAATTGAAACGCAGTGCAAAAATTTCCCAAGAAAATCTATCAATTAAATTCTCCTACAATTTATTTTCTCAATTTCACACATAGTCACAATTTATCTGGAAAAAATATTTGAAAAAAATACTATTCTGTTACTTGTAAATTGCCAGCGAAAATCTTGAGCAAGTATTCAAATAATTTATTGAACTTATTACAATTCTGTTTTCTTTACTTTTACAGTATTGAATTCCATATTGGCATGAAAATACAATTCTATTATCAATTAGATTTCTTTTTGTGAGAGATAGGAAAATTGACTCAAAGCAATCAATATGAATATAGAAGGAAAAAAATTGAGACATCCCCTAAAAATCCAATATGCTTGAGAGGCAAAATGCTGAGATTGTTCTTTGCTTCTCCTTCACAGTTCATTACCTCAAATAGATTTTATTGTATGTTAAATGCATTAACATGGTCCTGTCGTTTCAGCTCAATTTGAGCAAAAATATTATGTGTGTTTTATGTTGTTGCGCGCAACCCGTGATATTTCATGAGAAAATTCCATCACAGGTTTTCAGTACTTTTCTACTCCCTCTTTCGCCATTCTCTCATGGTGAAATTTAATCATTTCACATGCATTTTCTGCTAGGGAAGGGTGATGGAAAAATTTTGATGAAAATTCTTCGGAAGAAAATTTCATCTCCTGCAATTAATTTTACTTTTTCAGTCCCTCAACTCACAGTTCTGTTTTTTTGCCACCGCACTCACCCACTGAAGCATTGTCCTCAGTCTAAACGCATGAAAATTGAGAGAATTACTTTTATTATTAACTTTCTGTCTAATTTTCCTTCTCTCTCTCATTATCCACCATTTGCTTTTGTATAATGAAGAACTCACACCTTTGCCTTTCTAAAGGATATTTCGCATGTGACATTTTAGTTTATGGTTGAATGTTCACCATATACCTATAACAAGTTATATACTACATTGGATTAAACTTTTCACCGCAGCGGTGTGATTGTGTAAAATACAAGGAGCAGAGTAGAAGATTGAAAATTAATTAGACAAAGTCAGGATGCTTTAGAAAATATGAAATGGCTTTCACCATGTATTAGTGCCAAAATACCACAAATAAGACATCTTTTCTCTTTTTGGTTAGGTATTGTCCTTTCAGTATAATTGCCAACCAAACCAACTTAGCCAGAGGAGAGAGCTTTATGTCCATTACAAAGCACACAAAGAACTCGAGAGAGAGAGATCAAATTGACCGAGAGATGTGACGGCGGAAATAATGCAAGAGTGAATTGCATCCAAGAAACATATTTGCATTGACATCAATATTCTATAAATGTCGACTTGATACACACTTGTATTTGTAGTGTTTATTTATATGGTTCACTCCTCTTCTCCAACGTTTTCTTTCACTGCAATGCATCAACACTATAATGCATACTCCATTTATACCCAGGGCTTTTGTGCATTTGAGATTCTAAATAAATACGAACATGGACATTGAGGGTGGAAGTCATATGATGAAGAAAAGAGCCACTCTGTTGTGAGCATGATGATATCCATGCCCTTTCTCCAGTTCATGATACTTGAAATTCTGCCCCCGCTCGTTTCACCTCCTCCACAATTCAGCTTTGCATTCAACAGTTCTTTGCTTCGCATGTGATCACAGACGAGAAAACTCACTTTTCACTTGCAAACGGGGAGCTTTTTGATATGTGGATAAGCACATACGTAGCGTACCATATAAATGACTGAGATTTCTTACGGCAACAGGGAATGTGTCTTTTAACTCCAGTTCTTGCGCTTAACATTATCTACATGTGCATTTTTTAAGCGCTGTAGAGTCGAGAGATGAAAGAAGTTAAGCGATTTTTGGTGAACAAACATAAATAAAAGTTTGTGTACGTAAACCCCTTGATTCTCTGTGTTGCTCAGACTTAAAATATGAATTCAAACGTCAAATCATCGAATAATATCATCACTTCCATTTCTGGTTTCGCCAACAATAATTCACACCATAATTCAATGTGGAAATACGTGAAACGGTGCGCGCATTACAATATTCATCGATTGGCACTGCAGAGAGGCTCTCAATTGATGAGAATGGACAGGGGAGTATTGGATGATGCTGTGCACTTTCTATTCCCATTCTCACACTCTATCATTATTGCGAACGCACAACAAGTGCTCAATCCATAATATCCACTCTACTAATTCAATATTCTACACATCGTTTCAATTGTACAATTGAATTTCTCCACTGAGCTTTTCATATATCACGACATCACAATACCGCACATTTTCATCCCTTCGGGCTCTCTAGAGGCTCCGCGCACACCATCATATTACAAGCCAAAGAGGGGTTTTGCGTATGGGACTGTATTTGACGGAAGTGGGGCGAAAAGTGGGGCGTTGGGTATTTTTGTCAATTTGGCCCTTTTTGCCTCTCGCAAGTGGAAAATGAATAGGCACCAATATGCCTGGATTTCACTCTCAGCCTTTTCTCTCACTCTCCCGAAATGCCATTTCAATTTAATCGAAGAACATTCCTCAGCTCTCGTGAGAAAATCCACCGTGTGGGATTCCATCAAAACATGCGCCCCCCTGAAAAAAGGAAGCTCAATGGGGGCTTCAAACAAGTTGACAACACACACACGCAGTGAATATAGGCGAGAGATATGTGTGCTTTATATATATATATATATATATATAACATATTATTAAATCAGTTGGTTGTCTCTCTCACCAATTTCCACACACAGCACGAGGGAAAGAATGAGCTGGGTGGAAGGAAATTAAATTGGATTTTCTTCATGCCGAAGGGGTTAGATAGCTGGCGGTGGGAAGAGTAGGGGGACCAGATTGAGGCTCAGGGTGAAATGATGACGATACCAAAAGACCATCGTCATCCCTTCCAATGTTAATTTAGTTTGACTTTGTAATATGGAACTTAATACCGATGCCACACTAATATTTCATATTTATATATCATTTTAGTTTTATCAAGGGTGTCTCCCAGTTACCATGACTAACCAAGTCACTAACTGGTGCATAACCCCATAGAGATTTTCAAGCCATTTTAATTTTTATACTTGCGTCACTGTAATGAAAGCAATATTGAGTTGAGATACACGTGAAATTACTTGATAAATTATTAACATTCTGTCTTAACTAAGTAAGTGATAGTTACAATTCAATATTCAAGCTTTGAAAAATCACACAATTTTCTAGATATTACTATTCTTTTTTAAAAGAATATTTTTCTGAATCCTTAACTTTATACACCTAATATTTTGCAGAGAACATAATGTTAAATTCTTCCAATAAATTCACATCTCCAATTTAATATTTCCTTTTCTGCTCTCAGCCATTTAAATCACATGCTTCCACCATATCGAAATCAGCATTTTAACATTCAGAGTTTATTGATATAAAAATACAGCTTAACAAGATCGATTTTTAAAGCATTCTCACTGTGAATAGAAATTTCAGTGCTCTTTGTCAGTGAAGAGGGAATGTCAAAAAGGTCACTGGGAGTTTATACATATATTGTGAAAAAGCTTCTGGCAATTTTTTCATTCTCAAAAGCCACAAGAAATTTCCTCCTTCTCAGACTAATTGGTACTTTGGATAGAGGGAGAAAATTCAACCCAATTACACAGTGTTATAAAATAGAACAAAACTATGGAAAACTTGCATTCAATTCGCCAATAAGACCATGATGGAGCTTTAAAAGCACTACCCAAAGGGGTGGCAAAAATCGAGAGAGAAATTTGATCATGTGCCAAAAGTAGTCCAGACTCACCATCTTGATTTTCCTTCACGTATGCTGCCTGAGAGGCAACATGGAGTCAATATGGTGTCTTTTTGTTCGTCACAAAAACGTCTTTTTGAGGACGTACTAAAAAAGGAGCTTGACATAAAGTTTATCAGGCTGACATTTGTGAGTGTGTCTGTTTATACATTTGCTGTTTATCGACCACAAAGTGAAATGAATCGTGCAAATTTCAAATGATCAGTCTGTATTTGCAAAGTTTGTCCTTTCTGAGGTTCACCACCATCAAGGAAATCATGCATTCAGCTGAGTATTCTCATGGTGAGAGGTTTGAAGAGTGCCGGAAAATTGCCCTAAGTTTTCAGTCATATTAATCAATAGTCAATTTACATACAGCTATTTTCCTCTTCATCCACGGAAAGCGTGTAATCATAGGAGAAAAGCCCGCAATACTGTATAACTTGCGTGAATTTTTCCTCGTAGTCTCTTTTTTTTCTTCTCCCTTCCTTACCTTTCGACCTCGGTCTCTTGGGTAATTCTTCCTTACCACCCTTTTAAGTGACTTCACGTTGCGGTGAGAGGCAATAAAAGAGGAGCGCGACTCACTGGGAGATAGACAAGCATGAATTTCCTTCCTCTGTTGGTGGTCGCATGAGAATAAGGTCAATGCAGAATTGTCAGTTTTATTGCAATCATTAAATTTAAATTTACTCCCCACAATATCCTAGTGTTTTCTAGGCGTGTACGTGAAAATTCGTCTCAAGAACCAAATTATGTAAATACAGCCCCAATACCTAAAAGATAGAGCGAAAAAAGGGCTGGAGTGAGTAAAAAAGAAATCGTGCTGGAATGGAATTCATTTAATCTGAATTGCAACGGTTGGAATGAGGGATTCCGTGTGGATATTTATTTAGAATTATATTGTGGCATTTAATGAATCTGACACAAGGATTGTATTTATTCTCCCCATCCGATTTTCCATGTAAAAATAGCACGAAAAACCACCCCCTTTGCTTGAGCATAAAAATATATATCGTGCAAATGCTTTGTGTGTTGGCTCGTTGACGCGGAAGTGGATAACTTTCAATTTTCGCCTAGATATTCCGCCATTGCTTCCGCTCATTCAGTGACCAACAGTCGCGGAGTCTCTCTTAATATATGTACACTGAGAGAAAATAGTCGCAGTTCCCAAGCTTTGTTCAGTGGTCATTGTTTTGTCATTTTCTTTCCCTGATTAATTTACTTGCTCTTAATACCGTTGATTTTCTTTGTGCACTGTTGGCAAAAGCCCCTCGCTAGGTGTTAGTAAGAAAGTAATTTGATTAAGGAGCGTGTCTCAATTTTATTCTGTCATACTTACCCTTAATCACGACGTATGTGACTTTCCGCTGAGTGTAAAATTCTTTATGTGGTCGCGCACAAAGAAGAGACTATAATCACCTGGATGATAACAATTTAGCATTATAACTCTGACATTTTCCTTTCTCTGCACACAAACACGTGGTGGCAGACCCAAGAGTTGTGGTTGGAGGTGGGAAATAACCACGAGAGATAGACTGACTAAGAGAAGGAGCCGCACAAACGCACATTTTGGGTGTGGCGTTGATGAAACAGGAAAGCAAAATTTGAGTGTTTCGCTTAAAATGGTTGATGGGTATATTCATATATATGTAGTACGATGCTCCTTTAACCTTTTGCCGTACGGAAAGAATGCGTGAACTTTTGCCTGTCAATATGGCATTTGTCATGAGGACGTCTCTCTGTGTTGCCTGCTCATTCCCGGGACATCGCGTTGAATTAATTTTATTCCTGACGCAAGTTTACTGGGAAAGCTGAGGACAAAAAGGCTACGGAGTGTGGCAAATGGATGAAACATGTACCCAAAATCTCCGTGGGTCGCCTTTGACCTGTGCTATGAGTGGGACGAGTAATGAGGATTGTGAGATAATTAAATGAAATGAGGAATACTTAATAATGTTGTCACACAAATTTTATTTTTCACAGCGAAGTAACAATGTTCTGAATGCGATGACGTGAGGATGGAAGTGTGATCGCGCCTCATTTGACTCTGTTCTTTATCGCAATTATCGTATGTGCGGACGTGGAAAATTGTTTGAATTTAACACTTGAAGTGTGTCGTACAACAGTTTTATCAATGCACGTGGGAGGGGGCGAAAAGCACGCATTTCTCGCCCCAATTCCACACGTTCACGCACACACACACTCTTCGTTGCGATATTTACCTTTGACATGGTGACGGAAAAGTTGAAAAAGCCAATATCAAATGATTCAATCAAATGGAATAGGAGTAATTCTTCTGGACACTAATTGATCCAAACGTTGATTTGTGTACGTGATGAGCTGGGAAATCCGTTTTTGGTGCTCTCGCAAATTAATTCCGCCAAGCACGAAAGCTTCGATAAGTCCTCTTCTACTTGCAGTCATATTAGGGAAATCCAATTGTGAGGATATTTCCACCTCTTGCCATTTCCCTGATAAACTCTACACCCACTAAAGCAGATACTTCCGCTTAAGCGAAAAACTTCTCACCAATCAATAACATAAACTCTTTCTAAGTGGATAGGAAGGATGTTTTCGAAACACTATAATTTATCACAGCAACACATTTCACATTAATTGAAATTGAGCAAGTTATAGGTATGTAGGTTGTATGGCTGTCATTTGATTCTCATTATAAACTTTCGAAATTAGCCCATCGTAAATCTCAGTGACAAATCCAACAGCAAGTTAAGAGATTAGAAGCAATCTCGAGAATCTTGAGTGGAATTAATGGTGATAAATTCTTCGCAAATTAGTGGATGAACATTCCTATTGTTTAATTTTCTTTCTTATTCATCTTATTCAATCAAGATCCTATTCAACTGCATTGAGAGCTTTTGTAGTATCTTAGATTTGGCCAAAGTCTCGCACATAAATAAAAAAAAAGATTTACATAATGGAAAAAAAATCAGAGCGCTGAAAAACCTCATCTTTTCCTCTTACTATTAATAGCCAAAACCACGTGTCACAATTTCTGCCGCAGATAAATTCAATTTCACCCTGATAACATCACTATAATTGTCTTCTGGAAGGAAATTCAATTAAAATTTCCATTGTGGCAAATTTTACCTTAATCACCCCAACCGTGTTTTCTGATAGAGGTAAACAGCGACTGACGCAATTGAATTTTATCATCAATTTCGTGTTGATTTAAAGCACAGCTACACACATGTGTTGTGTGGCAAAGTTGGTGAAAAATTATGGAAAATCAATGGGACATATTTTCCTCCCTTTTATACCAACTAATTCATTAGTTTATCACTGGGGGTGTGTAATTTCAATGTGTGAGGCTTTTTAGTATTATAGTAATACGGAAAAGAGGAAAGTGTCCACCAGAAAGAGATAAAAGTCAGGGACAATTTCGTGATAAAGTCTCCTTTATATGATTAAGATGATAAAAATGTGACACTGTGTAACCTCATAAAATGGCCCAAAAGGGCGATTCTCTATTGAGAGAGTTTTTTTCTCGTCCATCTCATGAAAAAGGGTGGTTTTTAATTAGACTAATTTGGGGATCGATGATAATGTTCTAATCCCATTTCCTTCTCTTTTTTCCTCAACTTCAGTCAAGCTTGAGAATTTATGCCATTTCACCTGCAATGTTTAGATAAGTTCTCCTGAAGGAGTTTCTTTTGTGTTGGAAATCACTCCTAAAATGATTTTCACTGACAATTTCTTCACTCTTTGTGATGAAAGTCCGCCCTTTCATTTTGCCCGCAAGCACAAATGTTCAGGTGTGAAGTATAAAGTGTGGAAGAATACGAAAAATTCCTTTTCCACGCCATTGTCTTAAGAAGATTGAGTGACTTTGCGGAGTGTGGAGAAAGGATTTTCTGATCACTCACCCATCTTATTCTGTGCGAGTGTATCAACTCTCTTGCCCTCCTTTTCTGTGAATGGGTGAGCATTATGGGTGGTTGCGGAAAATCTTCAACAATAGCAAAATATACAGGGGCATTCTATTCGACGTCAATGCAGTCTCGGGATTTTCATTTCAATGCTATACCGCTGAGACAATGGCGTCGAGTTTCCACAGAGCATCTTCAACAGAAATGTGTACCATTATTTATTTGTTGTCTAAATATTTTATGGAAGTAAGTCGGATTTTTTGGAGGGATGGGTGTTGGCGCGCTCACGAGAGGCTAAAAAGAGCATGACGGAGCGTGTCTGTTACTTTTAATTTATTATTCCCTCCGCATTATACCATGTGTACATTAGTTAAAAACATTATGTGGAAATGGTGGATGAGCGACAATGTTAATTCATTAAAATTCTCTCTCTTCCTCTCATCATTTCCACTCTGATGTCATTCATGTCCAATATTAATTTGTGTGAGATCATCAATACAATGGGAAAAAGCTCGCTTTGCTGGACATGAATACTGAATAACGCGAATAACTGCTATTCAATTAAAAGTCTTTTCGTCTGGAAAATGATGATGTTTCATGTGAAATTAAACTGTAGATAGTTTTCCGTATACTTTGGCTTACATTTATCCTTAAATCTCTAAAGTTTCGAGTCACAAAATAGCTACAGAACCGAGATTAAAGTGCTGTGATCTGCAGTTAATAAGGGAGAAATGGGGATAAATAACCAAAATGTTATTTTAAAAATGATCGTTCCTTCCGCTGTCATTGTCATTGTCCGAAGTGGTTTAATTTTCCTACTAATTGCTTTTCCTTGTCTGTTTTACAGGAATTTCTACTGGCAATAGACGTTACATCGAGTGGTACGCCGGAGGAGAAGTTAAAATGGGCATTTAGGATGTACGATGTGGACGGAAATGGCGTCATAGACATTCAGGAGATGACGAAAATTGTACAGGTAAAATCACCGAAGGTTTTTCTCTCGCATTTGTTGTCCCATAAAACCATGGGATGATGGTAATAATTTATAATTTCTCATCATTAGGTGATTTTTTCATCCTAAATCGCCTCCTCGTTACTCGGAGTTGCCATTAAACCCCTTTTCACTGTCAATCTTCATCTTGTGCTTTGTGTGGAAAAATCCTTGGGGGGAATTCTATGTTTATTCGTATTGTTTTTTCTACAATGGCAGAATGTGGGGTGGTGAATTCATTTCGTCTTGATGAGGGTGATTTTTCGGATAGACTCACACACATTCAGACGCTGGGGGGGGGGAAGGAAAAAAATTCATGAATTGTGGAATACACAATGAAATGCTTCTATATTCCCAAATGTCTGAAATTCCAATAAATCAGTTGACTTGTTTTATTTTATTCCACGGTACACAAGAGGCAATCAAGCGGATGGGGGGCGGGTGGCATAACAACACGGGGAATATGTCTTTTATTCAGACAAAAATCACCATGTGAGGGAATTGACCGATTTATCGGCAATGCAGTGGGACAAAGGAGATGGTTTTTGAATATAAATTCGTTAGACTTTCTCCGTGTGCACATGAAAACGTGATTGAAATGGCAACGAATTCTTGTGAAAATAACACTTTCTCCCATGGGTTTTGAGTGATGTTAAAATGAGAATTATTTTGTAGGCCATTTACGACATGCTCGGCGCTTGTTCGTCAAATCGCCCCGCCGATTCGGCTGAGGAGAGAGCCAAGAATATATTTGCAAAGATGGATGAGAACAATGATGGGCAACTGACGCAGGATGAGTTTTTGAAAGGTTGCCTCCAGGATGAGGAATTATCAAAAATGTTGGCGCCTTAAGAAGGCGTTTCATAGAGACAAACATGAGTTATTTAAAATAACAATTACAATTTACAAGATATTAATTGTAACTTAAGTGAAGATAAAGAATAGGAGAAGAGACAAGCGTATTCTACTCTCCAAATGCAAAAAGTAACTCTGTACAATTCATATATGAATTATTGTTGATGGACATTGAGAATAGCAATCATCAGGGTGGAAAATTCTATTTATGATTTCATTTAAACTTTATTAAGAAGTTTCCTTTAATTATTTTTCCGCATCGCCGCTCACTCTCTCATATTTAATTATTAATTAATTCATTTTTTACTCCTCATCCTCGTTCAACTCAGTGAGTCAAATAAGATTTCCATCCCGGAGTTTCCGCGATAAACATCTATCCATCCATTAGCATCCTGAGCAGAGGCGTCACAGAGTGCTAAATCCTCGTTTTTCTCCGTCTATGTCGCAATTTACATTACATATGACGAATTGCAACGTATTATTTCCGAGATTCACGTCTTAAGATTGTGAAGGGAAGAAATGCACAGAGACTTTCTCAATGACAAGGATAAATGCCATGGATTCAATAAATTCCGCCCTCTTTTCGTCTGCCATCCCGTTCAAGTTGAGATGATTATTGACAATCCTCCTTGTGTAATAAACTCCAAGACGACAGAGAACATTCCAAATGGCATGAATGTGGATGAGGAAATTCCTTTTGATTCCCAATGTTGTCGATCAAACTTTTTACAGTCTCACCAGAGAAAATATTTCCATGCTCTTTATCCCTCTTCTTATGGCAGAGATATTTCTCAGCAAATATCTTTCATACAAATTCACATCGAATACGAGGACTTTTGGGCTCCAATTAGAACATTCCGGGTCGTCAATCGCGACAGATGGAATGCGCTTCAAGTGAAAATTCCACTTGATGACCTTTTCCTGCTCTGCTTTCTCCTCATTCTCTCTCTCTCTCTCCATTTTTCCACCCAACTTCACTGTGTATTCACCCTCAATTAAAAATTAATGAACTAATTATTAGCCGTGAATTACAGCATAAATTAATTACGAGCATTTCCTTTGCTTCTTCGGCGCAACAGATTTTTCCCTCTTCGTTTTTTCTCGAGTGGAGGGAAGATCTTAAATAGGCAAATGCTTCGCATCTTAGAAATATATGAATAGTGAATTTTTTAAAATGCAACTCTCAAAGACAATCTCTCTCAAACTTATGGAGGAAAAAAAGAAACTTGCAAATTTACTGATATAAATTGTTAAAGGGACATTTTTAAGATGGATTATATAATGATAAAGTATGGATAATGAAATAATTTCGCTCCCTCGCATCTAATGGCGAGGGAAATGCAATTTTTCTCTGCGAAATATTGTACTGTGTCCTTATCCATAGCACGGATGAGGTGCACTATGGGACATACTTGGAAGAAATGACAAATGCAGTAATTGTGCACGCTGTACTGGTTTAATAGGATATTTCGTGGCGAATTAGATTATAGTCATATATCATCGTACTTTCTTCTTTGGACAAAATCAAGTCACAAGCAACTAGTTGCAAGTGATTGTCTCACACTTGTTGACTCTGGTGCTCATGAGTAAATATCATTTCTCCAGTTCTTACACTTCACACAGAATAATTCATTCCTCACCATATCTTAAATGCATTTCGTAACTTTTAATTTCATTTTTCTCTCTTTGAAAAGAATATTGAAAACAATTGAGGGAACATTGGCTGTTAAGTGGAACAATTTAATTTATGTCACTCGAATCTCACTGATCGACCTTCTTGGAGATCAGTATAAAGCCATGAGAGATATGTTGGGATTTACTCCTTTTGCAGAGTGTATGGGAGAATGGCATTTCCGATCTCCACCCGTGGAAATGCTCTGCTTATTAGCATGCATTGACATAAAATAGATTGATCCGCTAAACTGCAGCACAGCCCATGTAAGGAGAAAATATCGCTAGATAGGCAATCAACCACGTGATGACATTTCTAATAAGAATATTTTAAATATTAATGACATGAGAAACCTAAAGTAAATGTAGGCGTTAAGTGGAAAAGAAATCATATTAAATACTATATTATATACATATTACTATTATAGAAATTGATGGGCACAAAGCTTATTTTACTATTACCACAAATGAGAAAACCAAATGGCTTTTACTGAACATGGCGAGAAACTATCTTTAAAGTGAACAACTGTACTATTTTCATGGTGTATACTCGTAAGAAAGGCAAAGAAAGGCTACTTCTATTGCTAAATATGATGACATTTTTCTACTGGTCTAATGAAAAACTCTTCTTTCTGAATGCGCATTATTTTCTTCTCTTGAACTAAAAGGAAAACGTCATGTAAGAAGATATCGAAGATAAAAAGAAATTCTCTGTATCAACTAAATAGATGTTATAACATGAGTGTTTTACTTCATCATGTAATAAAACAAAGTGGCGGAAAGGTTAATATTCAAATATTCAATGAAAACCAAAAATATTATCTCTCGATGTAATATTGAATGTAATTCATCATCAAGCAAACACGTATTTTCATCTCAATATTGTCAGCAAAGTTTTATTCCCCCTCCAATTTCATCGTGGTCAATTATGAAATCAAATGGAAAAATGAAATATGAGATTCTGAAAAGCTTTGCTTTTGAAAAAATGATCCAAAGATAACAAAAAGATATATTGTTAAATCACTGCCCCAAAATTTTAATTCATTTTGACGAAGGATGTTAAGGAAAAAAGATACTTATGACAATGTAATGGTTCGAGCTAAAAAAAACAATGGATATGCATATTAAAGGAAAAGGGAATTTTTTTAAATATGAAAAAAAATCATTGTAGTGAGTGTAAAGGATGGTCTTGTCCAAGAAATATTTTGAATTTATCAATTATGAAAAAATAATTATGGATATTGAGAAAGTAATAATGTGCGCATCAATGTTAAATAATGTGCGCTATAAAACATGCAGATAAATTTAATCAATTTTAATAAAAAAACATAAATCAACATGAAAAATGTTAAGGACAATGAATAGATGATCGGGAAATGAGGTTTTTTGTGAAGGATTTCGAGAAGAGACGAAATAGTGTGTGTGTGTGTAAGGCAAAAACCAGCAGGAAAATTGTTGAATAAAATTCACCAACAAAGTAAATAAGTATGAAAATCACATGTGTTGTAATTAGAACAGAATATTATTTAATTATAAATTAATTGACATATCGATATAAAATTGCTCTTTTACATTTTTAACCGGCTGCTCGCGTTTTGTGATGTTTTTCGCGGAAAATTTTTGCCACATTTGCAACGTGCAATTGATGTACGTAATTGTGAATAATTTATTTAATTACTGTCTGTCTCTCCCCAATCTAGGTACCATCAGAGAATTCACTTGTATATCCGAAGATAGGTGATCGGATGCACTACCGTAGAGTATTAAAATAATTTGTAGAGAAATAGAAACAGTCCTACTGACAGTGACTCTGAAGAGTGAGAGAGGAGGTCTTATCCAAGCAGACTCACACGAGGGGAGTCCTGACTTCTCTCTGGCTAGGCGGCTTTCGCAGAAGCTGGCCAATTGGTGACGCAGCCACATAAAAGACAGGAGACAAGTGCGAGTGAAGCGACTTCACAATATCCACCCATCCACCCAATTGCCGTCGAAGATAGATAACACAAAATGGGAAAGCAAAACAGTAAACTGAAGCCAGAAGTGCTGGAGGATCTGAAACAGAATACAGAATTCACGGGTATGCAGTGCCTCTGCCCTTTGCTTATGACACAATGCTTTCATCTCTGTTCTCTCTTTGCACTTCAGATGCAGAAATTCAAGAATGGTACAAAGGATTCCTCAAGGATTGCCCAAGTGGACACCTTTCAGTGGAAGAATTCAAGAAAATCTACGGAAACTTCTTTCCATACGGCGACGCGAGTAAGGTGAGTCGCAATATAAGTCGATAAAATTGAACAACTTGTCAGTCCATTTTCTATGAACGACGAAAAACACACTATGAGCTTGTTATTGAGGAATTTTCAGCTAGTTGGTGTGTTTCTCGGGCGATGAAAATCTTTGGAAACTTTGTAAACAACTGCCACTAATTTTCTCCGGAGAATGAATTTATAATAAGTTTGCTTAACTCAAATTCTTCCGACTAAACACAGACGACGAGATGTTAGCAAGTAGAGAAGAAAATAACAGTCTAGTGATGAGAATAGTTGCGACTTGAGCCAAATGTCTGAAAAAGGCAGATATTTAGAGAATATTGATGTAAAATCTTGTTGTTCGAAAAGTAATTATAAAAGCTCGTCTTTTCTGTATTTTTTGCGCCGCCAAAACAAAGTTTGCTGAACATGTTTTCCGAACTTTCGATGCGAATGGCGATGGCACGATTGATTTTCGAGAATTCCTGTGCGCCCTGAGTGTGACATCGCGTGGGAAACTTGAGCAGAAGCTCAAGTGGGCCTTCTCCATGTACGATCTCGATGGCAATGGGTACATATCTCGTCAGGAGATGCTGGAAATAGTCACAGTGAGTACAGCGAGAAACGAAGGGGAGGGGGCACTTTACAAGAAATCCATTGAACTACACGGAACAGTTTCGCTGAACACTGAAATCTCAACTTTCCGGGAATAATATACAATTGCATGAGCAAAAGGAGGCCACATTAGTTGAGTGGTAGACGCGCATTGTTGTAATTCGCAATGGATTTCTTGTGAAGTGTCTTCGTAGTGTACAAAGATTTTTGCATCTCTGTGGGTTTCTGTAGGCAATCTATAAGATGGTGGGCAGTGTGATGAAGATGCCGGAGGACGAGAGCACGCCGGAGAAGCGAACAGACAAGATCTTTAGGCAGATGGACCGCAACAAGGATGGCAAGCTCAGTCTCGAGGAGTTCATCGAGGGCGCCAAGAGTGATCCATCCATTGTTCGATTACTTCAATGCGATCCGCAGGCGCAGTGAACAATCCGTCGCCAATACCTTGATAATTACATATATTTCCTTCCATTTCAAAAATATCTAATATTCAGCTAACTTTCCAGCATCACAAACTGCTCAGCTCAATTCTGATGAGATTTCCATTTGCCATTTTGAATCCGCAGTTACTCTTTTGCATTTTAATCTCCCTCAGCCGGATTCCCTTTGTGTGTATAGTTTTGTTGCGAGCGTTAGCCTTTCTTGCACCATCACATTACTCCCTAGTGCGTCATTATGAATATTTTATACTGTTATGAGCTTATTTATTGACTTTAACTGTGCTAGAGAACGCAGAAAAGTTGCTAATGTGAATGATATAAGAGGAATATCCACTCAACACAGTGTTATTTTTTTCGCCAGAGCAACGTTGAGAGCTGAAAGTAATTTTTTATTGCTCTCTTGGCTTTTTTCTGCTTCTTTCGGGGGTTTTGTGTACACGTCCGAAGGTATTTCATGCTTTTATGCTTTTGCCACGATAATTTTCCTCTCATGGGAAAATAGAGAAATGCTTTGAATGCAAGCCAAATGGGATATTTCACCGTGAGACTCCAAGCGAATAGGATACAAACAGAGGTTGTTATAGCCTGTGGAGTCTCTCGGCGAAATATCACATGGAATTCTATGTAAACTCGGATTGTTCGCTCCATCCCGCGAATCGCGTTGAAAATTCACACCTTTGCCCATCCACATGTCCCTTGAGAGATGCGCCCTCCATTCGAGTGATTATGATTGTGAAGAGAGACGGTTTTCAGCAGGCATTCTACTCATAAGCCGGAATCAGATATCAATTTGCACAGACTTCTCTATTCCCAAGAAAACGTGTATTGAAAGGAGAAAAATGTTGAATTGAAAGAGAAAATAGTCAATTAATGAGTATTGATATGGAAAAATTCAAATGAAACTGATTAATCAATCGTCTCAGAGCGTTTTCAATTCCTTCGAGCGCGAAATTACTCAAATGAAATCTTTGAATAAACACAATTACGATGGAAAAGTCAATAGCAAGAAAATTTTTCATGATATCCTCCAAGATTACTAAAAATGTAGATAGAATAATTTCACTATTATAATACGCTTTCTAAATCTCTTAATCTCTCTTTCAAACACAAGAAAACAAAAATATAATAATATACTTATACAAAAGGAAAAACATTTAAACAAGTATTTAAAGAACAATTCTTGCTATTTCATGGACATGAAATGTATTTAAAAAAAAGGCGTTATTGATGAAAAATTTATTCTAATTAGATAATCGAAAGAAAATGATAAGACAAGTTTCAAGCACTTTCCTAATGTTAACTCTCTCTCAAATCTTAAGAAGAAAAAATTGAGCAGACTATTTACTTGGAAGTAAGATTGCATCTCACATCTTGGTCACTCTTGATATTTAATGTTAAAAGTATATTGGATAAAATATATGAGAAAAATATACATGAAAAAAAACGTTGACACTTTCTTAAATCTTTGATAAGACATACTGAACACTTCTTCACACAGATAACAACCGAGAAAGTAGAATTATAAATGTTCAATCTTATTCCTTTTAACTTTCTCTTATCATACGCTGCAGAAAAAAAGGAATCAGCTATAAAAAAAACTGTGTGTGTGAAAAAATACCTCAAAAACTACTGTTGTAATTTAATGTGAAGACAAGAAGCAGGAAGAATATGAAATTGTGTGTGTAAAAATTGAGAAGTGAAACACATTTCATCATTTTCAATGTGTACAGAGTGTCAGGCTCAAAATCTGTAATATCACACTATTAATCATTGCACTATTGAAGTATTTTAATGATATATTTGATCATAACATTGCTAGGTAACTTAAGTAGAAAATATATTTCTCATGAATATGAACTCCCTAATCTAAATATTATTTACAAATTGAATAAACATAACACCATAGAGTGTCTCTCAAAGTATAATTTCACAAAGTACATGAGAAGGATAAAGCAAGAATGGCGATTTCTGTAAAATAGGATATTAAAAGAAAATGTAAAATTGTTTAGGGTTAATTTTAGGAATTCTAAGAGATGTGAAAACATTTTTTGATCTTTTAATTGTGACAAAACTGACGTCCTCCTTTCCAACTTAATCTTAATTATCGGAGCTGATAAAAGTGTATTTATAAATTTAGTATATTGCGAGATGTCATATTTTTAGGACATACTTCTTTACCTTCTATAATCACTCTTTTATCCTATTCACTAATATAATATAGCTTGTCTTCCCTCCTGTCATTCTCTAACCAAATTCAATTTATCTATCATTTTTTTGATCTTGTAAGCATTGTTACTGGTTCCTAAATTCGACTGTAAAACGAATGATGAAATTAACAAAAAGAAATTGATATTCCCACCAAAGATTTTGAGAAAACACGTGAAAATAACAACGCGAAGTACGAGACGAATTATTACAGATTGTAACGAAAGATAAATTAATCCCATAGATTGTTTCCCTATTGCAAATCTACTTGTAGAATTTCTGGGTGAGTTTTATTGGTTTTATAATGATGAGTTTGTTCGATTATCGGAAAAATGGTTCTAAAATAGATATAAAATCTGAGTTTATCGTGAATATTTTGAGTTTAAGAAGCCAAACATGGAGTGATTTGCAATAGGGTTTTTTTTTTGTTTTTGGCGAATTGACATTATCAACAATTCCGATTCTTTCTCTGAAAGTCCTTTTCAAGTCACCTGTCATGCCCTAATCCTCAATCGACATTATCTCGTTTGATAAATTGAAGGACACTATATTGAATAAAAAAAATGACGAAAAATACAGATATAAAAATCTGCACAAAACAAAGCATGGAAAATTGTTAAGCACACTGAAAGTTTATGAAAAAGAGAGAGAGCAAGAAACTGTTTAACCCTTTAGTTAAGTATATATTTTACCCTCTCATGAACTCATTGCGATTGTGTTTCCTCACAGAGGTCGTATGGTTACAAAAAAATTGTGATTTCTTGTGAATTTTTTGTACGGATGCATCATGATTGAGTGCTTGTTTTGGTGTGTGAATGTTTTCAGGGAGACAAAAGGAAGAACTCTAAGCATAGAATACAATTTTCTCCGCAATCATTAGAAATCGAAGGAATTCAACTCAAGATTTACAACAAATATTCAATCTATAACTTTGCATGTACGGCCTATAGTTGTTACAAAGTCAACAGGAGGATTTGAATAATAACATGAAAAAATGTACCACCAATAGAATATTTAACACTTTTAAATGTCCCAACTGTTTTCCCCTTCATTTCCGATGTTCAATATCCGTTTACTTAGATATTCACTTGAAGTGCAAAGAGAGATATTCAGAGAGAAAAAAAACAAAGAGAGACAGACGAAATTGTTGAACCCAGGCAAAGAGTGGTGAAAAAGAAACATTTGGATTAATTTAGCGACAAGAGAAGATATTTGTTATTAATTATAACGCATAGTTATGGAGTATATTCAAAAACAAAAACAAGTCGATGTAAGTGATCACTACAGAGATAAGAGATAAAAATATCTGGAACAACAATCTTCATTATACGTTGTGAATTGTAGTTTTGCTTAAACAAACTTTTTTCATTGACGATGACGAGAAAGATAGATGAAAAACATGAAAAAGCAAATCACGAACTGTGTAAAATTTTACTGCAATTTAATATTAATTTTAACTTTAAATAAATATATCGTAAAACTTTCACAATTGCCAATTTCTTTGCGAAACACTTTCTCCCAAGATTACCTCTGACTCATCACAATTTCTGTTGATACAATATTTAGCGCTCATCGATTTTTATCCTTCATATCTGTCGGAACGCGTATAATAAGTGAGAGGTCCCTGCCATTCATAAATCACCCCATTCAAACTATAAAGCTGCCCTTCTTAAATATTTACACACTGTCTCGTGCCTGTATTTTGCGACTTCAACCCGCATTTCGAGTGAGTGAAGATGATAAAAGGGGGTCGAATGGGTGATTTACTACGAGTGAAACTCCACAACAAACGCTCGAATTAATTTATATAACAAAAAGCTTAGCTGTACAACTTAACGATACAAATATAAATCTCAATCGGCACTTTCACTTTCAGATGGCACAACCTCGAAGAGCACTTGGGTTAGGAACGTGAATTTCCCTGTAAAATCGATGGAAATTGCATGAATTTGAGAAGATTCAAGTAGAATTGCCAGCACTAAATCTACCAGTGTGGTAGATGAAGTGCTAAAGCATCCACTCACCCATTATTTTCGGTCTCTTCTTGTAGTAGACGAAGGGCGCGTAGACCGCCACGCCGCTCAGGATGAAGCCCACGGCGAAGAGGTACTTGAGGGATGGATCCGCAATCATTGGCATCACAGACAGGAAGACAGAGACCGCGAGAGTGATGAATGGCAGAATCAGTGGCACTTTGTAGGGTCGATGGACGTGGGCGTGGGTTTTGCGCATAATGAGGAGCGCCGCAGTGGCACAGCCGTAGAAGAACCAGATGAGAAATGAGGCGAACTCAATCAGCTCCCCAATATTGCCCACCAACATGAACAGGAAGGCGATGATTCCCTGCAAAATCGCGCACTTAGTCACTATGCCTGTAGTGTTTGAAGACAGTGGGGATTACCTGCATGGCAACGGCGGGTCCAGGAGTGAATCTCCGGACGTGGATGTAGGAGAGAGGCTTCAGCATGTGTCCCTCTCGCCCGGCCACGAAGCACAGCCGAGTCACGCCAAACTGTATGCTGAGTGCACAGCCAAATGTGGCAAGCGCCACTCCTAGAGGAATGATGAAGGAAAATGGACCCAGGACGCGATCTCCAAAGGCCACAGCGACAGCTGGAGCAGTCATCATCTCATCAGCGCTAAGGACAGTCATGTAGGCCATGTTCATGAACACATACAGTCCCGTGATGATTGGCACAGCAATGACAATGGATCTCAGGATGTTCCTATGAGAGACGCACATGTGAGAAAAAGGATAATTGAGAAAAAGAGTGGAAAATGCTCACTTCTCTGGGGCCTTTATCTCCTCGGTGACAGTGGTGACGCTGGACCATCCATCGTAAGCCCAGAGGCCATTGTAAAAGGCGAGCGCAATAAATCCCGGATTAGTGGTTGTCCCCTGGAAGCCACTTGTGAGGTTTTTCGTGTTGCCAATGGCCAATTCGTAAATCCCACCGCCGATAACAATGAGGCACGCTATCACCTTGCAGAAGCCAAAGATGTTGTTGATGCTCACATACAGCTTCACGCTCACCATGTTGATATAAGTGATGACACCGAGGCCCAGGAATGCTATTAATTTCACAAACAACTCCTCATCCTCCGTACTCATCCTGCTCAGCCCCAGGACGTCTCTGAGTGGCTGGATGGAGTATTCGGCGAATGTGAGCATGATTACGGCTATTTCTGCTGGTCGGAGCACCACCACGTAGATCCAGGCGCATATGAAGGCCGGCAGTGGACCCCAGAATTTGTGGAGACGCCCGAAGGATTCCAGCAGGTAAGCGTACTCCGCTCCGGAGCGCGGAACGACAGTTCCGAGCTCGGCGAAGCACAAGGCACCGATTAAGGAAATTACACCACACACCGCCCACACCACCAGGCACATCCCCACGCTGCCTGAGTATTTGAGGGCCGCCGTCGGGGAGACAAAAATGCCCGAGCCAATCATCACGCCTATGATGATGTTCACGGCCGCCAGCAAGCCCAGTTCTCTCTGCAACCCGACGGCCTTCTTCTCGCCATCTTGTCCCTTGAGCGGCTCCTGAGCCGCCAGGTCCTCCTCAATCTCCTTCTCGCTCCTCTTCCGCTCTGCCGAAGAACAGAAGCACGCTCAGAAAGGAATTTCCCACGAGCAGAATGTCTTTGGTGCAAATTCTTACCCATTACTTCCTCTTATTGCGAGCTTTCCTATGAGATTTCCTTCTCTAAATACCTCTTGAGTACCTGCCAAAGGGAAAAAGAGTTCAAATATGCTCTAAAGGTAAATAACCGATGGTGTAAAAATACAAAGTTTCAGTATGGTTTTTCGTTAAACATTCGGACCAAAGCTCAAAGGTTTTTATATTATATTATCTAAAATTATCTATCTATATATATATTATATTTTTCGGAAAGAATTCCACTCTGTTGAATAGACTTCAACTCCATCTTACTGGTTTTTAGGCAGCTTGCTCTAAATCAATGTGAAAATATCCACAACTCATTCATATCTAGTTTGATTTGAATCACAATCAGCATGAATCATCCGACCTCACTACGCCACTGTGTCTTGTGTTTGATATTGTAATGAGGTGCACCAACAAAGGCGCAATTATCAATCTGGCACGGGTCAGTAACAGCGGGAAGAGTGGAGAGATAATTGATTAAGTAATGCACTAAAAATGCAGAGTAGCAACCACTTTTCCTTTCAATCACACTTGAAAGAGACCCAGAAAGAACTGCGAGGCTTACACAGCCCTCGTCGGCTTTGCCACTCATTTCGCTTATCAGTTGTGATCGGGAGGCATTGAAAATGGAGCCCACGTGGGTGTTTCAACGTCACTTTCACGCTGTGTACCGACGCCACCGAGAATTAAAGTTCAAACACCAAATAATTCCGCAAGAGCATCACAAGAGAGTCATAAATCTTAGTCATTCACCAACATGCTGCCAACAAACCCCACTACAAGTTCACATGAATGATTATCGCGTATCGTCAGCAGGGGGAGGACAACGCTCAATTATCAACTTCTCTTGCCACTACCGCACATGATAATCAGTGACATCATTGTTCGCACGCAGATCAATTAAATCTCTATGGAAAGTTGGCAGAAAACTTAAATTCTGGACTTGTTAGTTAGAATTTATGGACTTTCGTGACACTCTGATAAGCGATACCTCAAATTTTTTACAATATATCCACCCATATCGCGACATATCAATCAATTCCGATGACTTTCAAGTGCCTAAGAACAAGATTAGGAGCCACGTTACGCCAAGATAAGCCAACGTCTGTGAGCGTGACAACATGAAGTGTCCACTTTTTTGGGTCAAGATCACCATTTGGAAGTAGTTTTCCTATTTTTCTATAGTCAATATTCATCTCATGAGAAATTACCATGAGCTTCTATTTGTATTCAATGACGGTTGATAAGAAAACCCATTCAATAATTAGCTTGTATTATAACAATTCGTAATCTGAAGCTTCATTTAGCTTTATGAACTTGAATTGCTCGCCTCTCCTTCACATTATCAATATAAAAATTAGGAACTTATCAATACGAAGCGGCGGAAAGCGTTGAAATACCGAGACAGAAAAAATGCAACTTTGACCTGACGAGCACAATTATAATTTCCGACACCAAAACTTTCCCTAAAATATCAGACTCCTCTGCTAGATAAGTCAATTTCACACACACACCACAGATCTAGGGGAAAAAATGAGAATGCAGTAAATTTTTCCACCCACAGAAATATGCTGATGATAACACACTTTTCCGCTATCTGTCATCCACTGAATGGGGAAACAAAAGCGCGGATTTGCAAAGATATTTGCAAATCAGTTCACTCACTATCAAATCAGAATATTTTCCACTCGCATTTCCATCACAATAACATGGTTTTGGAATCACAGCGGCCCCACAATTATCACTTCCTAATAAAATGGGGCTTAATTATAAACAGAGACACAAAGAGATCATTCACACCAAGTAAATAATTAAGAAATTTTGCGCAATTCAGAGCGAAGTAATGTGGAATAATTACACAATTTAGCAATTAGAATTGTCGCCTCAGACAATCATCTTCCTCCAGAAGAGACACACACTGGACGAAGTCTTCGGCAGCAGACTCACAAATCGACTCTCCAGTTGGCCGACTCTCCACGATACTGCCGCTTTAATTGTGAATCTCTTCCAGCATTGGCGTGAGAAATAATCACTCGGGTTTCTTATCAACTGAACACGACGGGAGAACATCAAACTCAGCACCAAGCTCAGCACTGGAAGTGTGATACTGAACAGACCAGAAGAGACACAGGGAGGAGCTTTTGCCGTGTCTCTCTACACTGCAGATTATTTTGCCACCGTCTCGGTTAATTTATTGAATTAGAAAAATATTTACCCTCCGCGAAGAATTTGTCTGTGCGCCTTTTGGTGATGAGATGCAAAAAAAAGTCTGACGAAACTGGACAGGAAAGTTTGCTCAAACTCACATGATCATTTGTGACGACAAAGGGAACCTGACAAAAGAATGTGAGAGCAGCACTTTAATGCGGAAATTGGTCTTGTCTTACGAAATCCCAGAGATCAATTGAAGAGCAACTGTGCATGGGAAAAATCAGTTGACGTCGTTTTTCTCACCAAAGTCGCGTGTATTAAATTGATATCAATTCTATCAACAAACAGCTTTTTCGGCACAACTATATTGAATTGACCTCCAACGATGCCGATTTCTTTACATTAATCATGCTTTTTATAGAAATCAATCACATTTCATCTATATTTAAAGTCACGCTTTGAAGAATTATAATTCATTATGTTTACAGAGTTGAGAATGGTAAATTATTAGTTTAAAGGATTGCGCATTAATTTGAAGGGATTTCGTCGATATTACCTTTCTGAAAGAAAAGCGCTCCTTTATTAACGGTTTTCTCCACGTTTTGTGCCTTCAAATATTCCTCTCTCAGTTCTGTATAACTCACCGCCAGAGTGCTCTACTTGCATTCCTTGGATTTTTCGATGTTTTCACATAGAAAATGTTGAAGTTGTCAGAAAATAAACATTAGAGAAAAACAGTGAAGGGTCTTGAAAAACTCTGGACGAAAATGACCAGACACGCCAGGAATTGCACAGCAGGAGCCGTCTACACCTATCACGAAAAGAGGAAGGACGCCCAAACGTCTGGATATGGAACAAACAGTCAGCGACTTGGGAAGGACTCAGTGAAGAACTTCGATTGCTGTTCTCTCTCCTTGCAGCCTTGTGCAAATCCCGTAATCACGTAAGCCATCCTCTCTTTGAGAAGTCTAGAATCCTTGTCTTACCCACGCTTTCGTTGAACAGAAAAGACGGCCACTTGTTCGACAAAGAGGCCATCCTACAGTACATGGTCACGAAGAAGGTCGAGTACTGCCGGAAGCTGAAGGAGTACAAGAAGCAGCGCAAGGATGAGGACGCAGAGAAGGAAGAGAGTGCAGCTTCTGAGCAACGTAAACTCCTTGAAAAGTTCATCAAGACAGAGACGAAGATTGTTAGCGATTCAGTGCTGGAGGGCCCATCGACGAGCAGCGGTTCCAGAGGATCTTCCTCAATCTCCAACATGGTCAATGGGAGGGACAAGCAATTGCCCAGCTTCTGGCTACCTTCACAAGCTCCCACGGCCAAGGCGTTAAAGGTGGCAAAGCCAGACAAGACGATCTATTGTCCAGTTTCCGGGCAACCGTTGAAGGCTACGGACTTGATTGAAGTGAAGTTCACTTTGGTGCAGGATCCTGACGACAAGAAGTCTCTGATCGCCAAGGAGAGTCGCTACATGTGTCCAGTGACTCACGACATTCTAAGCAACTCAGTTCCGTGTGCAGTTCTTCGTCCGACGTACGTTCTTGAACAATGTCCCGTCAAATACACACTAAATTCTCATTTCATTGCAGTGGAGACGTGGTCACGATGGAGTGCGTGGAGAAGTTCATCAAGAAGGACATGATTCACCCGCTGACAAATGAGAAACTCACCGAACAGGACATCATTCCTCTCCAGCGAGGCGGAACCGGCTATGCCCAGACAAATGACAATCTTGAGGGAAAGGAAAAACGCCCAGCGCTCCAGGCTTAAGACACACTTGAATTAAAATCCCTGCACTGCAACGCTCAAATGGTACTGATTTGTTTACATTCTCTACACGATTCTCATGTGTTGGTGTGCGAGAATAGTGAGATTGTCGCGAAAAAAGTGCAATTATTACATATGCGACCTTCACAGCATATCATTGAATACTTCAGCTGTTCGCGGCTCTAATCTCCGTCTCAATTTATTTCAATTCCAAACACTTTCCGCACTACTTGGGCTGTATTCAGTGAAATTTCTGCGAAAACTCCTGCAGAATGAGCTAAATAAGGATCTCTACGTGTTATCTCGTTCCAGGAAAAGTGATATCTTACTGTGTGTTTTGAAGTACTGTGAAAGTTTGTGCGATATGTGTGACTGTTTGTGAGCGAGATTCAATGTGAATCTCATAGTTTGTGGACAAATATTCTCATAAATCACAGTGAGTACCGAGAAAGGGCATTTTTAGGCAATTGATCAAGAGCGGAACCATTAGTTTATCTATTAAGCCAGTCTGAAACAATGGTATTAGGATTAATTTCATGTTATATAATGTGAGAAAAAATCGACACACTATTATTTTCTCAACACAAATGCATCGTGAGAATTGTAAATAGTATTATTTACAAGGAAATCTCTTGGTGTGTTTGTGACAATGAAAATGGATGAAAACATTCTCACTGGTAGTTGTGATGAATTGCATCTTCTCGCATATGTTGAAGCTGTTTTCTTTGGTATTGTGTCAGCAAAACCGCAAAATATTAACTCCAGCTATTGCGTCTGGAGTGCGAAAGCAATAAAGGTCCTTTCTGAGTTTAGGGATGAATTCCCTCCTGAGGTGAGGCTCATCTGTTTCTGACAACTATGGCCTTTTTTCCTAAAAAGGAGAACTAATTGTTGCGTGTAATTGAAAAGGCGCACAATTAGAATGACGCCAGAGTATCCAATCTGAACTGAATCTCTCCCAGGTAGGCGAGTCACTCAGTTCCCATCGTCACTCAATGACTGTTATTGTCATATTCGTCGAAAACTTCCATCCCCCATCTGGCGAGGAGTATTTTTTTCACATTATACTATTGAATGCATTCGGAGGAGGAGATGCGATGCTCTGCGGCAGACAAGTGACATCACTTCATTGAAATTGAGCTCCTGAGAGAACATCAAGGTGGAAAAATGTGGAAGGAGAGAAGAATGATATGTTAAATAGAAGTACAATCAATTCATTGAGATTGTCTGGCTTTTGAAAGCAGAAAAAAGGCCGATTCGTCGAATGCGAAGAAGGAAACTTTTAATTGCCAGGGAAAGAAATGTTCTCAGGTGTCACGAGTCAATGGATAATATAATTCACGCTTTGGCCATTGAGGGAAGAAAGAATGGAGAAAAAGGAGTGAATAGATTCAATATTCCAGACAATGCCAATTATCCCATATTTTTTCCACAGTTGTATCGATTGTACCCTAATAATCAGTTTTAAAGCCATCGTGAGGTGTTTATTGAAAAATCTCATGCGTCAAATCCCATTTAAATTGGCTCAATACATCAAAGTGGAGACGGATTAGCAGGACACAGAAGGCATTAATTGCACAAAATAGCACATGGCATTAACAGAGGAAGGAGTTGGAAATTATTGAGCTAGATAGCAGTCAGATATGATAGTCCTTTATGTCACAGATTGGGAGGAACTTGTGGGCAGAGCCTTTATTATTAATTGCTTTTTAGGGCGGGTCCTATGAGTGGGTGGAGCTTTGGAATTATTGTCCAGTGAATAGATTTTTTACAATGGGAAGCATTATTATTGCAATATTTATTTATAAATTGTATTACTAGTTTGTTCATATATAGTTTACTTACAGAAATTGTTAAATGCTTATTTTCCAAGAGAATTAGGGAATTTCAGTAGCCAAAAATCATGTATTCTTTTCCTTGTCAGATCAATGAGATAAGCATTCTTTTGTAGAAAGTTTAGTGCCCTCACTTTGTAGTTTAAGATATCTATTCGCATCTAATTTCCTTTTTCCTACGACACAATTCCATAATTTGCTGCATCAATTGCAGCAACTATATTCGATTTATGCAGAAAATATTGTAATCACGCCGAGCGTGCGACTGTCGTACTGCTGAAGTGCATCTCTGTCTCACCAGCCAATTCTCCCATATCATTCCAGGCAGATTGAAGATTACATAATCGACCGACGACCAGTTGAAACAATCCGATTAAGAGGCTGGTTGTACGAGTCAATTCATTATAATTTTTCCGCTCTTCTCGACATTTTCCCATTCAATTTTTCACGATGTGATATTTTCTGAAATACACACAATTACATGCAGTTCCGGATACTTTTCTGTAATAAACGTTATATTGATTTAAATAGAAATATCTCAATGAGTTGTAAAGATTGAATTTGACTTTTTCAAGTATTTACTCAGGACTCCCTCCGTCAAATCATATCCTTGAAGAGTTTCAAGCTTTCTGGGAAAATGTATGACGACATATTTGAAATGTATCGCCAGTTTAGCAATTATAAACAAATGGAACTCAAGTCCAACCCCTTTTCATGCACTCCTCTGTGGGAAATTATCACATTTCACTCCTGGCATGCGCCACAGTGGGAAAACGAGCTTGCTGGCTGGATGAGATTATACATGGTTTTCCACCTTATGTACAATTCGTGCGCGCTCTCTCTCTCTCTCTGTCTCACATTTTCACAAAGCCTGGGAAAAGTAGAGATTTTCCGCCCCAAGTCGGAGAGCGAGTGAGAAGTGAAATACATGCAGTTATTCACCGCAGAAAGCCCACCTTATAAAAGCATTTGTGGTCTCTGTGGAAAATTCAGTTAAACGGGAGCCGCGATTGACGTCTGATCGGTGGATCATCCTTTTTCCATTGGGTTGTTTCAATGGAAGCTTTGCCTTTGATTAATTTGTGGTGCCACTTTTCTCCACGCGATCCGGAGGGTTATTAAAAACATCATTTGCGTGTGTGATCAATTGACGATTGGCTTTAGAGATTGCAGTGTGAATTTTATTCATTGTGCAATTCATTCACGCACAATTGGCAAGATGGTCGCACGGAATCTCTCAATACAAGATCTTCCCTATTCGGGACTCCTTCAAGTTCCGGACGAGGAGCGAGAGTTTCTCACGCTGGAGGAGTTGAAGCCTCATCAGTTGACGGAATTGGGCGTCTCGAGTTGTTCGCAACAGCCACAATTCGGGCAGCAAATCTACTTCGATCTCAACACTCAACAGACAACGACAAAGTCTGCTGATGAGAATGGCGATTCTAGTGCTCGTGAAATGATGGAGAAATTGTTTCTTTGCAGTGGAAATTGTGTCTTTATGAGTGGAAGTGAGCTCTCGATGCCCAATCATCATCTCGACCGTTTGGATCCAAATTCCATGAGTACAACTGACACAACCAACAGCCATTCGCAGAACTCATCATCCAACCATATGGTCAGAGGGCATCTGAGGAAGAGGAAATGCTCCTACACGTAAGTTCAGCCTTTCCGTGTTTGCTATTTAAAAGACAATGTGTTGAGCAAAGTGACTGAACAAGTTCCAATGACGAAGGAATCCATACAAAAGTGCAACAAGTTGAAGAAAACCACCCTAACACAAGCCGTCGTGACAACAATTTTACAAGAAAACAGCGTCATAACTATTGTAAAGCTAATTGAGTTGGAATTTATGGGGTTTTCCAGTGTTGAGCTCAGAATTTCCAGTCCTTTTGATGATTTGATTTGAAAATTGCGTCAATGGGACTTTGTGTAAATTAATTGCCTCTGGGATTTCAATGCTTCCCCTTTGGGGTGTAATTCAACAGGTTAAATGGTAATTCAATCCCTCTTGTCTCTGCCACAGGGAAAACAGTGACCTGGAGGAGGATACGGGAGATGATGCGAAGTCTGTGAGAACGGAGGATAATAAGAAGTAAGCAAATATATAAATACAAAAATATCTATCATGAACATCGTTTCATTATAATAATATATGATGACCTCACGAGGGGCGGAAAATGGTGGGAAAAGGCAGAGAATCATTTTAAAATTATCACAATAGACAGGAGAATATTTTTGAGTTACATTTTACATGACAAAGAAGCATTGTCACCACTTATCAAGTAGTTCAGAGTGAATCGAGGTGAAGAGAGCATGGTCAGTGAGGAAGCCTCACAAATTGATGGGCTGCACGATAATATATGGTCAAGGTGAGGCCAGAAGGGTGAAAGAAAGTCAATCAGATAATTTTCCGGCGAGAAAATTGCATTTCAGTGAAATTTGAGCATCACAGTCTCACTTTTCCAATTAACTCTCGACATGATTTTCCGCTCGCAGACAAAATCACAGTGAAATTGAGAAGAGGCGGCGCGACAAGATGAACACTTACATAATGGAGTTGTCCTCAATGGTGCCCATTTGCCATGCCATGTCGAGGAAGCTGGACAAGCTCACGGTGCTGAGGATGGCGGTGCAGCATCTCAAGACCATTCGAGGGGCCGTTCATTCCTACACTGAGGGACACTACAAGCCCGCCTTTCTCTCGGACGAGGAGTTGAAGATGTTGATTCTGCAGGCTGCCGAGGGCTTCCTCTTTGTTGTGGGTTGCGACAGAGGGAGGATACTTTACGTGTCCGAGTCTGTGTCACAGGTACTCAATTACTCCCAAGGAGACTTACTTGGGCAGAGTTGGTTCGACATTCTGCACCCCAAGGATGTGGCCAAAGTCAAGGAGCAACTCTCGTCGTCAGATTTGAGTCCGAGGGAGAGATTAATCGACGCCAAGAGTGAGTAAAAGTTTGCTAACTTTTAGAAGTCACACTAAACACGTTAGAGAAAGAACAGAATCTCCTTAAGTATTCACTGAGATCTCATTGATTGCATTTTACCATTAATCTACAAGTTTTGGGACATTTTCAGCGATGCTTCCGGTGAAAACCGATGTGCCACAGGGCTTGTCTAGACTCTGTCCAGGGGCCAGGCGATCATTCTTTTGTCGCATGAAGTGCAAAGTGCCGGTGCAGGTTAAGGAGGAGATGGACGGCTCAACCAATGGTCATAGGCGAAAGAAGCAGATGAACAGCGATAAGAAATACTCCGTAATTCAATGCACGGGATACCTCAAGTCCTGGGCGCCGGCTAAGATTGGTCTCGAGGAGCAGGAGAGCGACGGTGACGGAGATTCGTGCAATCTCAGCTGTCTCGTGGCCATCGGCAGAATTCCGCCAAACATCTTTGTGCCCAACGTCACGCCACCGATCAACAATAATCTAAATCTGAGGAGCATTCAATTCATCTCCAGGCACGCCATGGACGGGAAATTTCTCTTTGTCGATCAACGGTGAGAAAAGGCAATTTGTCTATATCAAAGTTGTAAGTCATCTTGAATATTTTCAGCGCTACTCTAATCCTGGGCTTTCTGCCTCAGGAACTCCTCGGCACGAGTATGTATGAATACTATCATCATGAGGACATTCCCTCCCTGGCGGAGTCCCACAAGTCCGCTCTGCAAATCTCCGACAGAATCACAACTCCTGTCTATCGCTTGCGCACAAAAGACGGCAGTTTCGTGCGTCTCCAGAGCGAATGGAAATCATTCCGGAACCCATGGACAAAAGATGTTGAATATTTAATAGCCAAGAACTCTGTTATATTGTGAGTTGTCGTGTGAATAATTTTTGAAATTGCATATAGTAATGTTTGCCCCAATTTTCGCAGATCGGACAGCAAAGTTGACGATAGCAGCTCTTCCCAGTTGCGGTTCCACACGCTACGTATAGGTTTCAAGAAACTGTTTCCGACCCATAACGCTTATGGGGAATTTACATTGGATGCGTTTCACTTTTACCTCGACGAAACGATTTCCTGAAATGTCTCGGTAGGTAATCATCCCTTTTTTTTATTGCCCCTACGCTCGGGCGCGGAGGGCAATAAACCTCGAACAAAAAAAAGGGATAATTGCCCTCCGAGACATTTCAAGAAATCGATTCGTTACTAGTGCAAGAAATAATTTCATACTTACTACAGGAAACAATTTCGTAATTCAATCAAGAAATATTTTCATTCCTATTGCAAGAAATAATTTCGTAGTTATTTCTGGAAGCAATTTCGTATTTATTTCTTGTATGGAATCCAATACAATTAAAATATATAATTTTGTCCAAACGGCAATGTTGATTATGCTGAATCTGGCCACCTTTAGCACTCTCCGGCGTCATCTTATCCCGGAATCCGTGAAATTTCCCGCGGCTTCATTGTCCATCTGAAAAACGATAAAATTATTAAATTTTACTGTTTATACGCGCAGAATTTAGATCAAATTTTCTCTCAATTTATTTTACAACAGCATAATCAATGCACATTTTGAAAATTCACCAAAATGTACTTAAATAAATGCAATTTTTCTCACCTTATTATCCGATGAAGAACTGCACTCTGCTCGTTCTGCATTCAACCACGACCAGAACTCAACTAAATCGACAACTCAGATGAGTTTTAGTGAAGGAATTTCCCAACATTGCTTCATCCCGACACCCGAGCCTTGTTTTATGACCCTTTTTTTCATACTTTGCATTTTCTCTGCCTATTTTCTGTAAAACAGATGTTTTATTGCACTACTTTTCTCCCTCGAGCGCATCATGGAATTTTGAACCGGTTTCAGGTATTACGAGAAACTCTTCCGTAAACCATACGGAGGCATTTCTTGACCACATTCGGAAATAGTAAGAATACTTGGTCTTACTCGTTTCTCCTCTGAGGGCAATCAGGTAGAGTGCCGAAAATTGGGTAAATTTTATGAGGGTCTGAGAGGTCTGAAATTTCTGTGGGCCATAAAATTTAGGGACACCATATGGCTTATTCTATACATGTTTAATCTGTGAAACAAGAACGAAAGCATTTCTTGTTGGGAATCAGAAACTGAAACCTTTCTCATTTGTATCATGTTCATAGTCGGAGGGCAATAAGGTATTATTGCTCTCCGATTGCCCTCAGAGACAGAACAGGAAACAAATCCGCAACAGTTTCACATCCACTACCGATGAGTATCCGTTTCTTGAAACCAATACGTAGCGTGTGGAACCGCAACTGGGTTGTGGTGGTAATGTCGCCAACGGTACCATGTACAGAACAGGGAATGGAGCTGCAGAGAGCAATGCTCCAGGTCATTTTGACTTCTTCAACCAGAGTGCGTATATGAATTTGGGTTTTTGGATGGTATCTTGAGTTGACATTGTGTGATTCTTTAATCAGGCAATGGTCGGGAGATGCATAGGATGATAAACACTCACATTGAAGCGAGCAAGATTGGTCGACAAATAGCAGAACAAGTTCTGGATCACCAGCGGAGAGTGGGAGATTCCTCATCAGAGAGCAGTCCAGATCCTGAGACCACAGAGACGAATCCTCATCAGCACATTGCAATGTCCGAGAGCAGCATTTCAAACAGCGAAATGGCGCTGGATCGGCGCACTGCACCGCCCAATGAGCAGAGATTGAACGGAACGCTACCGGGCTACTCTCAAGTGAGGAACAATATTGTGCATCCAAATCACTCCAGCACGGAAGTCCTGCAGATGATGACAACTGGGGATGCGCCCAACCAGGCAGGGACAACTGATGGCAACGACGAGGCCGCAATGGCAGTGATCATGAGTCTGCTGGAGGCAGATGCTGGTCTGGGCGGTCCAGTGGACTTCACGGGACTCCCTTGGCCACTTCCATGAGATTAATTTCCACCTTGTCAATCACAAACACACACAAATATTTATCTGTTATCATCCACAGCTTTATTATCCTAAGCCAAAGTGTTTGTAGGTGAACAGGCATTTATGGTATTGATGTGAAAAAAAAAGATTGGTGTGCCATCGACTATCACTATTCAAGTACTATGAAACCCAAACTTGATGATTAGTAAGAGAGCTTTTCCCGCTTCTCAAAGAACACTTTGTACGGCTTAGGCGAGAGAGTGATTCCAGGCAGAAGATGAACATCTGGCTTCTCATCTTCATTGCGTGTGGACAGCTTAAATCTCTGTACGATGCCAGTGAAGAAAGTGAAGATGCACGCACGAGCTAGAGTGTCACCGAGACATCGTCTCTTTCCCTGGCCGAATGGCATGAGTCTCTCCACATTGCAGATCTTTCCATCTTCGGTAAGAAATCTCTCAGGGCGGAAAACCTTGGGATCTCCCCAGAAGTCTTCATCCATGTGCACTGAGTGGAGATTGATGAGAATTGTGGAGTTCTTGGGGATTGTATAACCACCCAATAGAGTTTCCTTTGTTGCTCTGCGTGGTCCAGATATGGGGACAACATTGAAGAAGCGACGAATCTCCATCAGATATGCTTCCGTGAAGGGAAAGTTCCCGTGCTGAGCTGCCGTGAGTGTGTTCAAGTGTAATTTCTGGGCATTCTCTGAGATTTCTCTACTGATTTTCTCCTGAATCGCGGGATTGATGAGGAGCATCATGAGTGCCAGATCGATAGTGGTGCTTGTAGTTTGAGATCCTGCAATGAAGATGTCCAGGATAACCATTGAGAGTTGAATATCGGTAAATGTGGAGTCTGTGTGACCACTCTGAGCCCTCATTTCCTTGATGAAGGCATAAATGAGGTCATCCGATGATTTTTCCTCGCTATATGTTTCATGGTGTCTCTCAATCGCCTCCATAAGCAGATCCTTCAACTCCTCATTGAATCTCCGGATTAAATTGTATCCACTCCACTCGGGCGCCAGGAATCTCACCCACGGCATCGATGACAGCACTCCTCCAGACATATCAAAGGCCTTAGAGCGCTGCTGAAGAAGTGCCAGCAACCTCTCAATCCTATCATCCTCCCTGCCAAGGCGCTTCCCAGCCGTGAAAGTCCACAGGACATTCAGCACGGACACCGGGAGATACTTTCCCGGCCAGAAACTGCCCTCCTTCTCTCCTTGCGACTCTATCAAGGTGAGCAGATCACCGAGTTCCTCCTCAATCAACACTTCCATTGGCTGGCGTCCGTAGCCGGCATTTCGCAAGTGTTTCACGGTGAATGCTCGGTGTTCCGCCCACATGGCTCCGTCCACACACGTGATGCCGCGCAATGAACCCATCGTTCGGAGGCGCATGAAAAAATTCTTTGGCCGCCCCTCGAACTCCTCTCGCATGTGAATGTCCCGCACGATGGCATGAGATGAGCCCACGACGTAGAAATTACCGCCCATCTTCATGCCCAGCACTGGACTACTGTAATCCTTTGTCCATTGATCGTACACTCTGTGCAGGCCCCCCAACTTCCTGGCCTCCCGTCGAATCTGTGGGGAGTTTCCCACGAACGGAAGCCACTGAGGCCCTGAAAATTCATTCACTGTAACTACTTCACTGCGAGAATTCAACACTGCCTTTACCTGGTGGGAAATTCCTGGGGCGCCAGAACTCTCTCAGCAGCAAAAGTCCTACAAGGAGGCACAAGAGCAGCACAAGAAGCATTAAAGTACCGTCCATCGCGATGTTCGTATTACGTAAATCACATTGAAGAGCACGCCTTTCTGCAGTCAACTCCTTTGGGCAACGTCTTGGCGGCTCTGTGTCGGATCCCACACTGATTCAGTCACTTCGCCGCACGTGTCTCCAAACTCTCGCATCGCCACACACTCACGCGCGCCAGATAAGCAAATTCACTGTGCCGATCACGACTGGCTCGGGCGATCTTCGATGCAACACTGAGAAGCGCGGTGAGAGAAAAGACAGAGAAGCACATTCATGAGTAGGGCGCCGACTCAGCGATCTTTATCAGCTCAGAGTTGAACTGACGAGACACTTCCCTGTTGAGCTGATAAGCCTGAATTTTTGCTCTGTGCCACAAAACTATTTTCACACATACACTTCACACGAGAATTCTCGTGTGATGCCATCAATTGGTGCTACCAATTTGTCTTCAGTTGTGAAGCAGTCGCACACGAACCCGTAGTATTCAATGAATCGTGTACAGTGAGTGCCAAAAGTATGTGAAAAAACGCACTAAAATGTATGTTTAATGGTTTCTGAAGAGGAAATAATACTGGTGATTGAGCGGGCCAAAGAAGTGATGTTCTGCTGGCATATCCTGCCAACATTGACTGAATACCGAAGGCGCATGTTCGAGGCAAGATTATAAATTGTTTCCCAGAAAGATGAAATCATATTTGCTCCGATCTTCACTTCAACAATAAAAAAAAAACTTTTTATCGATTTCTTTAATATAAACGATCTTTTTTCTTTGATGAATTTCAAAGTTCATTCTTCCAACATTTTTGCCTTTTCACTGTAAAAACAAGTATCCTGAATCGCGAGATTAAAACGAAATCAACGCTGGAAAAAGCGTTTACGCTGAAAGCGCGGCAATTATTCAGATCATCTGGTGAATACAGCTCATTATAAAATTTCTGAACTTGAAGATTGTGGGTTTTTTTCTGCGTTGCAAAAATTAAATGTAAAACAGGAAAGCAAAAAAATAGATGATAATTGGTATGTAAAAAGAGTATTGATAACCCGGAGATTATTGAATTTTTGAACTCATGCTGAAACGCGCGTGCTTACGATTTTCAGTACTATGACAACTGCATATATCAAATTTGGGGTCGCTGATCTGTGTTTTCGTCTAGCATTCTTCTAAAACAATTTTTTTGTATTATCAATCCTCCCAAAGGTGCGATGACCCAGGATTTGCATCGCAATATTTTAATAATCAAACACTCGCCGCGATAGGATGATTTTGTATGCCTTTGGTGACAATGTTATGCCATCGACTCCCTCGAGATCCGGTAGATGTTCGGCATCTTCTGGCAATTCCATCTCAAAGGCATGCATAAAGGTTGCGAAGAAGACGAAGAGACTCGATTTTGCCAGATTCTCACCCATGCAGCGACGCTTGCCTGTGAAGGAGAGCAGAGATTGCTACGAATCAATTATCATGTGAGAGGTAATCTTACCGGAGCCGAAGGGAAGGAAGCCCTCATGGTTGATTAGCACGCCGTTCTCGTCGAGAAATCTCTCGGGAAGGAACTCTCGAGGTCTCTCCCATGCCTTCTCGTCCATGTGAAGGCTGTACAGGGAGACCAGAGCGAGAGTGCCTTTGGGCACGGTGAATCCCATGAACTTGACCGTTTCCAGGGCGCGATGAACGATGGCCAGAGGAGCCACATTGACGCACCTCATGATCTCGCAGAGAACCGCTTCGGTGTAGCTGAGATGAGGTCTGTGCTGCAGCTTTGGGAAGCCAGAACCTACAACCGTTCTCAATTCCTCTGTGACTCTCTTGGCCACTTCGGGGTAGTGAAGCATGTAGATGAGAGAGAAGGCCAGAGTGTTGCTGGTGGTCTCTGATCCGGCTTGAAACATATCCAGACAGAGAGATAGAAGTTGTTCCTCCGTGAAAGTGGTTGCAGAATTGTGAGAACTCGTGATTTGCCTCACGTAGGCATCAATTAAACTCTTGGGCTCACTGAATTCCTCTTTGCCCAGCTGAATTTCCTCAATTGTCTCCCTGAGGAAGCTCCAGAGTGGCTTGAAAGCCTCCACTAAAGGTCTGTAGCCTGATAAATTGGGTAGAATGTGCCTGATTGCAGGATATTGATTCAATATTCCACCAGACATGTCGATTATCCTGAAGCTCTCATGAATGAGCTTCATCAGCACAGTGAGTCTCTTATCCTCCAGATCGAACCTTTTGCCCGCCATCAGAGTCCAGAGGACGTTCAGCACACAAATATCGAAAGCATTGTGCATGAAAATGCCACCATCTCGCTGGTTCTTCCTCCACAGATGCTCAACCATCGCTTCAGCCTCCTGCTCAATGCGCTGCACCATGCTGAACCTGCCAAAGCCCAGCTGCTTCAGCGTTTTCATGCAGAAGCGCCTCTGTGTCTCCCACGCCTGACCGTCCGTGAACACCAAACCCAGTCTCTGGTCGAATGAGCGCACTCTGAAGAAGAAGCCATCAGGCCTGCCGTCAAATTCGGCGCGATTATAGAACTCCCGGATGGCTTCACAGCCGGATACAACAATAACTCGATCTCTGCCCAGACGTAGTCCAACAACACTCCCGTATTGGACGCTCAGGTGCTGCCAAATCATGTGATGGTGGCTTAAGGACTTCTTGAGGCGAAATAGAAGTGGAAAATTGCCAACAATAGGCAGCCATGGAGGTCCTGGCGGAAATCCTCGTGGTCTCCTCGAGTCTATCCAGCAGAACAGAATCAGCAGTGCAACTATACAGGCAAATATCGCCATTTCGCTCACTAAACACGCCCGGAAAACACCTTCAGACTGCGACAACTGGCCCAGGAATGGACAAAATCTTTCGGATTGAGGTATTTTCAGCATACCAATTCTCTCTGAGAAGGTCAGAGATCAGATCTCCGGCATCCGGAGGGGATCTTTTGTGGCGAAATCTGATAGGGAGTGAGTTTTGACCTGCACACTTCCGCGGGCGAAGCCTGTAAATAGCACGTTCTTGCATCACACGCGCTATATTGTTGCAAATTTTAGACACAGGAACCACAAAATTAATACATAAGTTTTATTTTTACAGAAAATATAATTTTAAGTATTAATTATACATTTTCCATTCTCCATCTCATTACATCAGATAGATTTCTGTCTATACTCACTAATTTCTGTATATTAATTGTAAATTAAATTAAAACCTTTTCATCACTTAACTAAATATTCTCTCTTTTTTATTTAAATATATTCACGATTTTCTCTCTTCGCCTTCCTTTTATCCATTACTTCATTAATACATAAAGTTTGTTGTTTACTTTGTGAAAGATCAAAAATGATATTCTCAAAAGATAAAAATCAATAAAATTATTGACATGATTTGTAAAGAAAAGATCAACTGACAAAAAATGGGAATTAGTTTGCGCTGTTTAAAAATTAGAGAATATAAAAATAGAAATTAAGACACGCAATGCTGTAAAATAATCAACTTTCTCTCTTATCATCAAATAACGAATTTGTGGGCGTTTCCTCACATTCTCTGCACTGTTCCTTCTCTCTCGCTCCCTCTCTCTCTTTCTCTTCTTAAATATAATTAACAAAGTATTAAATAGAAACTCATCAATATTTTTACAAAATACCATTTTAACATAGTTCTTTTTCAAATAATAAAAAAGAAAAGCTTCAAGCAATTTGTTTTCTCACTTCCTTTTCTCTTTGACTTTATCAGATTTCTCGCCGGTTTTTCTTCCTTTGTCATTAAACTTGTGTTTCTGTTTCTTTTCACTGCATTAACTTTGTTATTTTCTCACTTATCTACTCTATAGACACTTTTATATAACATTTTACAAAGATTTTTATACTCCAACGCGTAACTTAAGATCTTACATGGTAGAATTTTACAAAATATACAACTTTAAATTAAACTTTATCTTCCATTACAGCTAGAAATTAATGAAAAACACATTAAGGTAGGTACCATCGCGTTTTGTTTCTCTTTTTTCTCTTTGTAATCCTCTCCTCATCAACAATTCTTAAGAGACAAACTCCCTAAAATTACATTTATAAGATTTCTTCTTACTTTCTCATTTGTTCACACGATACACTTTTTTTCATCAAATATGCGACATTTTACAGGAGTAATTAAAGTTCTGATATTCACAACTTTCTCAGCACCTTGCTCATTTTCAAAATTTAGCTCTGTCCGCTCTTCTCTCGCCCTCCGTCGAATGGAATGTGTCAAATCTCATGTCACTACACGTAAATTTCGCACTAAACATCCTTAACAGGAAAATATAAGTAGAAAGATGTACAAAAATAGATTTAAGTAAATATTCTCTATCATCTGAAAAAAATATAAACATCCTTTTCTTCTTTGAGAAAAAAGAGAATTTTGATTGAAACGCCATCCAATAGGTGAGCCTTGGGCTCCTTTCTTGCACTCACAGCATCTCTTGTATTAGGTTTTTGCGCCTCCCAGTGGCCCACATGAGCAAGGTGCCTCACCAAAAAGCGCATATTTTGCACCGCCAATCGCCTCCCAACTCCACCACTTCCGCAATATCGCTCTCTTTGGGCGGGAGAGGCAAAATTAATTGAAATTCTCGTGTTTCCCTCTCACCTGCGCGCCTCAGAAGTCATCGGGCAGAGAAGAAAACGGGATAAAGTAAAGAATTGGGCTTTTTGCATAAAGCATTTTACGGAAAACTGTATCACAGAATTTTTTCGCTCTCAATAAAATCTTCGAAGCCTTGATTGCCTTCTTATTCCAAAATGTGATGTTTCAACCGTGTTTCACTTCTCTTAGCATTAAGAGACACCAAGAAATTTCAATTAATTTTGCTAAAAATCATCCTTTTTCGAGGGGAAAACTGATCATTTTCCATCTATCCATCTTTCCTCACTGTCCACAACTGCACTCTTTGTTGCACTCTACAAAAAGTAAATCTTCTAGGCCACATTATTTCTATAAGAAAGTTACATAAGAACGTTTAAAGATAAATTTGTATCTTCTCTCCCATCGAAAGATTCATCAATGTTCGTTTCTTCTTCTGCTTTAAAAGTGAATTTTACACAAGATTAGGTTTTGCTTCTTTAGGAGGGTCTTAAGAGAAAGTTTTCTTTGATATCTACAATTATAGATTTTTCTTCATCTTCATCATCATCATTTATAGCCTATTTTTTCTGAAATTTACACAAATTTACATATTCTTGTACGCCTTCCTAATTTTTTTTTATCTTCTCTCTTCCTTATTTTCAATTCTCTGTTCCTCTGCAGTAACATTTAATTTGTAGTTTGATGGAAAAATAAAATATTCTCTCTTTCTCAATATTGTACATTTTTCTCATCAAAATATATCCTCTCTCTCTCTCACAACATCTACCTGGCAATTCTTATCACACTCCATTGGTTACCTTCGTCACAATTAGTCCTCCTTCCCAATCTAAACAGCCCTTCCACAAAATATATTTTGATCTCTGATCATCTCTTGCCTATTTACACCTATTAGAAAGATCGGTTAGACCTATATATTCTCCACAACATTCAATAAAATCTTATTTAAAATAGTGTATCTTCAATCTGATTTATTCTCTCATCCACAAAATAAATTGATATCTTTCTCCCTCTCTAGTTTTCTTTACTTTTTCTTCTTTTTAAATATTGTGTCATTAGGATTATTATGTGCCATTTTTCTTCACTGTTGTTTTTTTTTTTTAATATCATATCTAGTTGATTTTCTTTGCTACAATTTTTTGTTCACACACAAAACAGGTGATGCCTCAGTGGCCACTCCTAATTGAAAACATCATCACTGCACCTCTCTTGCTCACCCAATGACTATCCCATCGTCTCTCTAATTTCTGTACACCGTTTAACTACGTCCTATTGCCATTCTATTTACAAAAATAATTACTATAAATCTCTCTCTAGTAACATTTTGTACTTTTTGACCATTTGGAGTGTTTATTCTCTTAAAGTTGTATTTTTTTTCTTTTGCAATAAGGCAAGTTGTTGCAGTTTTCCTCCCGCTCTTCCCACTCAGCTCCTCAAGTAAATTTACCCAAAAATATGTGTTTCCTCTTTGCCTATGTTGTAGCTCTGAGTTTATTTACACTGAGATCCGAGAGCAGTGATGATTTCCCAATTAGTAGCAACTTCAACATAAGGGATTCTTCTGAGTTTGTGAATCTATTTGCTCCACCTCTAAATATCTTAAACGGTAACAACTGAGTGTGATGGTGATTAAAGTGTGCAGAAAGCTTCTTAAAGACATCTTTTTGTCCATCCTCAGCGCTTTTTCTTCCTTTCTCCCTCTCTCTCTTCCTCTCGTCGGAAAGCATTTGAGATATACTTGAGCAGGAAATGCGCTTGTGAAAGCTCTCCATTTGACTTCTATGGTAATTTCCAGTGAGACTTTCATATACTCCTATTCATGTTTTGTAGAAATCGTCAATTTAGCCAGGAATTTAAAAGATAAAATCAGGGAAATATTGCACTGATTCTCCAATACTTGTATAACAAAACATTAATTCATACACAAAAAAAAATTTGCCTTCCATCTTGACACGTGTTTTTGCAATTTCAAGTTAACATACAAATAATTTTATTACAAAAAAAATAAAATTAAAATTATTAGTAAAAGTTACTCTCTGAGATGAAATGGTAACGTATGAGTTTTACCTTGAGTGGATCTCTTTTTGCAGATGATTGAAGACAACAAGAGCACTGGGAGACCAACGCTTCCCAGTGCACTGGGTAAAAGTGAAAGATGAAAAATTTAACCAAAGAATTCTCTCCTTTGAAATGAATCAAGCACACAGTATTGACAATTATAAGAAAACAATAATAATTCAGCTGCCCAGCCACCGGGTGGCTTAAAGTAAAAATTTCAATATAACAGGAAGGATTAAAAGTAATAATAAAATGAGTGTTTCTAGAAAACAATGTGTGTATGTGTGATGGAAAGTGATTTCGATTGTGGGAAAAGTAATTCCATCAACCACGCTAAACTGTCAATAAACTTAATACTTTTGCACAAGATGTGTGGCTTTCTCTCCCTCTCTCTCTCTCTCTCGCTCAAAGCGCGCCCTCTCAGCACAGATTCTCTCCGTTGTCTCTCTACTTCCTCTTGGCGTGCAGCATCTCCATGAGAAGTGTCTGGGTGGGCGCTCCGCCGGCGCAATGTTTCATATAGAGGTGCTCTTCGCCTCTCGCCGCCATTGCGTGGATCTCCGGAATAATACTGAGCAACTTGCTAAATTTCTCCTGCAAAGACAAAACCATTTCAGATACGAGTATTCTCAAGTCATCTCACCCAACAAATATAAGAAGTTATCGAAGAATTGCCACAAACCGTCACCGATGGATAACAGGTGAGCGTGTAGTCCAGCAGGGCCGCCTGCACATTCTCATAACCCTCAAGGATGGTCTTCCTGTTAGTGATGCCACGCACTTCTGCCGAGGGAAAGTCTTCAATTCAGTGAATTTTACAACGCTCTAACAACACATATGACCTCACCTGGATTGAGAAGGAGCAGGAACTTCATGCAAATGTAGTCGCCAACGTCAAACTTGAGCTCTTGTAGCTTATTCTGCAACTCATTGAAGTGATCCGCCAACTGTGGAACTCCTAGCAGCCCCAGGCCAAGCAGATCAAATTTCTGCCCATTGTGGAGCGTCGTCTCGTCCGGCAGGCCATTGTGTATTCTCTGGTGTAAGTGATCCAGCACGAGCATGTCTGACCACGAGTGCTGCAGCAGCTTCATCTGATCATCCACCTAGTGAGACAACAAACAGAGAAGCGTTAATCGAACTCTTAAAGATTTTGCAGCGACATAACATTTATGTCTTTATGTAAAATGTTCATTTTGCAATTCTTAATATCTCAAATTGCTTATAATCATCCCTAAACCGCTCAATTTATTGAACACCTCGAAAACTACATACATCAATTCAAATATTCTTGTAACGTGAGTTGAAAATGCCTCTTTTTACCCGTCATTTGTCATCAATTGAACGCCAGCCCTGAAGTGCCGCATTTTCCAAAACACTACTTTAACTAGGTCACGGTTAGAAAATTGATTTTCCCGCTCCTCTCGCATGAAAAACCATGTGAGAGTTGAAGAAAAATCGTCAATCGGTGGGAAAGTATCTGTCTCCCAATATCTTTCGGAAATTGCTTGCAGGAAATTTCACTTGGGAGATATACAATCTCAAAATGCTCTCATAAAGTAATTTTCTCTTGTTTTCCCGGCTTGTTCTCTCATTCTCCCTCTCTTTCTCTGTCTTGCTCTCTTGTGTGGAAATATAACGGGCACCCATTGACCCACTAACCCACTTTTCCCACTCTGTTTCTCCTGCCAAACTATTCAGGGGTGGTCGGGAATATGTATTTTTCAGTTCGTTGTGTGAATATGAAGCCAGAAAAAGGGGCGAAAAGAGACGACAAAGTCTTATGATTTCCATACTTGTGCCATCAGATTTCCCTTCATTTTCCACCCCAAAAATACCACCCCTTCACACACAATTACATCACACACACATACAAACATTATTCTTTCCTGGAAAAACTCGTAGGCGTTCGATCGGAATTGACGTCAAAGCACACACAAACACCGCGTGTCCACGACCATGAAAACTTCCAGAAGATGAGCCTTTTTTCCGTGATGGAACGCTAAAGAGAGAAAATCATCTCAAGAATGCACATTTCAACCCAACCATAAATACTTGGCTGAGGAAAATTCTTCTAAAACAGATTACTAGTGCCTCAAATAACTAACTTTGGGCTATTGGGAGGAGCATGTCAATAAAGTAGGTCACCAAAACATATTTTTTCGTGAGCCCTGCTTGAGATATTAACTCATTTAGCTTCAACTCTCCCTCTCCTTCAAAGACAACATCGCTTGAGAGTCCGCGAAACAAGAGAAGCATAGGAAAGCCACAAAAACACGATCACACAAAATGACTCGCTGACGAAACTGTGTCAATGTCAGAATTAATCAGGAAACTTTTGAGAGAAAATCTCACTGAGCTTTTTCAGCTGCCATTTTTCCCACCCATTGTCCATAGCCAACCAGAACCCCACAATTGGGTTAATAATGTGGAAATTCTGACTCTCAATCGGCATACAGACTGTGGTCAGCAAAAGTGCGCGCGTCAAGGAGCATTTTGAGAGATGCAAGAACTGCAAAATCCCCCCACTTTCAAGGTGGACTGGGCGTCTCTCCACTTTGAGCTCCAAAATGTTGTGCTGCTCGAGCTCAAAATTTTGTAATAGCACCACCATAAAATTCCTAAGCTCCCCAACATCTATCAATATTGCGCAAAGAGAAACACACAAAAAAGAGCGAAACACACCGTCGAAATATTTCCGATGTACAAATTTTTCAGTCACCGCACTTTCAAGCTTCATATGTATGTACAGCAGTAGTTCTAAAGCTCTAAGCCCAAAAGGAAAAACACTGCCAAAAAATTCAAACCTTGAAGAATTTCCCAACGAACAATAACTACCATTTATCAAATTATGTATATTAACATCAACAAAAAAGTGTTACTGCAATCTTTGTACTTGAAAGAAATCTGTTAACGCCGAAAATTGGCCCTTCCACGGTTAATTATCCCAAGCTCAAGCCCAAAAACTGACCTTCACACTCCTCCTCAACAATGGAGAAGACAGGAGAGTCACTCTCTATCTCTTGTTTCACTGTCCAATTTCAACAGACTCCTCGCGTCCAATCTTGGGCCAAATCTCATCCAATTATTAGTAACTTTATGGCCTCAGGGGAAAAAATTACCTCGCCGGATATAGAGCAACATATTTACAATAATTTTGCATTACAACAATTTGCTGTGAAAAATACATGCATTTTCACAATAGCAGCAATATTTTTAGATTTCATTTCTTGCCCATTTGTTAATTTTCCTCAACGCGCTGGACAGGAACTTTCAAATTTTTCTTAACCACCTTTTCTTCCTCACATACATGCATAAAAGCAGCACATAAAAAGCTGCCGCTTGAGAAACTCTCTTCAGAAACTCAGGGGGAAATCGAAGTGTTGCTGGAAAAAGCTGTTGTGGATTTTCCTCTTCAAATTCCCCCATTTGCTCATTTTTTCCATTTTGCAAAATCGGAAGACAAGCAACCGCTTTATGGTATCGATTTGGAAAATACACACAAACCCACACAAGCACACATTGCTAGAGAGTGAAATAAATTTCAAATAATTTTTTTTAGCACCTCTCAACCATTAGCTATTGCAGAAGACACGTTGTTAGATGATCTAGAGTCATGTGGAAAAAAAAACAACCCGACAGCGTGCAAATCGAGTGACAGAGCTGACGATGGACGTGGTGAGTGAGCCCGAAAGAGATGAGGAGCAGTGAAAAAAATTTCAATTCATAAATGGTAAATGGATTTTGAAATACACAAAACGAAAATCAGGTCAGCGCCAATATGTCAATCGAATCGTGATTGTTGTTTAATAAAATTGCATGAAACACAAGTAAAGCGGCGCGCTGTTTTCGAGGAGGAGACCATACCGCAAACATGCATGTTCTCCAGTGTGAAAATTCACTTTCCGGTTGATTTGGCTATCAGACATTGTTGAGATACCTTCCAGATCACGTTCTCACACACATAATCCAAATCAAAGGGGGAGATATTGTGGTCGTGATCCCGTACAGACAGTGAAGCGAGTTCATTAGAAGAAAAGAAAATCTTGTCTTTTTGTTGATAATGGGAAGATCTCAGAGCTCACGAATTATTATTGATAATTAAAATAAAAATCAAAACTGCACCAATTACACTGACTTTTTCTCAACCTAAGCCAGATGGTTTCCCCCTTTGAATCAATTCATCGCTCTCTTGTGATGATTTTTCACATGACATTTTCACTCTTGATGGCTTTTCTACAAGCCATGCTAACATAAAACACTGTGACAGAGTGCAATAACTTAGATCAAATAGTGTCTTCCTGTTTCCCACGGCATATTTTTGCTCTGACATCCTTTTGCCAGTCCACCCGGCGCCTCCATTTCTCTCTATCGCCCCCAAAAAAAGCCCACCCACAATTCTGGCACTGAATTGCTACTATCCAATAAATTTTGCGGGGAAAATTGAGAACAAATTTTCATCGAGCATCTACAAATAACATGGATTTTTGAGGCGTACGATTTCCACCTAAACACCATAAGTCGTATTGCATCAATGTGTTAATATAATGAGCTTTTTCATCTACACTCTTGTGAGCTTTTGGAGCTTGTGTGCATGTTTGTGTGTGAGTTGGGGGGGCTTTTGTGTATATTTCAATTTCGTTCAGCTCAAATTGACAAGTAGGTCATCGTGAGCGAGAGCGATTCAGCAACTCTAAGCAATCTACCCATAAAGTTTTCCTTCTCCTCCTTCTGCCACTTCCTCCCCAGGTCTCTCTCTCTCTCCCCCCCGCCTTTGGCAAACACACACCTCATCTCATCCACACCCGAAGACATCTCAAACCATCTCTCTTGCACTTCTCGCTCAAGTGTGCTCCAAGAGCAACTTTATAAGACACTATGGCTTACATTATCCCCCGAAAAGGTAAGCGCATGCCCTCGCGAGACGGCAAGCGACACACTCGCGATCTCACTTTAGCGCGGTCGCGATAGAGTAACAATTTTCAAATTGTGCCGCATTTATTGCTTCACGTGGATTTCCGCACTGCACTTCTTGTTCTCTCTCTTTCTCTCTCTCTCTCCCTGTCGCACTCTCAAAAGCTCACGCTATACGGCATAGAGAGGACAATATTCACACCGCGTTTGCCGGTTTCAAATTCAACCATATCTCTTTTCTTTCCATGTGATTTCCACATTAATTGCGATGTGAAATAATTGATTGCCTCTACCGACCTTCGAAGGAGGTTTTCAACTGTCCTCCCATCGCCCGTCTTTTCCCTGGACTTAAGCGCACTCACCTTGAGATCTTTGAAGAAAATGGTGTTCCTTGCCCAATCCACCTGAGAAAATAAATTCTGGTCTAGCACTTTGCACATCAACTCAAACAGGTCCACTTCACACTGATTGTACGACTGACTCTGCAGGAGGGAGAATAGCTGCGTCTGCCACTCACGATCATCGACAGACTGGACAAATTCACGGATCATCGGTGATACCCTGCAAAGAAAAGAAATCACCACAATTTCCACATTAAACCTCTCGCCAACCGCATGACCAACTTATTATGAATTCCCACCTGAGCGTCTCCACGAAGCTCCCGGAATCGGCTGTACTTGTGGGATTGGTGCTCGCATCGAAACTGAAGGCTTTGGGACTCAGTGAATGCGGGGAGGCTGTCGTTGAGTTGGCATACCACAGCTTCGAATCCGTCATTGTGTTCTGTATGGTGGCTATTGCTGTTGTCGATGGGTTTGTGGGTCCATTGCTTCCTCCACCACCCCCGCCACCACCTCCCCCGCCTGCGCCGCCGCCTGCACTCCCGACGTTCCCGCCAATCGACATCACGGTGGTTCCTCCGGTGTTCACTTGTCCTAGCGCTATGGCGATAGGACTGGGCGAGGAGTCCGGAGAGGACGTCAGCGATGATACCTGAGGATCATCAAAAGCATTAACCTTCACACAAGCCCAGACACACTGCGTGACAACAAAGCACAACCCACCTGTGGAATTTGGATCTCCTGCTTTATGTGCATATTGGTGTAGGGCTGCTGGTAGCCAGTGGGAGACAATTGAGATTGCGAGCCATCTGAGGCGCCCATTTGGCCGCGCAGAGCTTGCAGGGCGAGTTGACGCTGTCGCAGTATCTGTAACTTCCTTGCACGGTCCCTCTTGTACATTGGCCCGAACTTATTTCGACCACCTCGCATCCGATCAGCACGAACAGCTGCAATTACCACAACAGAGAGAGTCATTAATTAATTGCTCAAGAATGTACAGTAAAGATTTCGCAAATTGTCTCAATAAATATGGAAACCCCACAATCATTTCACAATGTTCAGCGTTAGAGTGAGAGTCAGTGATTCCCTAAAAAAGACAATGCAAATTGTTCAAGTGAAAATCATCTCTCAAGAGATACTTAATGAGCTTTTCATTCTCCTTCCGTCCTCTTTCTTCTTATTAAAAAAAAAAACACTCCATGGTTCTTTTGCAATGCAATATATCATAATCAGCCAAATCGTCAAGATTTGCAAGAGGCAACCTCGAGACAAAAAAGTCACTACTCCAAATTGAGAGAAGATGGATTGATTGCAAAATTCCACGGCTTCTTATGCCCAGTTGTGCGCTTTTGTTGGGCACGAAATAGCATACTTCATTCATGGCTTGAAACATATCATATTGACATCAAGTAATGCATTAAAGAACTATTGTGATGATCATAGTGGCCAATGAAAAAAATGTAAATGATCACATTTTTAATAATAATGGCGATCCAAATCAATTTACATCAAGAACACCACACAGAATGATGTCAAGAAACATAACAGACATTTATAACGTTGCATTTTTAACAATGTCTCCTCATTTCAGAGTCAAAGTGCAAAAAAAAAACCTCTCTCATGACCACTACAGGCAAGGAGAGTGAAATAATAATGGTAAAGTTTGTAATATGAGTGAACTCAATTTAGTCACATATTCTATAATTTATCTTTTGCACCATTCATATGGAGAGTCAATTACAATGGGAGACGGTGGGGTTTTACGAAAGGCACCCAAGTAGCGCGTTGGTGGACGACATATAGGAAATTGTTGGGACACCAGTGAGAGCGAGAAACACAAAAAATATTGTATTGCATCAATCCACAGTGGACAACACCTTAATTTTCATACCAAATAATATCTCGCTGAGGAGGAAAAAAGATCAGTGTGTAGACCACCGTAGTATGTAGAGAGGTAATTTATATGCGGAGAAACGATGTGCTCACCGCAAAATTTTCATTAAATCCAATGAGAAAGAATTTGCAGCAAATTGATCATCATTTGTGTATGCATTATTTATGCAATTTTCTGCACACTTTGTTCATACACTACATGAGTATTGTATTTTTCATTAAAACTTTTTGACGACATTCACTCACTTCTGCATTCGAACACCCTGCAAAACAGAGGGACTAGAAAATCGCGTGATTATCTAGTGTTCCTCATCACCCTACAACTCAGATATTTAGACTATTTCCCACTCTTATCACATAAATCACAATTACACACCACGTTGATGCACTAATTGCTACTCCTTCCAACAATTCACAACGGTGAGATATCACCAAAAGATGCTATCACGTCCAACATAGGTGAATTATGCGATAAATCCCCAGGATTAAATTCCCACCTAAATTCATTGACACAGTTCTTGTTGCTGTGTCGCGAAAAATCGCCACCCGAAAAGAAGGTGTTTGACGAAAAAAAGAGGCGTGGATTGAGGGAAAAATTCCATGCCAGAGTGGAGAATTTATGCAGGAAATTTGAAATTTAAAATTCTTCTTCTTCGCCTGACATTGACTGGCATGGTCAAAATGCTAATTTTTCAGAGACACACCAAATAAAAAGCCAGAGCCCCCCCAAAAGTTAATATGTAATCAATTTGTTTGGCCCCCTTTTTTTCAGCGTCATCTTCCTAACATAGAACTGTGTCACTGAGTCAAATCATTGTCCTTCCCAACTCCATGAATTTTCAAATTTCCCTATACTCTTGATCTTCACATTTCTTGGGAATATTTCAGATTAAATCGCCCAAACGGTTATACAAGATTCACACAATCATCCACACTCCCATAAACTACTGCAATTGATGATCAATGTTAATAGTATTAACTTGACTTTTACATCACTATTTCACATGAAAAAAAAACACAACAGAGAGTGAATCGAAAAAACCGCGTGCAGTAATCTTCTTTTCTCTCTCTCTCTCTCTCTCTCTCTCTGTGCATTTTGCACATTTCACTCTGTGCACTCTATTGTGTGGTAGACCGAAGAGAAAAAAAAATAGATGTTAACTGGATCGGAAAGAATTTCCTCTTCATCCTCAACAAAACACACATTTTAAATAAAGAGATTTGATCACTGATACCAAACAAATTCAAAACGATCAAAATCCTTGAAAGGTCATCAAATGAAGTCTTACTTTAAAACCTCACTTAAGTTCAAGCTCTTTAATTCAAACAAATACGATTTTAGATGTATCCTTTCTGAATACTGCTGAAGGATCTTACTACTGTCTGGGCATATACAGTTAGATTAATCTTAATCTAAATACTCTCGCTCTCTCCTCTAAAGTATTTAAGTATATGCGAGTTCATCTCATTGGCATTGGAATACATTTCCACTTGAGAGAAATGCACAAGAGCACGGAGCTCTTATATCACCTTTCCCATGCCATTTCATCTATATATTCACCTCATGGTTACATTATTAAGTAATGCTGAACCAATCCAATACCACACAAACATTTTCAAACAACACTGCGGTGTTTATACATCGGAATCAGACATGGTGAAATGCGAGAAGAGGAGGAGAAAAAGCGCAATGTGAAAGAGTGAAATTTATTAGAGAAAGAGCAAAGAAGAAAACCTTGACACTGACCCACTTTTCACTATACCGAACACAGCTCTCTTCCCATTCTTCACTTCCACTTCTCACTCTCTCTAAAAAAAATTACTTTCCTTGTCAATGGAATGCTGTCGCCGCAGCTTTCATGAACTTTCACACAAACGCCACACACTTTTTTCGTACTATACTTCCACTATACGATTCCTCAACACCTTCAGAGCTCTGGCGACGTGTTATTTAAATTTCTGCACATGAGAGTCAATAGCACAGAAAGTCAGTGACTTCATAAAGTATTTTACTGTGTCAATACATTGCTCAATATCTCACTCTCTCTCAGGAATGCCATTTATCTATTTGGCCGCCTATATGGCTCTAGATGGCAAAATATAAGTTCTTGCAAAATTCTCAAGCTCCCTCTTGCATTCAAATGAACTTACTGGAGTGTGTCACTCCAATATATGTCGCCCAAGATAAATCGTCTCGTGAAAATGGCAACAAAGAAAAATTATATTTAATAGGTACCGTACACAGAGTGCCACTAAACAAAACAATTTATTTAACCTATTCCCTCTCTCACTCACTCTCATACACGTCTCAACTCAATATTTAAAGAGAAAATGTAAAAATACGCGTTCATTTTGTGGTGGAAAAAGAAGGAAGGAAAGAAAATGGAAGGAAAAACACAAAACACCACGACTCGAGTAAATAGATTCTGAGGCAATTGTGAATTACAATGTTAGAAATTATTTAATACTTGTGCGTGATACTGTTGGTTAGGAGCATTTTGTCGACATCTAAACACACTCAAGCACGATACACGGTAAATAATATCATATAGAAAGGAAAAAAGGTGCCACAGATACTCAAGCACTTGAAGAAAATCACTACAAGTGAGATATAAATAGAGTCAAAACGAATTCAATTCATCACAACTCTCTGGAATAAGAATAGATCATAACACCTTTCTTGAGATTAAAAACCACCTCAAATCCATTGGCCGGCAATACATATACATATTCTTTTACGCGGAAATGCAAGAGGGATGAATCACAAGCAAGAGAATAGAAAAATCCCATTAGAATGCCTCATAAAAAGTCTCAATCCAATAAAATTGCCTTCGCGCGATTGAATTTATACCTTCAATTAGTGGGAAACATACAAAAAGCTCATTTTGCTACATCTCAAGTAATACGGAGACTTTTTCCCCACATACCAACGGGTATATCATGTCCAAGAGAACAGTTGTACTACAAAATTGGGAAATACTTTGTGCCATATCTCTTGTTCACTTTACAATTCCACACGGCTTTTTGTCCATAATATACTCATGCATATCCACACACACATTATTTCTTTCGGAGTGAACAATAAAAATTGCAGTCAAATAAATAAAAATCATTTATCACGTATTGAGAAATTATTCTTGACTAATTTCATGCCTTTATATTTCAACATTAATTCACATTTACATGTTATTTCTTGGTGATATGTATGACAACTCTAAGGAGTTGGACCTTCATAATTATAGTTCATTAAGTTTTGGATTTGTGATTGTGTTCACAAAAAAAACGAACCTCGTGATAAAACACACAGTTTACAAGAAAAGAGTTTGGGCGGGGCTTTTAGAGGGGCGGAGTTATAAAAAATATAAATAGTGAATTTGGCAATGGGAGATATGAGAAAAATCATGCTTTCCATCATTAGGCGAATTGCGGCACATTATATTTGCATTCTCTCAATCTATGCCATTTGTCTTTGCATCTCCCACAAGAATTGCCTCTTGACACGTGCTATTAATTACTCACACATCCAATTGAGACATTAGAGACGCTCTTCCCCTATCGCAGAGTCAATTATATCCCTTCCCGCACACGTTTGTGAGGTGTTAAACACCCATGAACAATGAATCAGAGGTGCACAAAGACTCTGATCTAATACTAAATGATATCTCAATTTTTTCCTCTCTTGTATATTCCATCAAACATGCTCCAAAAATGCACAATTCACACATAACATGAATGGGGCTCCTTGTCTTCAATTGTAAGCAATTTGAGAGAGGGAATTCAGATAGAAGAATTAAATACTGTCGTTGGCGGGAAATTTGAAAACTCTTTGGATACCTTTTTTCGTAATATTACAATTGTTCATTGTCTTGAGGACGCTGTGCGCTTTCAGCAATCCGCCAAAGAACAAGTCAAAAGATGATGAAACAATTAAAAGCACCTCTTTTGATATACGCGCGAGATACAACAATATAACATATATAGTGAATAAATAAATCCATTACTGTATTGTGTGTGCTCTTTTGGAAGCTGCGAGCCTCAACAAAATTAAACTTACAAGCTATCAAACATCTTAGAAGATGAGAGTAGGTCAAGGACAATGTGGAGGAAACTAGGTCAATTTCTACGATACAGCTAAATCCAAGTGCGTGAGAGTGAATTGAGATTGATTGTCACGCGTCTCTTGCTTCATTTCTCTCTCTCTCACTCCTCTTTCGATTTCCCTTTCAATCTCATCTGTCCAAACACAAAAAGACACACAACATTATAAGTATGAAAGTGAGAGTGAAAAAAAATATGCGTGGACAGAAAAAAGTAAACCAATTCTCAGTGGATCATTGAGCTTAAATTGTCTGAGGTGTGCAAAAAAAGCTCGTGCGCTTTTTTTCCTAACTCCCACTTATGAAGTGGACACGAGAGGAGCAAAAACATGTGACTTACGCGACTTCCAAACTCTGTATGGAAAGCCCATTGTAAAAAAGTGAAAGGAATTTTTGGGTAAACATTGAACATTTTCATTTCAATTTCAACACTATTTCCACCTTTTTTGCACAGTCAAACATACACACATGCACAAAGTACTTCAGTCTGTGAAAATAAAAGTTAAGGAGTATTGGAAGAAGAAAAAAACTATGCAAGAATTAGCCATTTGGGAAGTTTAAAACCGTGAAAACAATAAAAATGAGCTAAATATAGTGCTTCAATTCTCATAAAAATTCCCCAAAATGTGCAACTTGCAACTCCAAATTTATATCTAAAAATACCAGTAAATTTGCCAGCAGAAAAAAATCACAAAGAACTCAAGGAGGGGAAAAGAGAAGAAAAGTGTTAAAAGCATTGCACGATGCGTGCTTTTAGAGCCCCACAACGAAAAGTGGGTCAAGCCAACTTGTCGTTTCAATTGTGTTGTTTTATATAAAATCCTCTGCATTTGTGTGTGAGTCTCAACTTCGGAATTAATATAACGAATTTTCCTACACACAACCTGAGCCATTTTTTCCTATCCACGCTTCCACACCACACAGATTTCTTCATTAATTTTCAAGTCTTTTTGCTTGACTTTTCTTGCTCCACACACACCGAAAAAAAATTTACACAATCATTTTGTGGTGCCCTCGAGATTGGTTTTCTCTCTGTCCCCAAAAACACTGCCTCAATGTGTGTCCACCCAGAGCCTTTTCCACACTCCGTGTGAATTGGAGCGAAAGGAAAAAGAAGTCAAGAGTGAGAAGAGACGAATTAATCCCAAGAGCTTTTCAACCCCTTTTATCCAAAAAGTTACATCAACTGTTTGGCACAAGCAGACGAGAGAAAAAAAATCCACAAATAATTAAAATTTATGGCACGGATGGCGGGAGAGAAAAAAAAAATACTAAATCACCCACCCACCAATTTTCCCAGAAAGTAGGTCAAGCGAGAGAATTCTTGATAATTACATTCAATTCATATTGAAGTTTCCATATGAAGGCGCGCACTAGAGATGGAATAATTCCATCCAAATCATGAAAATGCAATCCCTGATTTGGTAAACATTGAATAACTTTGTAACGGAAGACATACATTTGCAAGTTTCTCATTGACCTTTTCTCACTTTCATTCACTCTATCCACACAAAATCCGTCTCTCGCCCTCGCCAGATAGCATTCCACACTGGTTTCCTTCCCATTCAAGTACTCTCATTTTGTCTCATGATCTCTTACTCTTCTCATGTTGCCCTCTTGCCATTCGTATTTTTAGCATCGCGCGAAGATGAATGATGGAAATTTTTATTGCAACACATTCTGCAATTCCTCCATAATGTCACACTCCCCACCTCATCATCCAATTCTTTCTCAATCGCAACACCGAAAAAAAACCTTCCACTCTATGCAGACAAATTCTTCATCACATGAGAGACCGTCTCTCCAGCGCGCAACAGCTTGATCAATTTTTTCCGTACACTCTCTAAGTACCGCCTTTTCGCACTCCAAGAACATTTTATATACTGCACAGCACAGCAAAATGCCTCTCTCGCTCTCCCGTCTTAAGAATACAAAAGTGCCTTCGAGGAGAATTGCTTCAGCTATTCTCGAATAAATAGCAAAACACTATAATCACAATAGTTACAATTTTGGGTCGACATTTTAGCACAAATACTGTGCCAAGCGAAATTTTTCCCTTTTCTCACATAAACAACGCTCTGAGGAGTTGGTGAAATGATCTGTGATAAAATTACAATGGTAAAAAAAACCGCAAGAGGGTATTTGGCACAGGAAGAGGAGAAACCATAAAGATATAGTGAAAGGCTTCAAGAAAGAATTTAACACTTTTACAATCTTTCTGGTAAAATTGCCCATTAATCTGAAACCCTAAAGACTATGTATGTTCATAATGATGTGATACAGAAAAATTTATGTTTATTGCAAACTCGAAAAGCAACGAAATACCGTGATTCTACATACAAAAGAAATGAGAATCTTTTAATATTCATACCAATTTTCAATTAATTTTCAATAATAAGCAGGGATGCAATTTTGATCGTAAGATTAACGACAATCGTTGTTTCATTATACTTAAAAAAAAATCTCAATTTATCACCCAACGATTTTTTTTCCTAAGGTCGATTTTTCTCTCATGATATAAATCTGCTTTATAGTATTAGCCTAAGTTTTAAAATAAAATGCCTAATCTAAATTTTCGCCCAATTATTTATAAGGTATACATCAAGCTTTTACGAAATACCTATTCTACAACTTAGAGGCTCAAGTTTTCTCTGTTGATTTTCCTCATTGGAAACTCTGTGTCTCAATCGCTTGAGACACTCGAAAGCTCCTCTCCGCGCCCCACCCCATTCCAAAAGCTTCACCAACACAACCTCAATTATCGGAACTACATGGTCGAAAAATGTGTAAGAGAGGCTCTCATACGAAATTAAATAATAAACACTGAGAAAACTTTGTCGTGTGGCGCACGCTCTTTTCAAGCTTCATATTCTTCACCACACGAATCCACATACACACACACTTGAGTGGGATTTCACATGAAAAAAGGCAGTGAGCAACACAACAATTTATCGTGGCAAAAGTGGGTCACTCGAACGAGACAACATCATCCGGAACGACGGAAGGAACAACAAAGATACATATATAGTAACATTCGAAACCACTCTCGCGGGCATACACAAATATTTCTTCACCTCTTCTCTCTCTCCTTCCCCTCTTCTATTCCTTTAGGCCGAGAGGACGTGCGCGTCTTCAGACCCAGAATAAGCATATCCTCTCTCTCTCCCTCTTCCCATTGAGCTTTTACAAGAGAGCCAAACTATGCACAAAAAACATGGCCCGCTCGCGTCTTTCATTGTTAAAGGTAATAATACTGATATTGCATCGTGTCGGTGAATTATTTAACCGTCTGGCTTCGTTAATGGAAAGTGGCACAAAAACCTGTCTTTCACTCTTTCTTTCATCCTCTCTTCGTCTTTCGCGACGATTCACTTTCTTCTCCGTACATCGATCACGAAGGGAGAAAATTTACAAACATTACACAATTATGGCGCACGCGAAAAAAACACCAGCCAAATCGGTGATTAATGAAGCGAAAGAGACAAATTTCCTCCCATACGCCCAATACACACACACACACACTTATATTTCCCTGACCTTGACAAGGGGAGACTGCAAAGTGACCTTGAACACCCACCCATGCTTTCCCCTTCCTCCCTCCATTATCGCCTTGGGGAATTCCGAGGAATTCCAGGAACTCGCGCGCTCTGACTTTACTCTTCTGATCAACAGTGATGCTTTCACAAAAGCTCCCAATTGTCCTTACGTTAAGGATGATTTTTGGAAAATTACAACAATTTCACTTTAATCTTCCGCGTATTAGACTTCTTTCATTCACTCTATGGATTAATTTGTTTATCGCTCAATTACCCTAGAAGTTCTGGAGGAACAAAAGTGCCCCAAAGACAGACGATAAGAGTACTCAAAATGAGCATTTTCTACAAGGGATCTCTATAGGAGATAGCAGGGCAATTACAAAACATTTTTCTGTTACTGAAATTTCAGATATAAAATATTATCGATTATTATCAATATTTGTAGTTTATACATAGCAAATCTTACAATTTGGTTAAATACAATATTTAAACTTTAATTTGTGCTTAAAACTGCCCCGCTTTTCTGTAATGGAAAATTCCCAAATCCATCGAAAGACAGTATATTTAAACCCACTTTCCATCAAAACTTGTACCTTTTTCTTTACTGGTCCGTTCGCACTTTTTTCCCGTCAATTAAACCATTTCGTGTGTTGAGATTAATTCAGCCAAAAATTGAGCAATTTGACATTATACTCGCAAACCCGCTGCGACCAGCAGTCATTTTATGCCCATATTTCCAAATACCATAGTTAAGGATTTGTGTGCAGAGGATTACAGATAAAATAAGTATGACTTGAGAGTGAATTTTGAGTGGGAATTGCCCGTTGATCTCTCGCTATAGCCACCCATTGAAATTGGTGTGTTGAATATTCTAAGCACAACCTGACCTACTTACGATTGAATCAATTTAAAAGCAGGAAAAAATGTTCTCAAGTCTAAAATTAATTCTTGATGTTCGCAATATTTTTTCACTCGCTCTTCACAACTACGCTGGGGAATCTCATTTTGAGGGCTCTTTGAGACAATTTGCCAAATTAAATAAAGGTGAGTAAAAGGAGAAAAATATGTAAGTGGACTTACCCTCTAGCTTCATCCCGACCTCGAGACACTTCTGGAAGCGACAGAAGGGACAGCGTTTCCTCTGTGTCTTGTCGATGTGACACTGTCGCTCAGCGACACAGGTGTAAACTTTCTTGTTCTGCACAGTCCTCTTGAAGAAGCCCTTGCACGATTCACACGTGAGCAAACCATAGTGATAGCCGGACACTTTGTCCCCGCACACTGGACACAGCTCCTCGATCAGGTCCTTGAGATCCGTCTGGTCGCACGGCACCATTCCGCCACCCGGCAGCAGGGAGATGTAGCTTTGCTGCGAGGCCCCACCCAGGGCTCCGCCACTCGTTGTGGTGCCGGTAGCAGCTCCACCGGCCGCACCACCGTCAGAATAGCCGGCTGAAAACATGTACTGCGTGTCAAAATTGTACATAGAATAGCCAGATTGCTGCTGCTGTTGCTGCCCCTGATGGTGATGCTGGGTGGCGTTGGATTGCTGCGTGGTGAGAACGGACGCCGGGATGCCGGATGAATTGTTGTTATTGTTGTTACTCATGCCATGGTGCATTTGTTGATTGGAATTGCCCGTGGGATTGTTCCCTGTGGCCGCATTTGTGTATGTGTACTGCGGGGGTGGCATTCCGGACAACCCACCACCGCTGCCACCACTGTTACTTGTGGCCCCGTGCGGTGGGCTCGAGGACTCATTCAGATTCATCGAGAAGGGTGAAATGTTGAGTGACATCAACACTGCTGAATGCTGCTGCTCCATATCTAATAACATTCTTCACGACAGTGTTTTTCTCTTTTCCTTCTGCCAACCCTGCGAACAACACACCACTGACTTCAGGAGGCAAAATATCAGAGACAGAGTCTGGACGGAATATATCAGTGTATCTTGCTTGAGAAGCCCACCACCCGCCACACGAAACTATGTCACTATCACTGTAAATCCTTTGTGATAAGATCCTTAAGTGGGCGCACACTATTCAATGCTTCTCACGCGGTCTAAGCAAAAATTAATGCCTCGCAGATGATACTAATTGCACATGTGTCACTTGGAATATACTTTTTCTCCTCTTCTCTCGCTATATGGCCAACAACTAGCAGTACACCAAGTGTTGTTGATTACTTTTCTACAGCAGAAGACACAAACATTGCAGTGAGTAAACTAAAGGAGTCAACACAACACACTAAGTAATTTGGTTCTCAAATTTGAAAACTGGTAATCCACACCGTGAAAAGGAGATCTCCCTTTCCTCTGAGGCTATAGTCGTCCATTAAAGATAACAACACGATGTGGTATGATTCTCTTAATGTTCATCTGTATAGTGCGGACAGTGCAATTGGCAATCATTGTCCACACCATGGTTGGAGAATGTTAAATATAGCCAAATGAGATGTTCTCGCGACACGTCCCGAGACACTCTCTTGTTTACACTAAATCTCTGGGTCAATTGATTGCACTCTCTCAGTCCAGAGAAAAGAAGAGTAGAAAAAAGAATCAATTCACAACTTCAATTCCTATATTCCGTTCACTTTCAAAAAACTTTACCAATCTCTTTCCTTTCAGCACGAGAACTAAAGTTCCACTCTAAGAATCCACTTTAAATCCCAGGTATGTGAAGTGGGTTTTTGTAGAGAAAAGTCCGTCAGGAACACAGACACACACACAGAGTGTTAATCCTTAGAATATCCTTCACAATCCAAGAAAAAATAACCAGGATCGAAACTCTTGCCTCTCACGATTCGTTCGACACACAGAGTGACCGAGAACACGACTTCAAGTGAACACGAACCACGATTGACTAACTCAACTTGAAATTGAGAATCCCGCGCCACACTCGAGAGCCCGAGCTAAGAGAGCAAAAACGCCACACACATTGCTAGTGTCACTATACAAAACATTTAGGCCTCAGGGGTGGGGTGGCAGGGCAGGAGGGGGGGATCGACCGACGAGAGCGCCACAAGCTCCAAACTCAACACACAGTGACCCAAAAATTTTTTGACGTTACTCACACACCGCACACATGCAAGGAGCGAAAAAATGCTGTGGAAATATTGTTGCAACAAATAAACAGCAACCTGTCTCGCTCACACGAGCGAGATGGCGCTCTACACTTTCGATTTGACACACTACAGCACAGAAGTGGGATCAGAGTGAGATAGCGGACATGTCTTGCTGACGACGTTTGCCCAACGTCACAATCCGACAACCGTGAGAGAGAGAGAAGTGAGAGTCAATTGCTGCAAGACTCCAACACTCTCTCTCTCTCCTCATATCTCTCACAAGTCACTCTCTCGTGGCTCAACACCCAAAAGACATTTTATGTTAAGGCAGGCTCTCTCACTCTCAAGAATTGTGCGCACTCATGCGACTCTCAGGCTCATTTCTGACCCCCACACAGGGATAAACTTAAGCTTCGCCTCCCTTTGCGAATTGCACACACCCCAAATTAAGCTTAGCTTTAACCCTTCAATCAAAGCGAAAACCCTTATTTTTACTATCAATGTAACTATGGATAAATTCTCCAACGTCATCAAAATTATCTTAGAAATCATATGATTAAATTGGTCTATTGCTTAGGACATACTTATTTGATTCAACGATTTTATGTATCTGACTTAATGTGTAAAGGTCATGCAAACTCTATCCAATACTCCTTTAAAAGGGGTTCCTTAAGAACATGTATATATTTTCTGAAATTAACCATGTCTAATCAAAAATTATTCATACATCGAGCTTTCGACAGACAAAGTAGATAAACAAATCGTACAAATAGAATCACAAATTCGTCTGAATCCTGTATGACATGCTCCAGCCTAGAGTGAACTACCCTTTTCAATAGGTAAAAAGAACAATACTTAAAGAGAAGCTCTCCAGTGGGCATAATTTGAATTTAAATTGCCAACAATTTCGCGAAATTCAGCATTTCTTCGCCCTAATAATTACAAACCATCCTCTCCTGAAGAGGCGTTGCAGAAGTAGGCGAGCTAATTAACTCTGTAATTGATTTCCCTGCCAAATAATTTGGCAAATTAATAGGCACATAGACCAACTCTCCACATCCTTGAGCCTGAATCCTGACCAATGTCGAGGAGCTCCGCTATCCTACCTGCCCAAATTCTCAGCGTGTGTGCCGTCTTTTTGCCCATAATTGTGACACAATGGAGAATGATTTGAGAATCATGTAATAAGTGAAAGTGTGGCGGCGACCTACTTTCGCGATTCAGGTCTATGTTAGAGAACGCACACATGGGCGACATCGTGCTTTTTTCATTTATTCCTTTTCACACTCTCATGTTTTCGCTGCTCTTTAATTTTTCGTACACACGCGTGTGTCTTTTTGGCCACTCACACATCGCGATATTGCGTCTTTTTTCACTCATGCTTCTCTCATCGTCGCTTTCGATTTCATTTGGGGAATTTGCATTGGGGGGCACCCGAAAGCCAGACGCTTTTGGGCAATACATAGAGATATATTATTTTTTTGGGTTATACGCGCGCTGTCACAATTTTGACAGTTGGCTCACTGCATTCTCTTTCTTTTAACGCCCCGGAGTGAAATGTATTCACTCCCCTCGCATTTTTAGCCACCCCAGTGACAAAAATTATCCCCAAAAACGACACAATGACGCAGTTTGACTAACATCGTGTTCTCCATGAAGAGACCCCCGAGATGAGACTCTCGTCTCGCTCTCGTATCTTGGCTCTCGCGAGGGGCTTGGCGCTCCTTGGCGCGAGTCGGAGCGGGACAGAGGGCTCTGTCTCAGCGGCAATGTATGCCCACTATTACACAATATCATCATCATCATCATCATCAACGTGATCGTCGTGAGTGCGCAGAGCGCGGGAGCTGGCAATCGGCGCACTGACGCGCTGATTTTTCTCTACCGCGAAGCCTGGGGGGCCAGAGGGAAGCACCCAGAGAGACATCTGAGCGTGGAGGGAGGAGATCCCACCGCCTCGCGACCTACTAACCCACTTTCGGAGGCTTCCATCTCCCTCGCACGCCTCAAGAGTGAATTTGACGCCACAGCAACAGCGTCGCTTAAGTGTATTTGTATGTTGGATGCTAAATTATCGTAATCTTGAGAATTTAATATATCACCACCCTAAAAAATTCCACATTCATTTTTTCCCAGCTCTCTTAAATACCATTTAGAGAACATCAATTCAGAAAGGAGCACAGCACTACACATGAGGAAGGAAGTAGAGAAAAAATCCAGAATACTCATTGGCAATTGGCAGCCAATAAAAAGATTATTAGCTGGAGAGCCTTCACATTTCACTCTGTCCCTCACAATACAATTCAATTTCACATTTAATTTCCCTATCAATCTCATCATCATCATCATCAGCCTCAAGGAGTCAATCTCACCCGAAAAAACACCAACAATGAGCTATCAACATAAAAGCACAGAAGCTATGATGATTCTCAAGATAGACGAGTGAAAATGGAAAATTAAACTTTTTACTCCATGAAAAGCAAAATTATATAAATTTTTGTTAATTCTAAACACTTTATTTTCTAAAGAATGAACAGAATCGCATATAAAAATTATATGACATCCTTTTTCGGCAAGGTGTCATAACGATTGTGGTGACATACAGACTGAAGCAAAGAATAAATTCATAAAGTGGGCGGGGCATTTGAATAGGCGTGGCAATTCTGAACTTGTCTTTCGCTAAAGTATCTCATTTATTATGTACAAACCAATTTTCTTTTCTTCGACTAAAAACATTTCTGGACTATCTGCCCTTTTCCCAGCATTTCCCCACGGGTGCACACACAACCTCCACAAGAAATTTCCCCTTGAAGCAAAATGGAAAAGGAAATCGAATTGAATTTCCCCAAGAGAACCAATGATCCTATTTGCTGGAGGACACAATTCATCTACAAATTATTGGATTACACGCGATATCTGCCACAAATTTTGTCAATATTCTCCCACTGGCCTTTCAACGGAAAATTCCCCAAAAATATGACGCTTCATATTTATACTTGAAAATTCTCACCAATAAATCTACAAAGGAGTTTTATATCCTCAGGGAAGACTTTCTGACCATTTCTATGAAAGGGAAACAAAAAATAAGAAGCAAAAGAAACGGTACAATTCATCGAGACATCTTTAACTCTGTCTTTTCTTGTTAATAGGCAAGTAGAGACATAATATTTCGACAGTTTGTGCGAATTGGAAGGCAAATTTTCAACATACGGCAAAAAATTTCTCCTCTATTGCCAAAGAGACCAGCCAATTGTGTGAAATCTGCGGATTTTTGTTCAGAAATTTGGCGAAAGGGGTTAATTTGCAGTTGAAATGCACATCCTATTGCAAAATACTAATACCAAAATTAACCAAAATTTCCAACTTTCCCATCCATATAGCTTTTCACA